AATGCAGCATTGGAAATTCTTTCTATGAGACTTTCATATGCTAAAGCTTGACATATTCGCAGAAAACCTGTTTTCATATTTTTGGAAATTGCTCATTATTTCTGGTCTGAAAGTTGAAAGTAATCAGCATCATTCGATGCGGCTTCTTTTGCCCTCTAGAGATGTATTAGAAAGTTGGGTGTGACAACGGCTGTTTTCATAGTCAAATTTAGCAGAAACGTTTAAAGGATGTAGAATCAAGTCAAGTTTAAACAGGAAAATGCCACTGCACAATTTCAAATTAAGTTGCCGCAATTACGACTGCTACGGTACAAGACTGAGACTAAATCTACTGGTCGTGACATCGGATAGGGTGCTCTCTCATTTTTCATGCACCCATTTTTTATCCGTTTTTAAACCCTTTTTGCAAAACGCGTTTTAGTACCAAACCATGGTGGTTTTGGAACCCTTTTGATTGATAATAACACTCTAGCTTCCGATAATTCTGTCTTGTACTGGTGAAGAAACTTGATACTGCTTCTTTGAAGTGAAATACATTAGGTAACATTCGATAACAACGAGCACTGGAAGGCGTAGAATTAACACTAATTGAGTTTGTTTATTAGGTTTTAATAACTTTTTTGCTTGTTTGAGTGAAAGTTGCTGCCATTATTACATCTCTGGTATCTCTGCTGTCTGCGTCTTTGGTTCATCATGTCTGGTGGTTGCTTCTTTGGTCTTTGCCTGGTCTCTGCTGGTGTCGTTCGTTCTTTGGTTTTTCTATGGTCCTGGTGTCACTGCCACTGCTGCTATATGGGTTTTCCTGATCTACTGTGTTTGGTGCATGCTCTTTCTCTGGTGTCGCTCGTTCTTTGGTTTTTTCTATGGTGCTGGTGTTGCTGCTGCTGCAAATATAGCCTTTCCTGGTCTACTGTCTTCGGTGCATGATTGTCCTCTGGTTTATCTCTGGTTTATCTCTGGTGATTGCTTCTTTGGTCTTTGTCTGGTCTCTGGTGTGGTCCGTTTTTTTGGTTTTTTCTATGGTGCTGGTGTTGCTGCTGCTGCTGCTGCTACTTTTGCTAATATGGTCTTTCCTGGTCTACTGTGTATGGTGCATGTTCGTTCTCTGGTCTATATCCGGTGATTGCGTATTCTCTGGTCTATCTACGGTGGTGGTAAGTGGTAAGTATATTTTTTCTTCTGGTTGCAATGATATAAAACTTCTTTGAGCGTTTGTATTATTGCTTCCTTTCTCATGATAATGCATTTTATCATGATGTTTACGTTGTTGCGTTTTTCTTTTTCTTTTGTTGGTTGTGTTGCTTTACATCCGACTATTACCATGCTGCATGTTACTCATGTATGCATTTGTGTTGCAACAACAGCGAGTTGTTCTGAACGTCTCTAATGTTGTATTTGTTATACTTTTCTTTGACTCACTTTGTGTGAGTAACCCTTTTTTGCCTACGTACTACTATACTCGTATAGTAGTATGTTCTTTTCTTTCTTTTATTATTATTATGTTTCTTTGAAGCATACCTTTTTTCTTTTACGTTGTGTGGATGTGCCTATCCCTGAAGCTCAACAAGACTCTATCCGAGACTAGGAGGTAGATAGGCTGTCTCCACTTGGTTATCGCTACTTACTTTAGTGATGATTGAGGGTCTCAATGCCTGAATTTAAAGCTAGGTGGTGTAAGTAAGGCATGCTCTAGCACCTGAGGGAAATTTGATGATAGTAACAGCTATATTGCTATATAGCGGAGCTTAAAATTTTGCCTTATATCAAAACAGGGGGAAACCCTCGCAAAATTTTTTTTAGGTCAGCGGAGTTTTCAAGCGATTTGATTGGCTCAGAGGTTCAGGGACCGAAGAATTCCAGCTAGTTGATCTCTTATTGATCTGTTATTTATTGTGATTTCGTATCTTTAATAAAAGGGTGTTCAAATTAAACTACAATATAAACTTTTTTTATTCAATTATAAGATAAGATGCTATGGTTTGTTCTAGCATGCATTAAACAGTTTTGTGATGCGTGGAATGGTCTTAAATTTTATTATGTGGGGAAGTTATATAACTTCTACTACTACAGTGCAATAGTTTTATTTACGTTTTCATTCTAACAACTACATTTATTCGGGGAAGTTGCAAGAACTACTGCTTCAATGCAGCTGAATTACTAAAGTTTAGTTAACTTCTAGAGAACTTAACCAATGTTATGCGCAGTATACTGCAGTAAAGTGTACCTAATCCGGGGTGCATTTTTTGTCATCATGGGTGTAATAATAGCACATGATTACTGTAACGCTTGAAACTATAAGCTACGACCATATTTACGATGAGAATGCACCGAATCTCGTCCGATCTGCAGTGAAATCAGGTTTGAATAGATTTCACAAAAATAAATAAAGCAATGGTAAAATACAATAGAAATCAACTGTATTTTATTTGTGTATGCAGTAAAAAGGGGGTTAAAAAAGCAGGCAGAATACTGTTAAAATCCTTCTTTATTTGAAATTAGGATGATGTGCAATAAAATGTATATTCTACGTCTCTATTTATATTATTTGGTTTATATCTCTTATCTGGCAGCAGTTTAGTAGTTGCCAGTGATTCCATTACTTTATATATTTTTGTTGGGTCATTTAGTTGTTGATCTGATGGATCAAGAACGGTATTTCAATATATGGTTTTTGAATCATGCGTAAAGAATAGCTCTTTATTGTTGAGCCTGTATCCTTTTTAGGTATATTTATGTTACAACTGTTTAGGATATAGATCATCTCTGAGAGGCAAATGTATTAGGCGTTGTATATTACATAAGAGGATCTGAGAATGAGCTGAGATGCATAGTAGAAGTGAGAGGTCTTTATTCAAGCAGCACGAAGGAACATGAGTGGTGCCATCAAATGGCTAATCTATATCCTGGTTCCTAGAGAGTGGTAGCCTATGGCCTTTCGTCCCTGGAAGTGGGTTTCAATTCCGACAAATGTTCTTCCGTCAAAGCTATTAGGAAGAACATTCTATCCTGGATCATCTTTGTTGTTTATCCTTGACTGGTGGTTCATGAGTTCTGATGCAGCACATCCTCGTTACTTGTTCAAGGCTTATACAATTATCCCGCATTCAAGATCAAGGTCCTATTGCTGCGGCACTGTCAAATAACTATAAATACCTTTGATATCTACACTAGTTTTGATCCCTATTCAATCTTGGAATAACATAATAAATATATTCAGTTCTAATTGTATTTACTCTGTCTATATTTCGTTATTCTAAACAACAACACATTACAATACCCTTGACATTTACTTTAGTATCTGTCATCTCTTAATTTAGAGCATTTAACCCTTGCTGTCATCATGTTAATACTATTATTATGCATGCTTATCTGCTGATGGTAGCATGGTTTGATTGAGATGACATTTATTTTGGTCTTTATTTATGATGGGAATCTAGTCTAGTTCACTTCAAATGTTACTCAAAAAATCAAAGTCTTATGGCTATTGCTCTTGCATTGATCAAACTACAACAGCATTTGCCAGATATCACAATGGCAGCACCCAATGCTCTCTATCACGACTAACACTAGTATAAGCTAGTTCATGTATAAAAGTACTTTTTTTTTATCAAATTCAGGATTTTCAGTTCATCTTTATACAAGAATAAAATAAAGTTGGTTTCTATTGTACTTTGATTGTTACTTTATTTTTTTTCTTGTGGAATCTGTTAGTAACCTAACTTCACTACAGGGACCACAAGGAACACTGGTTGCTATAGTTTTTGCTCTTTCCCAGACGATATTCCAAAATTTCACAATATAATCTTTCGTTATCTGATGAAAGCCCTCTGTTAATCACCTACAGCTGCAGATCTGGCTCTTCTGAATATGATTCACGTCTGCAGTTGCGGAAACAGCCCATTTTGGGCAAACTGCATGCTTGCATTGTCTCTTATTGCTCAAATGTATGCAAATTACAGCAAAATTTGGACGCCTTTAAGCTGTAATTTCTCGTGTTAGAAGTCGTTGTAGGCTCGCAGAATAGCATCAAACGATTGCTCTCGTTTATCATCAACTTACTGATGGCTTTGCTCAATTTTCTTGGGATCGTCAAAAATCGACCAGAAAGCATGAGGTAGCCCTCATGGTTTTCAACGAAAATCAAACGATCGCCTTTTTGACCTCAAAATGAAGACTTCTATTATGGTACATATTAGATCAAAATGTGTCTCTCGATCCAATGCAACCTCAGACACTTTAATTAGAAGACTTTTGTATGCAAAATCTCAACGTTTTCGTCAAAAACCTGATTTCATATTTTCAAGAATTGCTCAATGAATTTAATCAAAACATCTATTTTATTTAGCACCATTAGATGCGCCATAAAAAGTACGTCAAGAAAGCTTAAGGGCGTATGGAAGGATCACCACCGTTTTATAGTCAAATCTGACAAGATGGATCAAACAAGTCGAAATTGAGCAGAATTTGGCCAATCTAAATCAGAATGTCCAGTGGAGCGTTAATCAATTTTGGCTAGCAAAACGCTCTCGCATCAAGGCAATTGATGATGCTGGAGCTAATAAGAAATGGATTGCAAAAAGCCATGTACTATGGCTTGGTGTGTCCGTTTTGTTTTGTTTCTTTCTGTAAATTCATTTGACCGCTAAGATTTGCCCATTCTAATGCGACTACTATACAAAGTGCGACATTGTCGAAACTATACAACATTGCACATCATGCCCCGATTCAAATGTGAGTTGTATTATTATCGTGATTAATGAGATGTTGGAATTAGTTGCTATATAAAAGTATGCTGTTTTGTGCGAGGAATCGAAATACTCTTCAACTTTCAATTCAGAATTTTAAAAGTGGAATTTCATATCATGTGAGGAGTCTTCTAGTGCAATGATTCACTTTCAAAGAGTCGCTCGAGTAACTTGAGTGGACCTGACCATGTCTTGCCAATTACAAACGTATATCAACAACAAACCAAAGTTTATTTCTACTAAATTGTGTATTTCTTAATTGATAGACTTTACATAAGCCATGAACTCACGATCCTGAACCAATCTCTTCAAGCTTTTTGTATCAAGCTGGATAACTACATCAACACTGTTGGCTTTGTAAGGCATTACCGTAATAAGCGGGATTGGAGAAGTATCCACAAAACTTCGAAGACAAAGCACCTGCCCATGGCCGATATCATAGTTGTTTACAAATCTTGACCAATCTGAGATACCGATACCACCATGACCTAAGCGACTGATAGGACTGACAATTTCTTCAACGTTTTCGCTATTATTAATGTAGTATTCCAAGGATTCCATGTAAGGCACAGTCATGGAGCGAATTCCCTTGCCCAACTCCCTTGCAACGTGGAATAAGCCTTTATCAAGCGCTTCTTTGGCAGTGAATGGCACAGGAACAGGTCTATCATAGCCAAAACACCGTCAGTAGATGTGTATGATAGACTCTATGCATATACTTACACAATGTAATTTCCGAAATAGTTGATCATATTCTCATCAGGGTGAAAATGGCGTTGACTGACAATGCAAAGCAAATCTGCCAACTGATCAGGTTGATCTCTTCTAGCTTTGATGATGGCCCTATGGATCATTGCTGTCAAGACTTCAAACTGTGTCAATTTCACATTAGGCTCGTTTCCAGATTCGATGACACTCTTCTTTAGTTGATTGAGAGCGTTCTTGTCGAATTCAAAAATGAGTTTCTTGGAGGGAGCAGGCTGAATAGTGGGAGCAGGTGCTTCTCCAACGGGATAGCGAGGATATAAGATGCTGTGATCCACATTGGGTAGAGGCTTTACAGGCTTTCTCATCTTGTCAGTGTAGATACAGATTTCGTCTTCCTCCAGGCCCTCTCCACGACAGATACGTACAAATTTATCGAGCATTTGTGTCAAACAAATGCCATCTGCAATCTTGTGGTGAGCTGACATGGCAAGGGCGCAACCACCATTTTTGGTAAAAGTCAAGCGAGTACCGAGCAAAGCAGAGTCTCTGCCAACGTATTTCTTGATAGGGATCAAGTCCTCATAAGGCACCACATTGTATGAAAAGTTGCTCTTTTTCCATTGTTGAAAATCATCTGCGGAATCGCAAACTTCAAACAGAGCACCTTTATCAAAGTGTCCAATCTCGTATCGGCCATTCTCCTTTTTGATCAATCGGCCAGTGTAGGGGTGATGAAGATTCAGAGCTTCCGCCAACTTGGATCTGAACCAAACTGGGTTCATAAAATGAGGGTCGTTCCTTGTGTTTTCGAAAAAGACGATGAATTTGATGTAAATGTGGGACGTGACAAGGCTGAAGCCTTCGGGAGCGGGAACATTGCTTGATGTGAGGCCTTCTTCAACTGTAATGAACGATCTGTGCTTGGGTGGAAGTGGAACCATGATGTGTGTGTGTGTGTGTGTGTGTGTGTGTGTGTGTGTACGTGCAAATACTATAACTTTGAGTGTTATCAAGCGTATATATAGGATTTCAGTCGGCACATGCTACGGTTGCAGATATCTGATTTATTAACATGCAGAATAAAGGGGTAGAGTCTATATTAAAAGATAATGTAAGTGTGTTGCGGATGGATTGATTTACTTGCGCGAAATTGCAAGGTTCAGTTGTTTCAGATTGCTCATTGTTTGCGTAATTTGTGAATAGCTGTTCCACCACAATTTGTACAACGGCTTATAAATGTTTTCTAGATCGGACAAGTCCTGCTGAATGTCGATATCCCAAGGCTTTGTCAGAATATAATGCACGTTTTTCACCTGATTTACATCCCACATGGGTTTATGCGCCCATTGCAGTGTCTTGAGAGCATTGTATACATACGAAATTGGTTCCCATTTCCCCTTGAAGATCTCATTTAGAAAGTCTTGATCGGGAAAAGGGTAAATATTTAGATCCGGAATACTGTTAAGATAGGTGACCATGGCATCAAACTTGTTGGTATCCGGAGTTAGTACAATGAGGCCGCTATTGAAATAATCAGCTTTAACACCAATGGGGGTAGGATCGGTGCACGCCGTGGCATCTCGTCCAGTGTATGCGCAGTTCTCGGGAATCCATGAAGCAGGATAGTGTTTGATCTTTTGAGGATTGCACACACACGCATAAGCAGCAGCCACCCAGTCCTTGTTTGGTAAATGCATGTGAAATAGCTCATCCATATTTTGCAAAGGCAACATATCGGCATCCAGCAAGACGAGTCGGTCATAATCATCCTGGTTCCATACAGCTAGTTTTGTCCATGTCTCTGCAAACCGCTCGGATTTATACTCTACACTGCCCATTGGATGAATTGGATCCACAGGCTTCATAATACAGCCAATGTCAATTAAGGTTTTGATGACCTCAGGGACCACAGATGGCGTATACAACACTAATAATGGATATTCACTCTTGTGTGAATCATGCAGAGCGTGTTTGAGAGCAATGACCCCTTTGATGTAGTCATTGGAGCTTGTAAGCACCACAGCCCAAGCAGCCTTGATTCTATTAGCAGTGACCATGAGGAAAAAAGTGATATATATATATATATATATGTAAAGTTAAAGAGAGAAAAGAGAGAGAATTGGAGTGACCCACAATGAGGTTTTGTAACCTTATAAATAAGTAAGCGAGTTGAAACATTTTCATGTCAGGAAGTTGGTTGTTGCGGATACTCAAAATTGAGATGGGTGATAGGCATCATAGTCGTCCTGTGTTGTGCAATACTTTCTTTCTACAGAAGCACAAAAATAATGAAGTTGCTTGGTTTTTATATTACAAGGTAAACAGAGACAATGATACAGTAGATGTACCATGAAATGACTCAGCAAATGTAACAGTCTGCTCGTTGCAATCGCATCTGCACTCAACATCCAAGGAAAAATCATACCAAATACTGTGTTGGAGGGTAATGTATCTCATCTTTCACCTGTAAATCGTATATAGAAATATATATATTTATATATATATTTATATATACTCACTCGCATCATAGACGTGTCAAAAATCGACTCCTCCACCACCAGAATTGTCCTTAATGGCGCACAATACACAGCTCATATTCAATCAAACGGGGAATTCAACATGTAAGACAGTTGGAGATGTGTTTATCTCTCCAAGACTAACAAACACACAATTCACCAGCCCTCATGTTCAGCCCGGCTCTTATTTGTTAGAAGTTCAAAGCATCGAGCACGTCTACCCAAAGATCCGAGTCGATATCAATGAGGAGAACCAAGTACAAGCAGCTTACACGGGACTCGGTATCGACTGGAATCAACGAGGTTATTCGGTTGTCTATCCATTAGAGATTCAAGCCAAGGCAGAAGCAGAATACTTTATGGTAAGGAATCCACTTTTAAATTAGGCGTCCCCCCTTTCTCCTAATGCAACACTTGTTGTAGCAACGTCAAGGGTTCAATATCATGGGCATGTTCAAGAACCCAATGATGCTCATGATGGGCGCCAGTGCCATCATGATGTTCTTTATGCCTAAAATGATGAAGTCTCTGCAAAATATGGATCCTGAAGCAGCAAATGAGATTAGCAAATCGCAAGCCGATGCACAAAAGATGCTGTCAGACATGCCTAGCTTATCTCAAATGTTTGCTAAACGCTAACAAACACACTGTACATTTAAAATATGGCTGTAAAAGCATATATATATATATATATATGCCGTTTTTCATCTACTTTAATTAAATAATGTTATTAAAGTCTGAATCGCAATTCTGCTTGATGTTCCAGTATCTAACAGACAACGAGCGCGTGAGTGTTTTGTGCTTGTATGTTTGCGCGCGATACTTACAGTAAATGCTGTGTTGTCTTGGTGTATGTCACCTTGTTGGAGCAATCACTGGTTTCGTACGGCCCAGAACATACAACTAGAGCCACGAACTAAGTATACCATTCTGCTACATGCGCATTTGATAGCTCTACATACTCATTTCTTGGATGATATCGTTTTCCAGCCAGTATTCATCGCCTTCATGCTACATGAATCATACATTATGCTCAATGGCGTATCGAGACAATGCCTAATGCACCTACCACATAGCCATCTTGAATATCAGGCGCATGGACAATGTCGTCTCCTTCCTGAACATATCTGCGTACATCAAGATCATGCTCCTTAAAGTAAGCAGCGTACTTGTAAGAGCCCACCCTGGCTTTGCCAAACAAATGGCCAGACAGATTCGTAGAGTTAACAAGCTCATGACGATGGTTCAGATCAGCCACAAGGAGCGATCCCACACCAGCCCCAAATGAATGTCTATTATACAAATGTATCAATGCATTTTGTACATCACGACACTATGGCAACTCACCCTGTCACATCCACCTTGTAGTCTGGTGTCAGCAAAAGCTGGTCGTATAGAGCTGTGTGCACAATCTGATAGATGTCGTTTTCTGCTGCTAAAAGGCCTACGTGTTTTTTCATCCTGTTGAGAATGCATTCAACGCTCATCCCTTTCATACAAACCTTGCTGGACTTTGGCTCCTTCAATGAATGGATGGTTAGTGAATTTGACATTGTAGGTCTACTTGAGCTGTCAGTATACACAGTCGCCTGATCGATGAGTCCTACTAGAGTACTTGCCGTAATCTTGTTCCTGAGGGATGAAGCGCCTCTCACGAGCACGTAAATTGTCTTTTTCCTACATTTGCGTATGAATGAATACACTCTTCAGCAGCATATCCAACTTACTGATGTGATAGCACGACATAGCCTGCAACGCCCATTGGAAACGTGTTGAATGATCTGATAACCTGGCCATCAGGCAAGTAAGTATCACAAAGTTCCCCACAGTCCCATTTGTCAAAGCTGGCTCTGCAATTGGATGTTCTGCACAAAGCAGCATGAAACTGAGCATTCAGGAACTCTGGCGAGGTGTTGTTATACCGACGTACATCTCGAGCAGGCGGCACTAGATTGTACTCATCAATCCTGCGTCTAAACTCGAAGCCAATTTGATCGTACACATTGGAGCTCACATCGGATTCTCCATTGCTAAAGTAGATGATTGGCCATGAAGCATCGGGACCAGCACTTTGTGTTCTAATGCAGAGAGCTGAATGCAGGGCGGCGCTGATGAGCAGCAACTGAGTGCAGGATTTGAGCATGTCTGACGATGGGTAAAGGTGGAGAGAGAGAGAGAGAGAGAGAGAGAGAGAAAGAAAGAGACGAGATCCAACTACATCAATGAGCTTTATGGGTTCGTTTGAGGAATGTAGAATGATCTATTGTAATATACGTTTGGTTGTACAAGAGCTAGATGCGCGGATGTCTAATATCTCCACACATTAAAGTCTGGGGATTTGTTGGGCCATCATCATCTTTTATTTACATTTTCTCATTCTTTGCAATAGACTATGTTTGCTGCCATATCCAGTCAATCATTTCGATCAGCCCTGAAGCCCTGGTCTAAAAATAGCTTGCTGTCATTCACTGCTGCCTCTGCTACAGCAGCTGTTAGGTTTCAATCTACATGGGCAAAGCAGATTCAAGGCACTTCATTGACCGAGGATTCTCTTCATGTCAAGTGGGCCAATCAAGCAAGCACCTATAGTTTTCTGTGGTTGAGAGACAACTGCCAGTGTCCTCAATGCTTGCACCCCTCCAGCCGTCAAAAGCTCCACTCCTCGGCCGACATTCCCCTCGACATCAAGCCCATTGACTTCAAGATCCTGGGCGAGGAAGCCGAGATTACCTGGAATCAACCTTTAAGACATCGCTCGAATGACACAGATTCACATGTCAGCCGATTTCCTCTTGAATTCCTCAAGCGCTATGAATCAAGCAAATCCAGCGAACAGTTTCGATTCAACCACTTGGTGCCTCAAACATGGAAAGCCAATGACTACAAATTAGACTGGGTATCGTATGATGATTACATGAATACAGATGAGGGCCTTCATACGGTAGTTCAACGTTTGTACAACAAAGGACTCGTGTTCCTCAAGGATGTTCCTTTAAAGGACGAAGCCTGCACTCAAGTGGCAGAGAGGATCGGCCCTATCCAAGAGACATTTTACGGCAGAGATTTTGATGTCAAGAATGTAGCCAAATCCATCAACATTGCTTACACTAGTTTATACCTCGGTTTTCATATGGATCTTATGTAAGTCGAATTCACACACAACGTTTATCCGTAAGACTAAAGCACAGTGCCAAATCTGCAGGTACATGGATAGTCCTCCTGGCATTCAGTTGCTACACAGTTTGCAAAACACAGTGACAGGCGGTGCCAGCATCTTTGTGGATTCCTTCCGTGCAGTAGAATTGCTAAAAGAAAAGTATCCCCAAGACTATGAGATCCTCCGAAAGACACCTGTCACTTTCCACTACCTCAACAATGGCCATCACATGTATTACAAGAGACCGACTATTGTTACTGGCGAGTCTCAAAGTGGGCCTGCCTGGGAGAGCCATGTGAATTACGCTCCTCAATTCCAGGGACCAATGGATGATTTGACACCAGCAGAATCCATCAAGTTTTACGGTGCTTTCCAAAAGTTTGCTGATTTCATTGAAGATGAATCGCTTCGATACCAATTGACATTGCAGCCTGGACAGCTCGTCATGTTTGCTAATCGCAGAGTGTTGCACGGCAGAACCTCGTTTGATCCTGCTAGTGGAGATAGACATCTCAAGGGTACCTATTTGAACTTGGATTCCTTAAAGGACAAGCTCAGAGTCCTGAATCAAGCCTATGGCTATGATCCCCGTGTATAATAAAAAGAAGTGTGTGTACCTGATATTTTGCTATTTATTGCTTTTGGAACTTTGCTTGAGCAAAGATTCTGTCTATTCTCTTTTCCATACCACGGTTGATGGTCTCTCTATATATGTACTGACAGTCTATTGTTTTGAATTGCTCTGCTTCAAATCTGGCTTGCAGGTCTTCTTTGGAGAAAAAGTAGCTCATGGTGCCGTCATGACGCACATAGAAATTGCTGTCGAGTCGCTTATCCGATGCTGCACTGAACTTGATTTGCGCTTCGTCGTAGATGCCATAATCTCGGAACAGCACATGTCCTCCAGGCTTCAATACGCTGTATATATTCTTGATGGCCGTGCTCATCTTTTCTGGCGGAATGGCTGAGAAGACGAAAATGGCAGACACCTAGCGAAACGAGTGAGCAAGTGCTTACAAGCAGGATGATGACAACTTACCAAATCCAGCGAGTTGGCAGGGATAGTGTCTGTCAATGCATCAGCTGTCAAATCGCACACAAATGCTTTGCATCGATCCTCAGAGTAATGCTCGTTTGATTTCACCATGTCCACAGCACGCTTAGAGAAATCACACGCATAGATAAACATGCGGGGATTGTCTGCTAGCAGAGGAAACACAAAGTTGCCCACACCACATCCCACTTCCAGGCATTGCTGTTCTTTGGTTTGATCTGCAAGCTCTCTGAATTCACGATCTGTCCAATGACGATCTAATAGACGTAGGCTGTTAAGGTTTGATGGCGCTGTGCATTTCATTGTGTAGGTGTGTCTTTACCTTTAAAGAACTTTGTAGTATTGCGCTTGTAGAACAGATCCCAGTTCTTTGCAGCTTCTTTCTTGTATTTGGACTTCCAAAATGCTGGCACTTCCTTCTCGTCTTTAGAGATGGCTTCCTGGGCTCTTTGGATCAGCACATCCAAGCGCTCGGGGTCGATTTCGTTGTCAGGGCGACGCTCTGGCTGGTTATCTGATTGACTCATGTAAGAGGAGAAACAGAGAGTAGAAAACTCTTTTTTTTTTAAAAAGGGAAAAAAGAGGCTTATTCATGTCAATCTGCTGCTTCGCTGATCTAATTTATTCAAGAACAAAGCTCGTTGGTGCTTGGGTTATGCAAAGGCCATATAGAGATATACACGCTGCTGTTGCTTCATGAACTGGATGTACACCTCGAGACATGTTGCCTTATATAATATCCCCCTTTCATGTTGATGACGTGATATCCATTCAATGTTGTAGCCATAGTAAAAGAGACGGGATGAGTCTGTGTTCTGTTGCTGCATATCTATTTTTCTTTTTTCTTTCTTTTTATTATACCATGGAGTCTGTTCACTTCAATCTAGCTACTCATCCGGTGAAAGATACCATCAAATTACTGACAACATTGCTGGAGAAGATTACCCACAACAATGATCGACTGCATCCTGACACGAACAGCGATGCTCAGCAGCCGCAAAAGTCTCGCTCGTATACCTGCTTCCACGCTCGCTCTATACCCAGCATCACCATCCATGCCTATTTCACTCGTATCCTCAAGTATTGTCCCTGCGCCAATGAATGCCTGATAGCCATCCTTGTCTATTTCGACCGTATGACACAGCCTGACCCTAAATTGGGCCTCAAACCACTCCATATCGATTCGTACAATATCCACAGACTGATCATTACAGGTTTAATGATATCAAGCAAACTGTATTCTGATGTGTTCTTCACAAACACAAGGTATGCCAAGGTAAAGTATAGGCACATCACAAGACTATCGCCATGGCCACTGTTGACGATAAGCGTCCAAATTGTAGGTGGGTGGATTGCCTGTTACTGAATTGAATGCCTTGGAATTAGAGTTTCTACGCTTGAACAATTACAGCCTGTTTGTGGATATTGATATGCTGCAGTCATATGGAGATAATTTGCTGGAGCTGTGGCATCAGACGCAGGATTTGGAGTCGCTGCTAGTAAGAGAAGTGGTGCACAAAGAACAAGATCATCACCATGGCAGTAGCATGGATAGGCCATTCAGTCGACTGACGATCAAGGACTCCAAATCGAATGATAGTAGCACACCCACTACGCCCACGACGCCAGCTGCCGTAACTGATGATGACATGGATAAACAATGGCTGTATAGCAGGCAGAATTATGGTTTGAATCATCATGCTGGAAATGGATAAGACACGACTACTGCTACTACTACCATATACTACCACATTTTACTTACTATTTTATATCACACACACACATATATATATATATATATCTATCTATCATTATTTTCTTTTAGAGTATAAAGCATTTCTTTTCTGATCTTCCACAAGCACGCATTCAATCAAAGTTTGATTTGGTTCAAATGCTAACATTCCAAAAATTTGAATTATTGGTCGTGTTTGTTACTCATATTCAAATGCTTCGAAACTGTATGCTTTTCATGTCAATGTTTGAGCGGCCATCTATAAATACGGGTCTGATTTTTCATCGATGTTCTCTGCGCAATTAGCATGATTTTCCGCATTTTGATTATTCTCCTGCTGTCCACAGCAGCCTTCCAATGTCAACAGCTTCCATCGCCATCCGTACAGGGCATAAATCCCACCTTGGACGCTTTCAGCACACTGGCCCCCATCATGGACACAGTAGTTAATCTCGCTCGCCTGGCAGATGACTTGTTGGGATCCATGAGCTATCATCGAGCGCTTGGAAAAGAGGAATCGAATCTCCCCACGGCGTCCAAGACTTATACCTACAGCAACACATCAGACGTGTACCAAGAAGCTGTGATGTACGCTCAATTATGTGCTGCCTCTAATTGCAAGGCAAGCTATGACAAGTGGGATTGCGGAAAGTACTGTAACTCGACTGTGCCTGACGGTGTGGTGATTCGTGCATTTGCCACACATCCTTTAGGTGTACATGGATACGTGCTTCGATCTCAAAAGTGGGTCTTTGTCTGTTCGAATAAGGCTGTATGACAACTGACTCTTCCCGTCATTCTAGAGAGAAAAAGCTGTATGTCATGCTCAGAACAGATTCATCCATCCGCGACAAGATTTTGGTAACAAATTAGTGCTTTTGGTCAGCGAGTGGTAAAGTGTACTGATAAGCTATTTCAAATAGAACCTGCAGCGAAAACTCGTACCTCATCCTCGAATTCCTGGCGCAAAGGTACAGCTTGGTTTGCTTAGTTCCATGATCAATATAAGAGATATTGTATACCGCACCATCAGAGATCAATTGAAACTGCATCCGGATTATCAAGTCAGAGTCGCAGGGTAATTGTAAAGTAAAGTTTGTTTGTAAAAAGTGCAAACTAAATGTACATTTCCTAGTCATTCCTATGGTGCAGGCATCGGTTCCTTATTGACAGTTGATTTAGCGCAACGTCTTCCACAGCTAAATAGTACGAATCTTGCTGCTTATCTATTAGGTAAACCTCGAGTAGGCAATCAGGCGTATGCAACCTATGTAGCTGAAAAAAAAATTACAATCAAGCGTTTTGTTCAAGTAGCAGATGGCAAGTACTGTCAGTTTGAGGATAAAGTACCTGTTGACTGAACATGATATACAAATAGATCTTTCGCATTTACCGAGCATTGCTGATGGATACGCTGTAAGTTGATTTGCTTGATACCAGAAACTGTTTATTGACTAGTATTATTTAGCATGAGGGCGACGAATACTGGCTAAGTTCTAACAAGACACAACAAATAGGTAAGACAGTATGCAGACGAATGAAGCTTTGACTTTTGTGCACTGACTCGTGTATAGTGGTTTGCCCTGGACCTTATGAGACAAAGAGTTGCTCGAGCAGTCTGAGCTATGGAGAGGCAGATGATCATTACACGTAGGTATCTATATAGAGTTCCTGATACAACACTAATCCTTGCATTGGACAGCTATTTCGGCATATCTCAAACTTGTGAAGATAATATATACAATGTATACTGATGTATGTCCGTCCTGTTGGGAGTACACTTGTTACCATATAAATTCATGCATTCTTGATGGAATAGAGTTAGCACTTGCTTTTGAAAGGACACGTTTAACGTTGTTCGATCATGTGTTTAGAATGACTATTATTTAATTTAGACATTTTGGCATTTAGACATTTGCGTGATCTGCATATGAGTTGCTTGTTCGATCTTGACCAAATGGCGAAGTGTTTATACAAAATTACTTTATTTTAATTAGATGAATAGATCAACAATAATATACAATGCTTTCGATGAAAAGGGGGTAAATGACTTCAATGGATTAATTGAAAAAAAAAAGAGGGTCTAGAGTTTAGAAACGCAAATCCCATCCAATCTTGGGACCCAACTTGGGCAACACTTCAGTGACAGTGTGCATGTCCTTATCACCTCTACCGGAAAGACAGATAACAATATCCTTATCCTTGGGAAGTTCAGATGCTAACTGAAGAGCAGCATAGACAGCGTGGGCAGATTCCAAGGCAGGAATGATACCTTCCAATTGAGTCAACTTCTTGAAGCCAAGCAAACATTGAGCATCGTCAGCGACACGATATTCAGCTCTACCACAATCCTTCAAGTAAGCGTGCTCAGGACCAACACCAGGATAATCTAAGCCAGCACTGACAGAGTGAGTTTCAATGATTTGACCCTTGGGATCTTGCAAGAGATAGGTACGAGTACCGTGGAGAACACCGGGAGTACCCTTGGTAAGAGTAGCAGAGTGCTTCTCGGTATCTACACCATCACCGCCAGCTTCAACACCCACGATGCGGACAGACTCATCATTGACAAAGGGATGGAACATACCAATAGCATTGGAACCACCACCAACACAAGCAACAACAGCATCAGGCAACTTACCAGCCTTTTCTTGCAATTGACGCTTAGTTTCCTTACCAATGACAGATTGGAATTCACGAACAATTTGAGGGAAAGGATGAGGACCGATGGCAGAACCAACAAGGTAGTGAGTGGTAGAGACATTGGCGACCCAATCACGCATGGCTTCGTTGATAGCATCCTTCAAGGTTCTGGATCCGGTTTGAACAGGGACAACAGTAGCACCCAACATTTGCATACGGAACACGTTCAGGGCTTGACGACGGCAATCCTCCTCGCCCATATAGACAATACACTCCAAACCAAACTTGGCACAAACGGTAGCAGTAGCGACACCGTGTTGACCAGCACCAGTTTCAGCAATAATACGCTTCTTACCCAGACGCTTGGCAAGCAAAATTTGACCTACTGCATTGTTGATCTTGTGGGAACCGGTGTGATTTAAATCTTCGCGCTTCAACCAAATCTTGGCTCCTCCAGCATCTTCAGTTAAACGGTTAGCAAACTGAAGTTGAGAAGGACGAGAGATGTAGTCGTAGTAAGATTCGAATTCTTCCTTGAATGCAGGATCAGCCATAGCATCCTTGAAACAAGTTTCAAGTTGTGTGAGACAGTCCACAAGGGCTTCAGGCACATAAGCGCCACCAAAGGTACCGAAACGAGGATCCATTTGGTAAAAGTTCTTGATATCATCAGGAGAGAAAGGGCCACGACCAGCGGCATCGTTGACTTCGATATCAGCAAGAGGAGCATCGGTGCCAGCAATGGTTTGAACAGGCTCAGTGCGGCCGGTAACTTCAGCAGCATATCTTTCCACAACAGCAGCTACCTTTTGTTTTTGTTCCATGGCTTCTTTGATGACAGTAATGATACGAGAACCAATAACGACACCTTCAGAATGAGCACCTACTTCGACAAAGTGTTCGCGAGTGGAGACACCAAAACCGACGGCCAAGGGAGCTTGGGTATATTTCTTGACACGAGCAATGATAGCAGGCAACTCTGAGCTGACGGTATCCTTGGCACCAGTGACACCCATACGAGAGACGACATAGATGAATGAATCGGCAAGCGTAGCAAGTAACTTGATACGAGCTTCAGTGGTGGAAGGAGCGATGAGAGGAATATAAGACAACCCATACTTGTAACAGACACCACGGAAAACATGAGACTCCTCAGGAGGCAAATCCACCAAAATAAAACCATTGACACCAGCCTCCTTACAATCACGTACCATCTCGTCTTCACCGTATGCAAGAATAGGGTTGTAGTAACCCATGAAAACGACAGGTACCTTTAATCCTTGAGCACGGGCATCACGCACCATTTGAAGGCACATTTTGATATCGGTTTGGTGCTTGAGGGCGATCTACATTGTGTGTACAACATGAGTCACTCTGCTACTCATTGGTGCATTAAAGAGAGATCTCGTCCAACTTACAGTACTGGCATATTGAATAGTAGGTCCATCTGCAATAGGATCGGTAAAGGGAATACCTACAATACACGATTCATGAGCACCCAAGCACACACATAACAACAAACAACAACTTACCCAATTCAATGACATCGGCGCCACCTCTTTCCAAGGCTAATAAGCTCTCTACAGACTCTGCAGGACTGGGATAACCAGCAGTGAGGAAAGTAACAAATGCAGGACGATCTACAAGATTCAATTAACTTCAAGGTAATCATACCAGGTACTGTTATTTGTGCTTACTTTGTTCTTTAGCAGTTGTAAATGCGTTACGAAGTGCAGCAGACATGATTTATGTAAATGTCAAAGTGAGAAAAAGTTGGTTAAAGCAAGATAATCTAAATTTGAAGTCCTGTCTATTTAAACAATCCGGAAAATATGGATCGTTGTTACAAATGTCAATTTGATTGGGGGTTGAAATGAGTCAGGATGGATATTGGTAGCATTTCGCTCTTAAGTCCTGGCTACCGAACCATTTCGCTGTAATCTCCTGTGCACCAGCTCTAAACCTTATTCCCTCTAGACCAGCTCTAAGGCCTTAAATCCGCTAGACCGTTGACTATTTTGTCTGCCCGCTTAGTTCTCTAAGCTTGATTGATGCAAGCTTTATTTCAAGAGATGCAGGCCAAAGTGCCGAATGATGCTGGCTCTTGCCTGTGCAGTGCTATAATAAAAAATCCGTATAGAAGTCTAGATTATACCAAGTTGCTTCCTTAGGACGGCGCCAGATGATGTTCTACGACATGTTTGAAAGATCATTGACAAGTGCTAATCGATTGCTAACGAATGATCTGCGATCTAGATATGCTTTAAATGTCAATATTATCATGTTCAAGATAGGCATAGCGAGAATAAAAATTTTGGCTAGGACTCTTTATTAAATTAGCGACAATTAAATTTATATGTTTGACATAAGAATGCACAGCAGAGTCAAAAATTAGTAGTCGGGCTAACTGATAGCACTTTCAATGCGTACTTCCCTTCTTATGAGCTTCCCAAATTATCGATTTTTAAAAGGTTTTTATTACTTGCTCCGCGTAGACAATAGTAGCAGGACTACAACCAAGCGGCAGGCGCAATTTTCTGTGACAATATTATATATGTTTAGACAAAGTATGAGAACGATTTAAAAGAGGGACTATTATAGGCTGGCATGAATGAGATCTTCATTGACCATCTTTTGGATGTCGAGTCGGATACTATTCAGCACAGCGGCGGGAGCGAAGGAAGTTTGATCGAAGATAAGACGATAGTGAGCCTTCCAAATGTTAGACATCGCAATGATGACTATATGATGGGAGGAAGCACGAGGCCGCTGACTATATCGAATATTGTAAAAGTCGAGAGTGAGGAGGGAATGGCGGATATCATCAGTGGTTACCGTGGGCCAGAGGAACTCAGAGATAATACCCTGCCAACCAAATTATCGATTGTCTTCACTAGAAGGCATTTTGCTAGCCAAAATTGATTAACGCTCCACTGGACATTCTGATTTAGATTGGCCAAATTCTGCTCAATTTCGACTTGTTTGATCCATCTTGTCAGATTTGACTATAAAACGGTGGTGATCCTTCCATACGCCCTTAAGCTTTCTTGACGTACTTTTTATGGCGCATCTAATGGTGCTAAATAAAATAGATGTTTTGATTAAATTCATTGAGCAATTCTTGAAAATATGAAATCAGGTTTTTGACGAAAACGTTGAGATTTTGCATACAAAAGTCTTCTAATTAAAGTGTCTGAGGTTGCATTGGATCGAGAGACACATTTTGATCTAATATGTACCATAATAGAAGTCTTCATTTTGAGGTCAAAAAAGCGATCGTTTGACTTTCGTTGAAAGCCATGAGGGGTACCTCATGCTCAAGGGTTCTTGAAGAAACTCACCGTATCCAGACAGAATCAACGTCAATTGAAACAACTGAGGCATCCAGTTACTCAAGAATTGCATTCTGATCAAGGTACTATGAGCGAGATCGCTGGCAGCTTTTACACGAATTTGTACACACCAAATTCACCCGATGCCAGATCAATGCGGTTATTGTTGGATCAAATCACACCTGACATGCAACTTGACGGTGAACAGCAATCACTCCTCGAACTACCAGTAGAGCTAGATGATTTGTTGTTTGAATGTAAAAGATCGCCTAAATTTGCGTCTCCCGGCAGCAATGGCATCCCTTACCAACTCCTCTGGCTGATTCTCTCATCACCACGGTCTACAATGACGCACTCACCAAAGGCATATTTCCTGCGTCCTGGAACGTCTCCCTCATGACAATCCTCTACAAGAAAAATGAACCCAATGACATGGCAAATTATAGACCTATCTCCCTCTGCAACACTGACTACAAACTCTTGACACGTTTGCTTAATCATCGAATGATGGAAGTCGCTAAGCAACTGATCAACGAAAACCAAGCGGGCTTCGTACCTGGGCGGTTCATTGCCCAAAACGCTCTGCGGTGTCAGGTCATAATGGAAGATGCTGAACGAACCATGAACTTGGCCAAGAAGAACAATGTGATACACCAAATGCCCAAAGCAATTGGCCTTAGTCTTGATCAGGAAAAAGCGTACGATCGAGTTAACCTCTCGTACCTTCAAACTGCACTCATTACCTATGGCTTCCATGCTAATCTTGTTCGCTGCATCATTAACATGATGGGCCAAAATCTCTTGCGCATCAATGTGAATGGTTACTTTACCGATGATGTTCCCAAGCTGCGAGGCTTAAAGCAAGGTGGCCCCATTTCCTCTATTTTGTACAATTTGGCTATTGAACCCTTTCTGTGGTCAATTCTCTATGATCCATTATACCACGGCTATCAAATGCAGTATGCAACTGACCATCCCAACTATAATGCTAATGACCCTTTAGTTCATGTGCCAAAAATCCTATGTTACGCTGACGATGCTTTTGTATTTGTTCAAGACCTTCCTGATCTGGCAAGGTTCGAGTACCACTTAGATGTCTATTGCAATGCAACCCATGCCAAGATTAACTACAACAAGGTCGAAGCTATCTCGCTCTCTGGTCAAAACACATGGTCATATTGGCAAGCACGACTCTCAGAAATGGATATCACAAAATTCACATCCAACATGGATTCCAATCCAGTGATCTATCTCGGGTTTCCTCTGCTGCAATCGGTTCAACAACGTGAAGTATTTATCGGTGGTCTTGTCGACAATCTCCGGACAGCTACCAAAATCCACAGTGTAAGAAGTCTCTCCGTGGTTGGCAAAGCTACAGTGCTCAACAGTTTAATCTTGTCCAAATGCTGGTATGTACTACGAGTAACACCATTTGCTCAAAGTAATGTCCAAGCTATCCAGTCCATTTGTACCAAGTTTCTACGAAAAGGCATCTTTCCTGTTATTCCCTGGGCCACATGGACCAAGCCAAAGCCATTAGGTGGATTAGGTGTTCTGGATGTTGCCCTGCAACAATCGGCCCTATACTTTCGTTGGGTTCAACCGCTCCTCCATCCCTCTGACTCGCCCCACACCCTAGATCTCATGCTGGTCATGCTAGTGAATAAGCAAAATCAGAGTGCGTATGTGCAGGTTCCGTTGCTCTTTCCCCTCACACGAACCACTGGTCTCACTAAACAACGCACCAACACGGTAACAATGATCTAAAAATCAGTTGACCGCCTCAAACGCATCCATGAACCAGTTCACCTCAACATTGCTACCGCCTTAATCCTACCTGTCAAAGCCATTCTGCAGCCGTCTGTCACTGTCTCCAAAATGCCAATTAGGGCCACTCAGTTGCAAGTAAAGGATCTCTATCAACCCAATCCTGACCAACCTCTGCAACTCGAAGCACGAAAAGCACCAACCATCCTAGCTGACATTCGACGCGCTTGCAAGAAAATCCTGAAGCAAATCAACCAGAACAAAGTACCTATCCAACTGTACTTTAGCCTCATGCTACAACTTCCTCAGGATAGCACCAAACGCACAACCGACATCTCCTTCAAACCGTTCATTGACTCCTATGACCTCAACAGCCAGCAAGGCATCACTCGACAGATTTCAACCAGAACATTCCGCACAGCATGCATCGAGGCTCACACCTCCAGCATTGCCAGGTCCAATTGGAATTTCTTCTGGTCTCTGTCCCTGAACCTTGTCCACCGTAATGTCATCTATCGCTTCCTCACCCACACCATCCCGACCAAACGCCTGCTACACTACTTTGAGATAGCTGAATCACCTCTCTGCCCAATCTGTGGTAACGAAGAAAATGCTGTACACTTGCTTTTCCTCTGCTCCAGTAAGGTATCCATCTGGAAAGCTATCATCTTTGAATTCTTGTGGCCAACCGTTTCGATTGGTGATATTATCCAAGCCTGTTCCTCTCTTGACTTTGAAAACATCAAACATGTCTCCAAATCGTACACCACTGCTCACATGGTCATACTGGTAACACTTGGCAACATTTGGCGAGCTCAAGTTCGTATGATCTTTCACTCGACTCCATTTACATGGATCGATGTGGTCTAGCAGATCAAGAACGAGCTCCTTCAACTACATGCCCAAACTGAAATTCACAAACAATTCTAATTCTCTAATCACAATTGTCATCTATCATCTGTTCCTGTCATCTATTGCTTTATCCTAAATATAATTGAATATCATATCAATTGCGCCCGCCTCTTGGTAGTGCCCTAGGGACCTACTTACACGGAGCAATCAATAAAAACATTTTTTTTTTTTTTTTTAAAAAAAAAGTACCTCATGCTTTCTGGTCGTTTTTTGACGATCCCAAGAAAATTGAACAGAGGCGTTAGAAAGCGAGTACTAGATGAGAGCAAATGTTTGATGCTATTCTGATGGCCAAAAAGCGCTTCTAACACGAGAAAATACGGCTCAATTGCGTCTAATCCTGCTGTGGTTTCCGTAAATTTGAAAATTCAGTGACAATACAAGTATGCTGCCTGCCCGTATACAAACGAATCTCATTAGTACCGATATATAGCACCTAGATAATTCAATGAGTTTCGGCATGGCATTTGGCTGTCGACAAGCAAATGGTACTTCCGTCAAGCATATATCATAAGCGCTGAAACTTATTCAGTAAGAGCACCTATTTACAGACTACTCATCTAAAGCGTGTGTAAATTGTGTACCAAGTACTTGTACAAGCAAGATCGATCTGTACAATCTGGTACAAGTTGGGAATTCACTAAGGTACAGAAAAGTTCTTTTGAATCATCAGATTTTTCTGAACGCGGGATACGCATACACACTACTCAACTTGCTACGACAATGTGCTCAAGGCATACACCCCAGTGCTTGCATGTAACGTAGCACGAATTAAGCAAAAAACGACCGACTTTTATGCATTGCAAGTACAGTGCTGACGGATACGGTTCGAGCAATGTATTGGGAATGTTCTCAAATGAAATCGGATTAGCAAAATCAAGGCAATGCCGATGGGCAGTATTGCCACCGAATGTTGTATTGTGTCTCGTTTAAATTTTCTGATGTCGATCTCGGATGAAGCTTTGTAGTCATCATTTGCCAAATGAACTCATTCATTGGCAACGCGTTTACCTTCGTAGTGAATTTCATATGAAAACAGGAAACCCATTGCAAACACAGCAATCGCTGTTGCATTCAATGGTAATCAAGCGTTATCTGTGTTCCTGTATTACGGATCACGCATACTTTTTGTGTCAATCAAATGACAGTGGATATTCAGAGCTAGTGGTCCTCGATAACTTCCTTTGATGGCAAAGAGTAGCATTTAAGGAATGCATTTATCAGGTGTTATGGTTTTTGGAATGTCGCTGTGCGATACAATATCGGTATAACTGTAAATCCGTAAACGATTGCTATTTCTGATTTGCGATATTTCGACGTATTCATCATTTGTGGTTTCAGGTATACTCTTTGCAAGTCTGCGTTTTCTGTACAAGCTACTATACACCTATTTTTGTATCTCAAGTATATTAAAGGTCAAGTGTGTACATCCTCCATCTTTGCATTAATGAATAGAGCTGTTGCTGGCCACGATACTGACAGAGTGCCTAGCAATTCAAGTGACAAAGAATACATCTAAACCTGAGTGCTGCCTATTACCTTAGTATACAGTTTTTATACCGATCAGGCTCGATATACTTTCAGAGCTCTTCCCCCCCTGAACGGGATTCAAATGGGTAAGCAAAGGTTATTATGTCTTGATACCTCGTTTGGTGCTGGAGATTTGCTTAGCTGTACTTGCTCATGTTCCCAAAGTGAGATGTACATTTCACGTTGGTAGGAAGCAGTGGATTCGATTATAAATACACTCTTAAATGAATTGAATCTTTTGATATAAAATGGGATAAGCATTGGCAAAGTGATCTTCAGCCAACACCTTACAGTATACTGTCGATCAAAATCATTTTTGCACTTTCCGTTGCTGCTGTAGCTAGCACATTCGCCTTCGACGTAGTTAACATTGCTGACTGTCTAAGACTACCTGTCAGAAATAATACGATAAAGGACGTTACTGGCCTGCGAGTAGACATCACAGTGATTGGAGGGTTAGGTGGCAGATATTGTGGACATCAATGAAAACATTGAATCATATCATGTGGCGCTGTTGCCATGAATTTGGATTACGAGTTGGATTGCACTGTTTCTTGTAAGCATAAATGTAAACGATGTGAGGATTCTACGGCCATAGGCATGAAACTTATGTTTTCTCTACCGTGTTTTAAAAAGACTGGAAGATGATTACCATTCAGGTTGGCAGCAACGATCAATGCGCATTGTGCGGCGGTATCATAGTGGATCATGTTACTGACGATGCATATGATAATTACGTAGAGGCGGCCATCAAGCGTGTCAAAGCAGAGATCCTAAGAGTCGTGGCTAATCTTTTTAAGCTGCTGCACTGTAATCAAGCATTCAGTCTCATGTAAACATCCATCTGATAGTTGCTAGATTCAAGGTTTCGGGTATATTCTCGCTTTCTGCTGGACAGGCTTACTGTGTACCTAACGGATATTTCAACAGTACAGACGTCAATTATGCAGAGAGCCTGGCAAAAATGTATGCCTTTTCTAACGGTAAGCTATATGTAGCGAGCAAGTGGTATTGATTGCTAAAACATCAGTAGCATTGAACAAATATTTGATTTTCTCGAATAGCAATTGTATGGTTACATGTGTCCCAGCGTTCTTCTCTGCTTACGATGGTACAAATACCCCACAAGTGATTCTCCCTGCGTGGAACAAATGAGCTCATTTGTTACGCTATAAAGCTAATATGTACCGCTGTTCCTAACATTGAATATGGAGCTATTCTTCTTTTACAGTATAGTGAAAATGCCTTACTCATCTTGAATCCCACATACCATAAGTAGTTACAAGAATGGTTATATCACCAGTTGAGTTAGTATTGATCAATGCTTATATTAAATTTGCCATTAGATAGGCGGCTACATCAATTCATCTAGTGGAATGATTGAATCCCTATAGCGACAAAAATTCGTCGACTGTAGAAGAGCGTATAATGTATAAAAATTCATCTTTTGCCGTAATTTTTATTTGTAGCAACCTCGAATATGGAATATAATAGGAATTTCAAGCTTTTAACATTCTGTAGAACATTTACACAGGTGATCAGTAGGATGGCAACCTTCTAATAGGGTAATTATACCACTCATTGAATCTTGTGACACGATCGGATTGCATGAAAGGGTCTCTTCATGCCACATGGATTTCAAAGACAAGCGATGCATTCTTGATGTTAAGTGGGTACCGCGTTCTAACGTACAATAGCTAGACATTATGATTTTAAATCAGCCAATGCCGCATATTTGGCTGATCGACATTTGTACATATGCAATTGCAGGACATAAAGGCATATGACCCAACATACTTGGTAACAACAATTAGCATAAACCATGGATAAACCTACGGCCGAAAAACGTAGGGAGCACATAAAAGCAGCTCTCAAGAACTAGTAGCCATGCTATAAGCTCACCTTGTAGCATGTACACATTGAAATTTACACACAGTACCTCGGCTAAGTATATTGTACCTGAAAAAATCAACCATGTGGTTTATACGTGTAAACACAATGTGTTTCCACCCTCTTTTTTCTCTTTCTTGTTGCATTAGCACATCTTGAGAGAACCAGCACTTCTTCACACTTCATTAAAAATGTATAACGCTTCACCGGAAGGTCATTTGCAATCAAATATAGCTACACCTTGCTACAAGATGTAACCTTATTTTAGTATATAAGCAACGGTTTCAAAGTATGTTCAATGCAGCAATACAAAAGAAAATCGCAATGGTTTCTCTCAAATCAATCATAGTTCTCTCTGTGTCCGTAGCCAGTGTTCTTGCTGCTAATGTAGCCAATATTGCTAGCTGCCCTGCCTTGAAGCCTCGTGCTACTCCTGCAAAGGACGTTACTGATCTCAGGATCGATGATTTCAAGATTGTGGGTGCTTTAGGTGATAGTATTATGGCAGGTTTTGCTATGATGGGCATCGATTATGAGGGTGCTGGTATTCTGAACCTCAGTCTTGTTTCGGAATACCGAGGCAACAGTTATGCAATTGGCGGCGACACTGGTGCCGTTACCCTTTCCAACTTTATCAAAAATTACCAACCAAATGTGAAGGGTGCTTCCATCTTGTCTCATGTTGTTTCCTATTGTAGCGGTGATACTTGCGGTTTTCCAGAGACTCTCTGTAAGTATAGTTATACCTTGTCTGTGAATGCAAAGCTAAAACAAAATTATGCTTATAGATCGACCCCTGAGGGATAATTTGAACGCTGGTCAAAGTGGTGCTGTTGCCATGAATCTTGATTACGAACTGGATTATCTCATTCCTCGTATGCATTACCTAGTGATTGTTTGATTGCTATAGCCCTAACATGATTATGTTGCTTCACAGGCATGAAATCTTATATTCTTTCAACTAGTTACAAGAATGATTGGAAACTCATTACAATTCAGATTGGTAGTAACGATCAGTGTGCTTCATGTGACAGCAGCATCAAGGATCATGTCACCGCTACTGCCTACGGTCAATACGTTGAAGCTGCTATCAAGAGAATCCAAGCTGAAATCCCCAAGACTGTTGTCAACTTGCGTAAGTAAAACAATACAAAAGCGGTCTCTTCATGCGGGAAAATCTGATCAAATGCTTTTTAGTTGGCACATTTAAAGTATCTGGTGTATTTCCCTTGTCTGCTGGCCAGGCATACTGTGTACCCAATGGCATCTTGGAGAATAAAAAAGAATGCTCCTGTTCTAGCTCTGCTGAAAATTTGACAAAGATGGATGCCTTATCCGATGGTAAGCCTGTGGACATGAACTTTATCCGTTGAATGCTTATTGAAAACACATAGCGTATAACCAACAATTACAAACTATTGCAAACAAGTACAAAGGCCAACCTAATGGAACATTTGCTGTTATGTATAGTCCTGCTCCTATTGACATTTCTACCTTCCCTATTGATGCCTTAAGGTTTGTAATCATCGGCCTATCTTTGCTATCAAACATTAGAGTTAACTTGTTATATACATTTCTCAAGTAATGTTGACTGCTTCCATCCATCTTTGAAGGGTCACCAGTGGATTGCAAAAGCATTATGGAATCAGCTATTTTTAAAGAGCAGCGCCAAGCCGCCATCAATGAAATTTGATGCCAACCTTGGGGTAAGTATTTGGAGCAACTATTGCATCAATCACATTAATCAAACCACTACTTCTTTTCAACATGCTTAGGTTTATTGCCCAACTGTAAGTTATTTAAACAAGAAATTTCTTTTCAAATATGATTTTTTAACATTATTTTTCGTCAAAAATAGGATGCTGACAGACTTCCTACCGCTTGAGAGTCTACCGATTGATAACGTTACATTAACTTTTCTCAAATATTGGGCCCTCAGCAGATCATGCACTACGAGAAACAATAAAAAAACTAATGGAGCAAGTATATTTTGATTTACGGAGCAGAGGTGTTCTTAAGCATCTGCTTTAACAAATCTTGAGCATATATCATATCATGCAAAAAAGATTTCTAAACGACGTATGTAATCGTGACACTCTAATAGTAAAGGTAATTCAAACAACTGTGATTGACTCTATGAAGCGTTCCACAGCTTTTGGGCTAAACAAGATTAATGACCGTGATTAATATGGCATGGATTGGCTAACGTTTTTTGCAATAATGCCTCGAAAAGGCTCCCCACTTCATGCTTGACAATATGGCATAGCTGTTTAGGGAGTAAAACTGTTGCATACAGACGCTTAACCGAGTTGCTATATGTAGCAACCTTAGGTCCAACCCTAACGTGTCTAGATATTTGATACTTTTACAGTTCTCTACGTTGAGGACAATGAAGGTATACATTCCTTCAAATAATGATCACTATATATGGAAAGCAGCCGAGCGATCTTAATAACTTTCAAATCTTCATTATATATACAAGAACATAAAAATGCATAAGTTAGTTTTACCAAAATCAATATGCCTCCTATTCGAATTAAAAATTGCTCAAGCTACCGAACTGCCTTTCCAGTAAATTGCAGCTACCAAAGACGTGATTTATGCCGTGTAAATACACTCTATAAAGCAATACATAACCAAATTTTATAGATTTCAAGCCTTCATACCTTGACAGGTAGACCTTTTTGAGCCACCAGAGTGATGCCAAACAATTGTACTTGAGTAGTAGTAACATCCTGATACCTTTGCTCAACTTTTTGGGCTAAAAAAAAAATATGGCCAAAAATCGACTAAAAAGCATGAGGAATACCTCATGGTTTTCATCGAAAATCAAACGATCGCATTTTTCACCTTGAAAATGAAGACTTTTACTATGGTATACGAGCCTTTCAGCACTTCGGGTGGTTTCCTGACCTACGCTTCGCTTCGGTGGAAACCAACCTACGTTCAAACGGCTCGCGCTGCCGCGGGCCTTTGGCTAATATCCCAAAATTAATATAGCTAAAATGTTAGAAGAGGAACCCTGATTGTTGATTGATATATAATCACTAATCATATGAGTGTTTATGCTTCGGATGGTTCTCACCGAAGCGTAGCGAAGGTAGAGAACCAACCTGCGCAGCGGCAGCTCGTGCTGCTGATTTCTCTTGCGTATTTTATCAAAATACTGCTACTTTCATTTTGACCCTCCACTTACACATAGCAACCCTTCATATTATCTGTGGATCTGATTCTTATGTGATGTTCTACATCCATATACACGTAGCTACTTCATATACGGGCAAGCAGCATACTGGTATTCCCACTTTTTAGTCCTTAGTGTCCCTAATACAGCAAAATATGAGTGCATTTGAGCTGAATTTTCTTGCGTTCAAGGCCGTTTTAGATCGTCAGAATAGCCCCAAATGGTTGCTTTCATCTGGCAGTTACTTTCTGACACTTTTGCTCGACTTTTTGGGGACCAAAAAAACATGGTCAAAAATCGACCAAAAAGCATGAGGTATCCCTCATGGTTTTCATCGAAAATCAAACGATCGCATTTTTCATCTTGATAATGGAGACTTTTACTATGGTATATCTTGAATCAAAATGTTTCTATCAATCCAAAGCAACCTCTGAAATTATCTTTGTGGGACTTTGATATGTAAAATTTCGACATTTTGGCCATAAACCTCTTTTCATATGTTTACAAATCATTTAATAAGTGAATTCAAAACATCTATTTTACTTAGTACCATTGGAAGCGCCTTGAAAAGTACTCCAGGAAAGCTTAAGGAAGCATGGGGTGATTATCATACTTCACTTAGTCGAATCTGCAAAAATAGCTCGATCGAGTCCAAAATTATCAAAATATGTCCAATCTGGAACAGACTATGATTCTGGGTTTGAATTAATTTTGGCTGGTAGGGCCAGCTGGAAAACTCATGCCCTTTTCATAAGGCAATACAGTAGTAAATGCCCTTGAAGCGTATAGAAAGTAGGTGGAAGGTCATAGCACTATCGTTTATAATGATATTTTATTGCCTTCTATATCGTTCATAATGATATTTTATTGCATTCTATATTTAATAACGTTAGTCTGGACATTGACAATGCATGGGTTGCATAAAATGTCTGCAGTAAGTAATGAAATCTCTGAGGCTCTGAGACGTCGCTCAAATAAAACATTGACAGCATTGAGCAGAGGAAAGAGGGTAGAAACAACAGTGGTTTTTGTTGATTGATTGTAAAATCATTATTCTCATATGAGCCAGGACAGATAGATGCCTTGAAACTCAGGTTCCATATTAGGATTGTAAAGTGCAAAAGTACTGAACATTTATTATGTTATGATATGAGCCAGGACAGATAGATGCCTTGAAACTCAGGTTCCATATTAGGATTGTAAAGTGCAAAAGTACTGAACATTTATTATGTTATGATATGAGCCAGGTCTGATAGATGCCTTGAAACTCAGGTTCCATATTAGGATTGTAAAGTGCAAAAGGACTGAACATTTATTATGTTATGATGATATGAGCCAGGTCTAATAGATGCCTTGAAACTCAGGTTCCATATTAGGACTGTAAAGTGCAAAAGGACTGAACATTTATTATGTTATGATATGAGCCAGGTCTAATAGATGCCTTGAAACTCAGGTTCCATATTAGGACTGTAAAGTGCAAAAGGACTGAACATTTATTATGTTATTCGTCTCCGGGACTTTTGTCGCCTTCATTCGGTACGCAACCTTACCTTTCGAGGACGGGTTACTGTTCTCAATTCACTCTTGTTCTCTAAAGTGTGGCATATTGCACGCTTGTTTCCTTTTTCGGCTAACGATATTCACAAGCTACAACAGCTGGGCGCCTCGTTCGTTAACCAAAATGCCAAACTAACTCGATTCTCTTTCGCTACTCTCTGCCTCCCTCGTTCTCATGGCGGCCTTGGTCTTTTGGATCCTGCTGTGCAGATCAACGCCCTTCAGTGGCGCTGGCTTCATCCACTTTTGCACCCATCCGATCCCACTCCTCCTACCAAGACTTCTCTTCCTTATCTCCGTGTCATCCTCAACTTCTTCCTCGCTACTCCCTCATACCCCACCTACCACTGGTCTCTCCTCTTTCCTGCCTGTAGGCCATCAAGCGCCAGAAAGGTCATCGCTCCTCTCTACAACATTCTTCGCGCCGTAGATACCATTGTTCGTAAGTTTGGTGTCTGTCATGTTTCCTTCAGTACTTGTCTACGCCTGCCATTTTCGACCTTGGTTGAACATAACCTTCCACCCAACCATAGCTTATCGCCTACATTTCGCTCACCAAAGGAAGTGGTAAAACACTACCCCAGAGTGCTTCAACTTACAGGTAATGATGTTTTCATCTTTGATACCACCACTCAAGCTCTTCAACTTCGCACTTCGGTCATTGGCCTACCCCACCAACCCACCAGCTTACGCGCTATCAATTTTCTTCAGGCTCAAAACCTACTGCTCACCAACTTCATTCACTTCAACATGTTGCTCCTTGTCCCTCGTCCAAACATCACACATATCGACCTCTCCACCATCACCAACTATTCCGATAGTATCAGCCTCGTATCCACCCTTCTACTCTCTTTATTGGCAACTTCATTTTCTTTTGAGTCTCATTCATTCCTTTTATCCCTCCCTACTAATCAAGGATTCAAATCCCTCCCCCTTCACACTAACCCTTCCTCTTATTCGTCCCCTTTAGGTGTTGCCAAATGGAAGCAGTTTTGGACTCTCCAGATTCCTTTGAATGCTCGCAATACTTGGTTCCGGATCCTTCATGAAAAAGTTACTACTCGTCAATTATTACATCAACGGCTTCGCGATTCATTTACCCCGTACTGTCCTCACTGTCAGTCTTCGTCATCCACAATCCCCACCATCATCGAAGATACTGAGCACTTCCTCTTTTCCTGTCCTCGAAAATTGGACGTCTGGCGACAAACTCTCTCTCTTTACATCTCACCTCGATTCTCTTACTTTGCGTACGAGGAATACATTGCCATCCTCCACCTTCGCCTCGATATTGACCGCTCATCTCATGAACTTTTTCCTGCATTATCCGTGTTCCAGGTCTTTGCTTGCATCCAACAGGCTATCTGGTCTGCTCATTACCGCCAAGTTTTCCAGCACGTCCCTTTCATCCCGTCTACTGTCATCCACTCCATTCATCGTACTCTCCTCAATTTAGACTCCCAACTTTCCTTCGATACAATTATCTGAGCTTCCCCTTATATCCTCCAGTCTTTATATCCCCTCCCTCTATATTAGGTGACGATTTAAGGACTTTAAATAAAAACAGAAGTGCCTACTTCCTTATAAAAAAAAAAAAACATTTATTATGTTATGATATGAGCCAGGTCTAATAGATGCCTTGAAACTCAGGTTCCATATTAGGACTGTAAAGTGCAAAAGGACTGAACATTTATTATGTTATGATATGAGCCAGGTCTGATAGATGCCTTGAAACTCAGGTTCCATATTAGGATTGTAAAGTGCAAAAGTACTGAACATTTATTATGTTATGATATTGAATCAAAATGTTTCTCTCAATCCAAAGCAACCTCTAAAACCACTTTTATGAGGCTTTCATATGCAAAATATGGCTATTTTCGCTAGAAACCTCATTTCATAATTTACCAAATTTCTCAGTAATTTGATTCAAGAAACCTATTACACTTGGCAACATTGGAAGCGCCTTGAAAAGTACTTCAAGAGTGTATTAGGAAGCGTAAGGTGATCATCATAATTTATATAGTCGAACATCATAAAATAGATTAAAGAAGTCGAAAAAACACGAAAAAAATAAAATGTGTTTGAATCAATTTTGGCTGCGGCATTGCTGCTGGCTGATCTAAATGTCTTTCTGTTGATGACAATGATGATTGCGATGCTGATTAAATGGGGATCATGGAAATGAAAGGACAATTGCTTAGCGCAAATACTTTTTTTTGGGGAGTTTTACCTCATAAAGATGTCTTTTGCAACGACAATATCTCAGAAAAGTCGCTGTAGATCTTACAAAAGTCCTATATTTACAGATGGCCAGCTTTATGCCGTTATCTCAAGGGCAACATCAGCGATTGGATACTCCCCCCTCCTAACTCTGTTGATATAGCTTTTTTTTTTTTACTATTAATTGATTGTTTAAAACTTACTTGATATACCAGATTTTTATTGCCTCTGATTTAAAATGTCTTCAGCGAGGGCCGCAGGGCAACGCCGTCGTCGAGCGTAGCGAGATTGATCGGCTACTAGTATGGCAATTACTTTAAAATGTACCTGGCAGAGTAAATCTGGTGCGTATACGATGGATTCGAGTAAGATGAGCAGGTTTAAAAGTGTTCCATACTGAAATTTATTGTGGCTATAAAGTAAACAAAAGAATAGAGAGGGGAAAACGAGATGAGTAAATTTAAATATAAGATATATACAGGCTTTGGTTGGTGTCAATAAATTATGAGGAAGGAAGCTATAAATTTATCCACTGCAGCTTACACAAGCGTCCTTGTTATCAATAGAACAGACCATATCAGCTGCATTCTCCTCTTCAGTCTTCTTTTTACGATATTCACGCAAAGATAATTGATCGACAGTGAATTTGATGGCATCAACAGCTGGACGAGTACGTAGATAGTACATACCAGTCTTCAAGCCCTTTTGCCAACCGTAAAAGTGCATACTGGTCAACTTACCAAAGTTGGGCTCACCAATAAAGATGTTCAAACTTTGACTTTGATCAATAAAAGCACCACGATCAGCAGCCATGTCAACCAAAGTACGCTGACTCAACTCCCAAACAGTCTTGTAGATATCCTTGAGATTTTGTGGGATGCCAGGAATGTTTTGAATGGAGCCACCGTCAGACATAATCATATTCTTGATATCTTCGTTCCAAAGATCCATTTCTACCAAATCCTTTAACAACCAAGGGTTAACAATCTGGAATTCACCAGCAAGAACACGACGGGTATACAGGTTGGAAGTGTAAGGCTCAAAACATTCATTGAATCCCATGATTTGCGATGTAGAGGCAGTTGGCATAGGGGCGAGTAAAAGAGAGTTACGAACACCATGCTTGGCAATCTTTTCCTTCAAAGATGCCCAATCCCACAGAGAAGTAGGGGTGACATTCCACATATCGTATTGCAAGATACCTTGAGAGACAGGACTACCTTCATAAGTTTCATAAGGCCCAAGTTGTTCAGCCAACTCATTGGATGCTTCTAAAGCAGCATGATAGATTGTTTCAAAGATCTGGATATTGAGTTCCTTGGCTTCAGGGGAATCAAAAGCAAACTTCATCAGCATGAAAGCATCAGCTAAACCTTGGACACCTAAACCGATAGGGCGATGTCTCTTGTTGGAGCGCTCGGCTTCAATCACAGGATAGTAGTTGACATCAATAATTTTGTTCAAATTCTTGGTAATAACCTTGGTAACATCATGCAGTTTTTGGAAATCGTACTTTTCTCTGTTGATGACAAATGAAGGCAAAGCAATGGAGGCCAAGTTACAAACAGCAACTTCGTCAGGGCTGGAATACTCGACAATCTCAGTACAGAGATTACTACACTTGATGGTGCCCAAATTTTGCTGATTACTCTTTCTGTTACAAGCGTCCTTGTAGAGCATGAAAGGATTACCGGTTTCAGTTTGTGCTTCTAAAATAGCATACCACAGCTTTTGTGCTTTGATAGTTTCTCTAGCTCTACCCTCACGCTCGTACTTTTCAAACAAAGCCTTGAATTCATCACCCCAAACCTCGCAAAGACCAGGAGCTTCATTAGGACAGAAAAGAGACCATTCACCGTTATCTCTGACACGTTCCATGAAGAGATCAGGCACCCACAAAGCATAAAACAGATCGCGAGCTCTAATTTCATCCTTACCAAAATTCTTGCGGAGATCAAGGAACATGAAAATATCAGCATGCCAGGGTTCCAGGTACATGGCAAAAGCGCCAGGACGCTTGTTACCACCTTGATCAACATAACGAGCAGTGTTGTTGAACACACGCAACATGGGTAAAAGGCCGTTGGAGTAACCGTTGGTACCAGCGATATAGGAACCAGTAGCACGGACATTGTGAATGTTCAAACCAATACCACCAGCAGTCTTGGAGATTTGAGCACAGATCTTGAGAGTCTCATAGATGCCTTCAATTGAATCCTCCTTCATGGTCAATAGGAAACAAGAAGACAATTGAGGGCGAGGAGTACCAGCATTGAACAAGGTAGGGCTAGCATGAGTGAAGAAACGCTCTGACATCAAGTTGTATGTCTCAATAGCAGCATCGATGTCCTCGCCGTGAATACCAACAGCAACACGCATAATCAAATGTTGAGGCCTTTCAGCAACTTTACCATTGATTTTAAGCAAGTAGGAGCGCTCTAACGTCTTGAAGCCAAAGAAATTGTACTTGAAATCACGGTCGTAGATGATGGCAGAGTTGAGACGTTCAGCATTAGCCATGATAATGTTGTAGATGTCTTCGGCGATCATAGGAGAGTGCTTATTTGTCTTTGGGTTGATATACACGTAGAGGTCTTCTACAACTTGAGAAAAGACCTTCTTGGTTTCCTTGTGAAGATTGGAGATGGCGATACGAGCAGCCAATTGAGCATAATCAGGATGAGTAGTCGTCATGTAGGCAGCTGTTTCCGCAGCAAGGTTATCAAGTTCAATGGTGGTGACACCTTGATAGACACCGGAAATGACCTTTTGTATGAATCAGATTAGCTGCGACTCTATTATTCACTGTATAGGCACCTACCTTTTGAGTAATGGCCACTGGATCAACATAGTTCATATCAAGACCGTAACACAGTTTGTTGATTCTGGCGGTAATCTACGTTGTGAAATGACTCAGTGAAATGCTCCATATTTACACGGCAAAACAACTTACCTTATCGAAAGCTACTCTTTCACGTCTTCCATCTAGGCACAATACCGTTAACACTAGCACTTCATGATGGCAATGACCGTTTGATACCTCTTTTGTAGACAAACATGGGCATAATCCTGATTTATATTATTGGTTTCAGAAGGAAAGAAGAGGAGAAAGAGGGTCAAAAAATGAAGAAACGATGCTTCTTTTATTGCTACGCGTGACTGAAAAGAAAATTTTACATTTCATGAAGCTGTTTTACTAATCAACCATCGCGCTTCATGTACGCGTTTAAGGCAGTCCATCCTTCTTGTGCTACATTGCAACTGGATTGCACAAAACAACAGCTATAGAGGCAGATGGTGTTCTGTTTTCTGACATTTGAAAGGACGGAATACATATTCCTGAAACGTGCATAATGCATTTGAATTTTCTAAACGTTGCAATCAAAACCTGCTGAAATTCAGGTCCTCTTCATCCAGAGCGTCTATACTTTCAACTGATAGATCAAAAGCCCCATCCATTTGTCCCAAAAGCAACTCCAGATGTGATGTGATTCAAAATGTTTTCTAATCTTTATTTCACTTTTGTTGTCTCTCGTTATATTGTTGAACATGGAATTCAATAAACTTCTTAACGTTGTCTTGATGGTATTGATCAAGATGTAAGTGGAATTCCTTCTCTAAACGTTTTACTGCATTATCCGAGGGCTCATTGGCATAAACAGGGAGACTGGCATACACACCATGATTCAATTCGATCTTCAGGTTGATGATTGGTTGCTCTAACTTGAGGCTTACAGTTGGCACCTCATTATTTTTTTGATATATAGGTTGTGGTGGTTGTGTTTGTGGTTGTGTTTGTGGTTGTGTTTGTGGTTGTGTTTGTTGAGGAGGTTGTTGGGTAAAAGCGGAGGGAGCAGGTGAAGAAGACGAGGCGTATTTTGAGGCAGCAGATCCTTGATTAGTTCTAATAAATGTGGAAGGAGCAGTAGATTGTACAATTGGTCTGGGAGGTGCTACAGCAGGAGCAGCAGGCTCAGGTTGTCTAAATTGTTGAGCAGGAGCTGGTGCTGGAGCAGGTGCAGGTGCACGAGCAGGAGGAGCGGCTTGTGCTCTAGCAGCAGAGGCAGCAGGCGGAACAGTAGCATATTTACTAGCCATTGATCCATTACCAGCTTTGTTGGCAGGTGATTCCCAGAAAGGAGTTGATGAGAGTTGAGCAGATCCCCAAGGACCTGTAGTAACTGCTTCTCTTCCACGGTACGCAGATGATGAGGGAGGGACCAAAGAGCTAGGAACTGGTCTTCTAGGGGGAGGAGGGAAAGCAGCAGCAGCCTTGGGCTTCTTTGGTTTCTTCTTCTTCTTGCTACCACCCAGACCACCCTTTGGGATAGGCTTACCTAAACGTCTGTCGATGATGGCTTGTTCATCCACAGGTTGATAGTTGGCACCACGACGATGAAGTTGACCACTACCAATACCACCAGCCTTTGTCTTGATATTAGGATCGATGAGGCTCTGCCAGCCACTCATACTCAAGCTAACATTGGTAGAGCCATCCTCTGCGATGGATTGACTGCCCCAAGCAGTAGCCTCAATAGGCTCATATTCATCATCTGTATATTCTTCGCTTGTGTACTCGTCAGAAACGTCTGCAGAGCTATTTCCTTGTTGCTGTTGTCGTAGGGCTTGATTCCAATTACTCATTTTTTGAACGTTGGCTATCTAAGATGAGAAATAGAAGGAAAGAGAGAGAGAGAGAGAGATAGAACACGTACGGATGGGTGAATGAAAAAAATAATAATTCAAAAAAAATTCTTCTCGTTGGTGGTCTTTTTGAATACCGAAGCAGATGTGATAAAAAAAAAAACACACCATCTGATATCCTCGTTGCTCCACCTAATCTTTCACCGTATGAGACTTGTAAATGGATGCATTGTCAAGTACGAAATACTTGTAATTCATACCGGCTGTATCAATTGTAGTGAGAACTTGCTCTATAAATTCTAAACAGTCGTTGCTGGTTGTGCCTTTTTTTTTACAACTGGGGTGTCATCTAATCGCTGTCTTTTCCTGCTGTTGCTGCAGTGATGATTTCCTTTCGTAAAAGGGTAATAACACCGTCTTTGGAAATAGCACCTAAAATACTCACATTTGGTTCCTTTGTTTCAACTTGGATTTTGCAAGGCGTTCCTACTTCACTCCAACCATAATAAGAGCGATGCATGTTTCTGTTGAATCCAGCCTCAACATCAATTAATAATAATGTCGAAACACTGGGAGTTTCCTTTATATGGATTACTTGTAGCCACTAAAAATCCATTTATACGATGGTGTTTAGCAGCCCCTCAATGTAGGCATATAATCGTTTTGATATATAAATCTCCAACATCAACATGAGCTGTAAAAAACCAATTCCCTACCTTTTGCTAAAATGCGCTGCACAGCTGCTTCTAACTTTTGCCACACTACAACAACGAAGCAAGATATCATCATCAAGCCGTTTTCACTTTATCATTTTGCAACACCTCATCTGTCAATCTATTGCTCGTAATCGCTGCTGGTAATTATCTGATTCTATATATCTACCTCCTTGTAATGAAATAGCCACCCAAACGCAACTTAATTGAAAACCAAAGTTCATCAAATAGCACTCATTCAAATTCATGCTATTTGGATCTATTAATGAAAGCGCTCAAATGTACATCAAAAACCCATTTAAAAATACTAAAGTAAAGATACACGCTTATATCGCACATCGTGTGAATGAATCACTCCTGATCACAGTGTATTCAATCACACCCATGATGGTCGTAATAGGTGATGGTATCTTTATCCAAATAGAATTAAATCAATAACAAGCATATTCAAATATGACAACTATGCCCTGCTGCCATAGTTGCACAATATCCCAGATAAAGAATTCCATGCTTCAATAACAAACATCACACTTTAAACCATCAAGGTTACATTAAATCATGCTATGACGATAGCTCACCCAAGCCCATCAAGGTTACTCAAATCGACCCTTATGGCCAGTGCTCCTGCATTGATTACCACTTTAAATCAAACATCGACAACATTTGCCAGATATCGCAATAGCAGCACCTATTGCTCTCTATCATCACTAATCCTACAAGCTAGTTGCAAATGTATAAATACTCTTCTTTTTTTTACTCAATTCCAGGATCTTCAGTTCATTTTATACACAAAATAAAATACAGTTGATTTCTATTGTATTTTACTATTGCTTTATTTTTTTTTGTGAAATCTATTTAAACCTGATTTCACTGCACTCCTCATTACAACTCATATTTGCCTTATTTTATAAATTTTCTCTATTTCTTACCAACAAAACTACTCATCCAATCTAAATTTCAATAATTACTCCTCCTCCTCCTCCGTCCTTCTTTTTGCAAAATTTGGCTGTACCAGCATCCTACTTTCGAAGCTCTGACATAAATAATAGTTTAATATTTGATTTTGGATGGCGTAAACCTCGAGACAAAAAATACATTTGTACATCATTGGAAACCTTTGATATGAAGTACAAGATAGCAACTCATTAAATTGGAACATGTTGGATATTAACCATAAACAATGCATGTTTGGCGGGGCTGGTAGAATTAGGTTCTCCTAGTAGTATCTACGGTAATAGTGTATCATTATACCTATATTATGACTTTCCTGCCCCTACATGATGATATCAAGCTTAAAGAACTTCCTTCACATGTCGTTGTTTAATGCATACTAGATCAAATGACTGCATCATATTTTATAGTTTTAAATAAAGAAGGCTTTAAATTGTATCTATTTCGCTACCCTTTTATTACAACTATAAACTCATTATAAAAGATGACAGCTCAACAGGAGATCAACAAGCTAGAACCCTTCGGTCCCTGAACCTCTGAGCCAATCAAATCGCTTGAAAACTCCGCTGACCTAAAAAAAATTTTGCGAGGGTTTCCCCCTGTTTTAATGTGAGGCAAAATTTTAAGCTCCGCTATATATAGCAATATAACTGCTACTATCATCAAATTTCCCTCAGGTGCTAGAGCATGCCTTACTTACACCACCTAGCTTTAGATTCTGGCATTGAGACCCTCAATCATCACTAAAGTAAGTAGCGATAACCAAGTGGAGACAGCCTATCTACCTCCTAGTCTCGGATAGAGTCTTGTTGAGCTTCAGGGATAGGCACATCCACACAACGTAAAAGAAAAAAGGTATGCTTCAAAGAAACATAATAATAATAAAAGAAAGAAGAAAAGAACATACTACTATACGAGTATAGTAGTACGTAGGCAAAAAAGGGTTACTCACACAAAGTGAGTCAAAGAAAAGTATAACAAATACAACATTAGAGACGTTCAGAACAACTCGTTGTTGTTGCAACACAAATGCATACATGAGTAACATGCAGCATGGTAATAGTCGGATGTAAAGCAACACAACCAACAAAAGAAAAAGAAAAACGCAACAACGTAAACATCATGATAAAATGCATTATCGTGAGAAAGGAAGCAATAATACAAACGCTCAAAGAAGTTTTATATCATTGCAACCAGAAGAAAAAATATACTTACCACTTACCGCCACCGTAGATAGACCAGAGAATACGCAATCACCGGATATAGACCAGAGAACGAACATGCACCATACACAGTAGACCAGGAAAGACCATATTAGCAAAAGTAGCAGCAGCAGCAGCAGCAACACCAGCACCATAGAAAAAACCAAAAAAACGGACCACACCAGAGACCAGACAAAGACCAAAGAAGCAATCACCAGAGATAAACCAGAGATAAACCAGAGGACAATCATGCACCGAAGACAGTAGACCAGGAAAGGCTATATTTGCAGCAGCAGCAGCAGCAGCAACAACACCAGCACCATAGAAAAAACCAAAGAACAAGCGACACCAGAGAAAGAGCATGCACCAAACACAGTAGATCAAGAAAACCCATATAGCAGCAGTGGCAGTGACACCAGGACCATAGAAAAACCAAAGAACGAACGACACCAGCAGAGACCAGGCAAAGACCAAAGAAGCAACCACCAGACATGATGAACCAAAGACGCAGACAGCAGAGATACCAGAGATGTAATGGCAGCAACTTTCACTCAAACAAGCAAAAAATTATTAAAACCTAATAAACAAACTCAATTAGTGTTAATTCTACGTCTTCCAGTGCTCGTTATCGAATGTTACCTAATGTATTTCACTTCAAAGAAGCAGTATCAAGTTTCTTCACCAGTACAAGACAGAGTTATCGGAAGCTAGAGTGTTATTATCAATCAAAAGGGTTCCAAAACCACCATGGTTTGGTACTAAAACGCGTTTTGCAAAAAGGGTATAAAACGGGTGGTGCATGAAAAAATGAGAAAGCACCCTATCCGACGTCACGACCAGTAAATTTAGTCTCAGTCTTGTACCGTAGCAGCCGTAATTGCGGCAACTTAATTTGAAATTGTGCAGTGGCATTTCCCTGTTTAAACTTGACTTGATTTCACATCATTTAAACGTTTCTGCTAAATTTGACTATGAAAACAGCCGTTGTCACACCCAACTTTCTAATACATCTCTAGAGGGCAAAAGAAGCCGCATCGAATGGTGCTGATTACTTTCAGCTTTCAGGCCAAAAACAATGAGCAATTTCCAAAAATATGAAAACAGGTTTTCTGTGAATATGTCAAAATTTAGCAAATAAAACTCTCTGTGGAATTTGAGGCTTTATAGACAAAAATTCACGGAAAAAAAAAGAATAAAAAAACAGAAATGTCAACTTGATAAAGGTATATTTTATTATCAAACTGACAGGTGTAAAGTAAACTGAAGTCTCTCTACTGGCAAGGTAGATAATCCTTCTTATATACTATAACAATGGATAAAAGTTCTATTAATTAGATTAACAAATAAGTCAACTCAGATCAACTAATGTCTAATCATGCTAAAAGACAACTCCAGCAAGCTAATCATGATTTAGCTCTGTCTGGATGAATAATTAGACTCTCATCCGAAGTACCCTGATCTATCCTTTCCATAAGGATAATTAATATCGATCTAGTAGTAGCATGTATCCGATAGGTACAGTCTACTTAGTCTATATTAATAGTACATATCTGAGTGTATATCACTGAGCATACGTCTTTAGCATGTATCTGGATATATGGCATCATGTCTATAGCATATCGTATGCATGTATGTAGCATGTCTCATATATAGTACAAGTCTGTAATACATAAAGTATCTGTAGCTAGAATCACAGATATAAGCATGTGTCTAATAGCGTGGAACATAAAGTGCACATCTGAAGCAACAAGCTCATATTGCATTAATCTTGGTGCCTATCCAGATATGGTAAACATCCGTAGTCAATGTCGGAATACAAGTATAAGTCTATCTATAGCGCCATCCATGTCCGTGGTGCCATCTATAGCCTATATCTTATATAGTATGAATTTTATAGTACTAACGTATCTGAAGTCCATATCTTTTTATAGTATAAATCGATATCGTACATCTAATCCAGTGTACATACAGCTTATATCTAAATCTGGCAACTGGATGAACTGTCGGAGTGCATATCATAGTGGATTTATTACACACTGTACATTGTTTGTACGTATACGAGTGTTTACGTTTCGAATGGCTCTCTTCTACACTTGCTTCGCTTCGGTAAGAACCAACTTGCGCAGTGGCAGCTCGCTCTACCGAGTGCCCTTGCGTATCTTATCAAAACACTGCTGCTACTTTCAATTTGACCCTTCACTTACACATAAAACCCCTTTATATTTTCTGTGGATCTGATTCTTACCTGATGCTTTACATTTACGTACACGTAGCTACTTTGTATACGGACAAGCAGCATACTGGTATTTCCCCTTTTTAGTCCTTAGTGTCCCTGATATAGCAAAATCTGAGTGCATTTGAGCTGCGTTTTCTCGCGCTCAAGGTCGTTTTAGATCGTCAGAATAGCACCAAATAATTGCTCTCATCTGGCAGTTACTTTATGACACCTTTGCTCAACTTTTTGGAGATCAAAAAAACATAAACAAAACTCGACCAAAAAGCATGAGGTACCCCTCATGGTTTTCATCGAAAATCAAACAATCGCGTTTTTCACCTTGAAAATGGAGACTTTTACTATGGTATATCTTGAATCAAAATGTTGCTATCGATCCAAAGCATCCTCTGAAATCATCTTTGTGGGACTCTGATATGTAAAATTTGACTTTTTGGCCAGAAACTTCTTTTCATATTTTCATAAATCATTCGGTAAGTTTATCCAAAGCATCTATATTACTTAGTACCATTGGATGCGCTTGAAAAGTACTCCAAGAAAGCTTAAGAAAGCACAGGATGATCATTATATTTTACTTAGTCGAATCTGCAAAAATAGCTCAATCAAGTTCAAAATTATCAAGATTTGTCCAATCTGGAACAAACTATGATTCTGGGTTTGAATTAATTTTGGCTGGTGTTGCCCGCTGGCAAACTCAATGTCCTTTTCATTATTATAAAGGCAATACAGTAATAGATGCTTTTGAAGCATATGGAAAATAGGTGGCATTCTACATAGTACTATCGCTAGCCATTCTATTCTCCTTGCATTCAATATTTAATAACGCCAGTCTATCAAAATAATTGTTAAATCAACTCCTTTCCTATGTGTGGCCATAAAGGAGTCTAGGAACTATGAATATATTATGTTACGATGAGTCTTTTGACTCTTTGGGTGGCTTTCTGACCTATGCTTTGCTTTGGTGAAAGCCAATCTACCTGCAGGTGGTTCACACTGCCACAGGCCTTTGGTTACTATTGCCAAATTAGTAATAGCTAAAATGTTAGATGAAGCTTGATTGTTGATTGACAGTAATTTAATATATAATCTCCTAATCATAAATGAACCATGCCTGACAAATGCCTGACGAATTAATTTCCATACTAGGATTGTAAAAGTGTCTAAGGACAATACGTTTACTGTGTTATGATATGGAGATGTTGTTTGCCAATATTCGGCAGCTATTTAACATTGAGTACTGGGCAAGACTCAAAAAGTTTTGTTCGCATTTACAAACATGCCCAAGAGATTCTGAGTGAAGAAGAACGGCAAGCCGGATATCGTACCAACTAGGATGCTTACACCCAACTCAATCTTCAAATGAGATTGGAGCTACTCCTTGTTGAAGATAGGCGCATTCAGAGTCTGTTAACTGTTAGCGAGATTGCATCCATCACTCCCAATGAGTATTCTGATACAAATTTTCATGATGTTTTAATCACATACCAAATAAATCTTCAACCAGTGGCGATAATCTCTTTTCAACGAATCAGTGGGGCGTTTATTGCCTACATGCCAGGTTGAAATGCTGCAAATCATGTTTAGTAGGAAGATGCGATCATATATATCTTGGTAGAGAGCTCGGCTGGCTGGCGTTATCAGATATGGAAATGCTCAATAAAAGCAAAGGAAGATACTCAGACTAAGCGATAGTCCTTTCATATTCATTAACCCCATTTAATCAGCATCCCAGTCATCATTGCCATCATCAGAAAGGCATTTAGGTCAGCCAGCAGCAATGCCGCCGCCAAAATTAATTCAAACTCAGTTCGTTTTTTTTCTGTTCAAGATTGGACGAATTTCGCCTTTTGTCGACTTCTTTAATCTGTTTTATAAGATTCGACTATATAAATTGTGATGATCACCCTACGCTTTTTAATACACTCTTGAAGTACTTTTCAAGGCGCTTCCAATGGTGCCAAGTAAAATAGATGTTTTTACTGAACTTACTGGGCAATTTTTGAAAATATGAAACGATGTTTTTAGCCAAAATGTCGAAATTTTGCATATGAAGGCCTCACAAAAGTGGTTTCATGGGTTGCTTTGGATTCAGAGAAACATTTTGATTTAAGGTATACCATAGTAAAGTCTTCGTTATCAAGGTGAAAAATGCGATCGTTTGATTTTCGTCAAAACCCATGAGGTACCCCTCATGCTTTTTGGTCGATTTTTACCCATGTTTTTTGGGTCACCAAAAAGCTGAGTAAAGGTGCCAGGAAGTTACTATTACTCAAGAAAAATTGTTTGGCGTTATTCCGGTGGCTCAGAAAGCTCTACATGTCAAGATATGAAGACTTGAAAACTGTCCAATTTGGCTGTGTTTTATACATTTGCTTGCCAATAGGCGCATTTTTGTTATGGTGCAAACACATAAAGACATTATATGTATTAATCTAGATTTAAAGCATGCCGTTGCATCCGAATACCCAGCTAGAAACATTAGGCTGACTGGCACTTTTATATCGCGGTATAATAGTACAATGATACAGCTTCTTAGTGAGATGACGACGGTCGTAAAGCACGATATACAATTAACTCAAATATAAGTGTTCCATAACTCGGTAGCTCAAATCACTAGATGGCCCGTATCATATCCGCTCTTTAATTTGGCTTTGCCTATTACGAGTTAGTAATGTATTGCTCTTCTACACTTGAGCATTTTTTCTTTCATGAACTCCTACGATTACCTAATCAACACAACAAACAGGTAAGCCATGGTGTTCATTGGATACAGTTTCTGTCTCATCAAACATCGTCTGTTCCATTTGGTGCAGTAAGTATTTACCATTTTACATAGCATTGTATTCACATAGTGTATGTCTGTACGGCACCTTAGTGCAGTCTAATGCGGTACACATAGTTGGGCATATCTAGCTTGAAACGCGATAAAACGTAATACAAAAAGGCTATTTCAAGACCTCAGCCGTAATCTGGTAGTTTAAATACTTGAGAGGCAATACAAGTTTGATGCCGTTACACGGTGCGTTTAGACATGGATTACAAAAGTATAAAGCCAAATGAATTGTTGACATCAAGTGCATTTGTATCAGACGTTAGTTTGCATTCAATGTCTCTTTGGAGCAAGGTTTACTGTAATGATAAACTTTCCAAATGAGAGGCAGCAAGCACTATCACAAGCAAACTCTATCTCGGTGTCTGCTACAAAATGGCATATCCACTGCTTGATGCGACTAACAGTGCACCTACCAGCCAGCCAAATCAAACGCGTCTGATTTCATACATTGCCAATCATAAATGCCAGCATATTTCTTCTACACTGTATATTCGCTTCAAATGATCACGGGCGCTTCTCACTCAAAGAACATTCAAATGTAGTTCTGTGGCATTTCTTTTTCAAGAATTTGCATTTAGTTGATCAAGTGAGTGTAAACACAAATATATTATGCACGAAAACGATAGAGGAGTACAAACTCTAAATCATTATTGTGTGCGCCAAAAAAGACGAAACAGTGCGCAAGTTTAATCGCAAGCCAATGTTATAAATAGTGCACTTTGCTCGACCTAACCTTTCTTTTTTCTTTTCCTCTTTTTCTGTAAAATCAGCTGAGGATGCCATTCATTTCTCTGTTAAAGGAGAGCTTTGCTACTGCGCCCATTGAGAACAGACAAGCTGTTGTCGACAAACTGGCGGCTGCCAACACGGAAGATGCTCATTACTATAAGGGATTGGTGTTATTGCAAAAGATCTATGAGAAGGTCATGAAGCATGATGAACCAGTAACACCACGCCAAGCGACAGACGAGGAAAAGGAACTCTCAAAGCAGATGAAGGATCTTCTCGACAAGTTTAGCAATCACAGCCAGCGCTTCAAGGAGCTTACAACTCGGTTTTATCTCTTGATTTACCCATTCGAGACAAGTACATCCATCGAATTCATCAAGAAGGGTCTTCATCTTGAATCGCTTGATATCCAAAAGCCAGCAGCCACTCAAGAGCAAGATAGCCTTCCCACGACAGCACCGGTCTCCAACAAATCAACTGCGCCATCCAAGCTTGATTCAGCACTGATTGATGGTGAAAACTTGATCAAGCAGAGCTTCAAAGAGTTCTCCTCCTCCACAGATGGCTACTCTGTCCTTGATCTCGAGACCTTGTCCTTGCCTTATGTCGCCGGCGATACCAGCCTCTGGCAATCCTTGTCTCAACGTGAGCAAGTGGCCCTGCTGAAAAAGCTTGTAAATACGCCTTCGGAAAGGGCCTTTGGTTCCGATGTCATGCAACGCCTGGCTACATTATGGAAAGAGCAACCAGATGACTCCAACTGGGAACTGGAATACCTGCCATTTTACAACTTTACCTTGGATCAACTGGATCAACTCGTACAAGAGATTCCCAATATTGTGTTTTTGCATGAATCCTTTGTCAATGCCTATGTCGAAAAGCTGATCCCTGCTGAATACCGCTCTGTCGACTCGATCTCTTTCTGGGATGATGATGCCAATGTCTTGAATGGCTATTTAAGCCGCTTGGATACATTTGCTGAAAAGTTACCAAGCATCTATTTTAATGTGAACGCCGCAATCAAGTTTCACAAGCTACGTATTGATATTGTTAGACAAGACTATTCTGAGGAGCGCCTTTTAAAGTAAGTTTCCTGTTTCAGGTACAAAATAGATACATAATCTCATTTGTTTGTTTATCAGCTATTTGTCTATTTCATCCAACAACAACAATAACAATGCCCAAGTACTATCCCCCGTTCCCTCTCGCTCAGGTGCATTTGGATTCACTGATGCTCGCGACAACACTTCTTCCTTTGACAATGTAAATACGTCAATATCATTGCCATTGCTCGGTTCGTGTGTTATTTCTGATTCGGATAAACGCTTGGTCGTCCAAGAATATTTGACAGGCTTGGTGGCACATGGGAAATTAGCTGCTTCTATGGAAACGCTCGGTGCTTATTTGGATTACCATAATGTGTTGAAGCCCATGTTTGCCGAGATCATGCTAACCACGCCTTTAGCAGGAACTACCAATCTAGAGTCGTGGGCTAAAACACTCGGTACTCGTGCTTATGAAGTGTTAGTCGCCAAGTCGTTTGTATCATTCGCCTCGTCTACCATAAACGCCTCTATCAAACGAAAGCCCTCTGACGCTGTCAAGCTCCAAATCAAGACCAAGAACATTCCTCGTCTTGCTATTCGCGTATTCCAAATCGACACGGAAAACTACTGGCGTATTCACTTGGAGGACGATGACTCTGCCTCTGCCAATAGCAACATCAATCTGGATGGTCTCTGCCCTACTTTTGAAAAGGATTTGGACTATTCTTCTGAGCCAGCTCTTCTTGTTAAAACGAGTGAATTTGTGTTTGGTCAAGACGGTCTTGCTTCTGATGTCTTTGAAGGTCGAGGCCTCTGGGTAGTTGAGTTTGTGGGTGGTCAAAATCAATGTCGAGTGATTGTGCAAAAGGGCTACCTAAGACATGTCATGCAAGAGACTCCAGCTGGGCATGTAGCCAGAATCATCAGTGAAGATGGACACATTGTGGACAAGGCAAAGATTTGGTACAATAACCAATACTACGAGGTAAGATTCAGGTACAGTACATGTTAAGATTATCCTGTTGCTAAAAGTAAGCATACTATAGGCTGATGGCGCGAGCAATATTTTGATCCCTTACTTGTCTCCTGATGGCTATTCCAAGATGAGCAAGGTCATTTTGATTTCCGAGACTGACAATTTCTGCGAGCCAGCTAGTTTCTACCACCATATCGAGCAGTACTCGTTGGAGGCTAGTTTCTACGTCAATCCCGAAATGGTCAATGTCAGTAAGAAGGCTACCGTAGTAGTGGTTCCCAAGCTGACTCTTAACGGCCTTACTGTTCCTTTGAGCTTGTTACAAGAAAAGTTGGTGTTGAATGTGAACTGTACCAATGCAAGCGATGTCAAGACCAGTTCCGTCTGTCAAAACATTGACTTCAACCCGAGCTATATTTGCTTTGATTTTATTGTGCCTGAGCAATGTAAATGTCTACCTATATGTAAATGATGACAGTGTGTATTTACCTGGACTCTTGTAGTGACATCCGTTGAATTTCACCTCAGGGGAAAAATCAAGGGCGTTGACGGTACACAGCATGAAGTTGATGCCAACCGCACCATCTCTATCAATGCTGCATCCAATAGCAGTGGCGTTCCATCCAGCATTCAGCTTCAAAGAACAAGCGATGGCTATTTCATCCATGTCTTTGGCAAGAACGGCGAAGTCAAGAAGGATTTCGAGGTGTCTCTTCGTTTCAAACACGCTTTTGTCAACCGCAACATTGAGGTTCTTCTGAAGACAGATCAGCAAGGCGTGGTTGAATTAGGCGAGCTAAAAGACATTCAATGGTTTGATTATAACAGCTCTTATTCCGCCTACAAGCAATGGGTCTTAAGAGACGACGCGAAATCAAGCTTGCCTCCTGCCATTTGCATCCCTGCTGGCAAGGATGTCAAGATTGCTTGTCCTACTCACCTTCCTCAATCGCTCTATTCACTGTACACAACTGGTGTTCGATCGTAAGTATTAGAAATGTGGTCTCCACAAGAAAATGATGCTAACAGCACCTTGTAGAATCCTCGTCAGGGATGTCTCTAGCAAGATTCAACTGGAAGATGGCTACATTACTGTTTCTGGCTTACCTGAGGGCGAATATATGCTCCACATTCCCTCCTCTTCTGGCAGCATGGACTACATTGAATGTACTGTTATTCAAGATCAGGTTGATAGCGCCCAGCAAGCTTTATGGTCTAACTGGCTCTTTGGTGAGACCAAGCGTGGCAAGCAGAATGGATCTGTCTTGAAAAAGCCTTTGGCTATTTCCAGCACATCTGTGTCTGATGAGTCCATTCAACTGCAAGTCGAAAACGGCTCTTCGTCCAAGGCATTTGTCGTAGTGACTACCAGCGCCTTTATTCCCTCCTCTAATGATACCCTCATGAGCCAGCTCTTTGACAAGCGTTCGCTTACTCGCCCCATTTCGCAGCAAGACGAATCTATCAGCACATGCTCTGTCTTTTTAACAGACAAGCGTATCGGTGAAGAATATCAGTACATCTTGAATCGCTCCAGAGCAGAGAAGTGGGTTGGCAGTAATCTCACCAAGCCATCCTTGCTCATGTATCCCAAGGTAATAAATATCAAGCGCTATGGAATCTAAAGTAACTCATTTCTTATCTCATAGAAAAATGCAAGCACGGCGTCTACTGCTAGACATCTTGAACGTGATGTGGACCTTGATAATGCACAAATGAGCAAGAAGAAGAGGATGATGAATCAGGCGATGTTTGGTGCTCAAAGATACGCATTGGGTGCTAATTGCGATATGCTCATGTCGAGTGTGGGTGAGACAATGGATTCTAGCCTGGCCTTCTTGGATCATCAATCACCTATCCTGGTATTCCCTGTGCCTGAAGGTGGTGTCCTTACTATTGACCGTCAGTCGCTTGGCCATGGTGGCAAGTTCTTGCAGGCTGTTGTCATTTCAGGTGAGCAAACTGCCTATCAACAGACTGTCATTGAGAACGATGGCAGCTTGAAACGCAAAGACCTCTGTCAAAGCGAGGTTAGTAACAAGGCGCTAATCCGCTCCAAGGTCATCTCCAACGTGCTTCCCAACGATACTTTGACGCTGAATACCCATGAATACGAGACCATTGACAGCTTTGAAAAATTGTTTGATACCATCAAGACCGTTTCTCGCGTTGGCGAGGATTTTGCTCAAAAGTTTGGCTTCCTCAAAACATGGCCAGGTCTTAACTTGAGTAGTAAATTGGAACTGCACGATGAACATGTTTGTCATGAACTCAACTTGTGGCTCAAGAAGAAGGATGTCGCCTTCTTTGATGCGCATGTCAAGCCTGCCATTCAAAGCAAGATTCAAAAGTCGTTTATGGATTTGTATTTGCTGGACCAAGACGTATCTCTGTATCAGCGTGATCTCTACCGGTTCAGCCAGCTCAGCACAGTGGAAAAGGCTCTTTGCGCTACGACTCAATCCAAGGAATTTATGCACACAGTTGCGCGATTGTTCAAGGAGTCTTTTGACGATAAAAAGCTGGATAACAGAAGTGATGCCATCTTTGACTCCATCCTGGCTCACAATGCCGCTGTTTTGGCGGAAGAGCCTACGAGTGTTGTCACTGAAACTATCGAGGTGTCTGCATCAGAATCTGCTCGACCAGCGCCTCCTGCCGACGCTTTTCTCTCTCGCTCAGCAGCTCCTCGCATGCTCTCCTCTATCGTAAGTGGTTCTGCTGCCGCTATTAATGTTGTGGGTTCTCAATACAGCCCTGCCTCGCCTGCTTTTAGTCCAGCAGGAGCCTTTGGTGGTGCTTATGTCGATAAAGACGAGGACGAGGACGATGATGAAATGGAAGAGGCTGACGAGGAAGTCGTCAATCAGCTTAGAGAAAAGGCCAAGGAGCAACGCAAGAAGGTCACTTACAAGTACACTGAACCTACCAGCGAATGGGTCGAGACAGGCTATTTTTACCAAGACCAAGTTCCCTTGAAGCAATTCTGGATTGATTACATTGAACACCATATTCAATGCAAATCGGCTGATGGCTATTTCTTGTCTGAAAACTTCATCTACTGCCTCGATAGTCAAGCAGAGTTATTCTATGTATTGACGTTGATGGATTTACCCTTTAGTTCTAGTGTGGACTGGAATATTGACGCATCAGGCGACCAAGGATTGGTGATTTCCGCATCAGCACAGCCTTTGATGGTATTCTATCGCACATTAACCGAGCACCAAGGCAGCTTTACTAGCAACAATGACCACAATTTGATGCTGGGCCAAGAGATCTTTGTCTACGATCCTGCAGCATCCATCGACTCTGAGGAATGCATCAAGGTGAACCCGTCCTCTCAAGCATTAGAAACCTCTGTGGAATATGGCTCTCATCTGATTATCAGCAATGTCTCTTCCAAGCCTCTTACATGCCAGGTCACTGTACAGGTCCCTACTGGATCTGTGCCTACCCAAACAACTACCTATTGCAAGTCCACCACGATCCGTATCGAGCCCTACTCAACATGGCACGAAGTTGTTGGTACATTCTACTTTCCTAGTGCTGGTGGCTATGCCATTATACCTGTTACTGTATCCACATCTTCGGGCGATACACTCATTGGCATGATGGAGGCCATGCCCATCCGTGTCGTGGAACCCTGCGCCGCCCATTCTGCGGATAACGCGGTCAACGATGTTTCATCCACCTCTCAATCGTGGTCAGCCATTGCAAACAACAGTTCGAATGAACAGGTCGTTGCGTTCCTCAATTCCTATCGCAAATTGGACAAGCTTGACTTTAGTTTGATTTCTTGGAGAATGGGCAGTCGAGATTTCGCTCGCTCTGTATTTGATACGCTCAAGAGCCGCTATTTCTTTGCGCAAGATGTCTGGAAGTACGGCGTCTCTCATCAGTTCCATGATATCATTGGTGATTTGTTGTTGTTTCATAGTAGCGAGCTGTTGAGCCAGGTTGGCCAGGTATTCGAGTCTCCTCTGGTAGTCAGCAACGAGCTAGAACAACACGAGATGTTGCTGTTTGACTATTATCCTCTCTTAAATGCAAGGGCCCATCCTCTGAAGCCTACACCAGAGATCCTCAATCGACAATTCTATCAACAATACAACAAGTTCCTCGACTACTTGAGCCTCAAGACAAGTGCTCTTTCAGACGCTGATCTCATCATATTGACACTGTATTTGCTCTTGCAAGATCGCATTGGTGAAGCACAAGCTACTTTTGCTCGCATTCAAAACGATACTAGCCCTACGCATCAGGTGCAATATGATTATCTTGATGCCTACTTGAAGACGCGTATTCCTGTGACCTCAAACCAAGAGCAAATGCAACAGCTAGATCTTCAATCAATCAAAGACATCGCCACCAAATACAGAGATTTTGGCGTTGCTAGATGGCGTCAACTGTTCGCTCATTTACACGATTTTGTGTGCGAGGTAGAGCAAGGTTCTCTTGCCGTGTCTGACAATGCTTCACAGAGCAAACGCATCTTATCTGAGCCCATTCTCGAGTTTGAAGTTGATCAGCGTCGCGATGAGTTGATTGTTCAATACGCCAACATCAGATCAGTTGATATCAAATACTACGACATGAATATTGAGGTTATGTTCTCCAACAACCCATTCATGAACAGCAGTACTGACAAGACAAGCGGTGAAAACTTCAACTGGATTAAGCCAAGCTATGCTGTTACCATGGACTTGCCAGAGCAGAAGGCTGCTGCCTCTGAAGAGCAACAGCCTAAAGACGAAGACTTTGATATCATTGGTGTAGGCCAAGTCAACACATTGCAAACAGTCAAGATTCCCTTCAGTGGAGGCAACAAGAATGTCTTTGTCGAGATGTCCAGTGGCTCTATCAAAAGACGTCAGGCCTACTATGCTAATCGTCTGTACACTCATCTCGCAGAATCGTTTGGTGTGGTCCGTGTCATGAGCGAGAAATCCAAGCGTCCATTGGCAGGCGTTTATGTCAAGGTCTATGCTCGTGTTAAACAGGGGGGCGCCATCCACTTTTGGAAAGATGGTTATACTGGCCTCAATGGTGTCTTTGATTACATTGGTGTAACTGAAGGCAATCAGCTTACGGGATCAAACGAAAAACTCAAGGATCTCATGATAAACAAGTTGGATAAACTGAGTATCCTGATTTTGAGTGCAGAGGAAGGTGCAACAGTGAAAGAAGCTTGTCCTCCCGACGCTGTATTGTAAATAGAAATATAGTTATTTGTGTAAACTAAATAAACCATTTGTTTGTATTAAAAGAGAGAGAGAGAGGGAGAGCATCAGATAAGCATAATGCCGAGACTGTCTAGTAGCAGTTTTTTTTATCTGATCTTGTTATAAATGGAGAAATCGCAGTAGTCTTGATCTTTTTTATCACTGGCATATGCACGTATGACGAATGGATTGCACATCACACCTACCATCTATAAGCTTGATCTTTCGTCAAAACAACTGCTTTAACTTTACCCGTGCTAGCCCCAATTAGATGGCATTTTGAGATCAGATTAAGGAATATCTCCAAAAGTAGCTCATTCTTGTGTTTCACACATTTGGTCTCTTTTTTTTTCTCTTTAGTATATAAAAAGTATTCAATCAGATTACAAATTACATTTATTTTTTTCTCTCTTTCTTCCTTTTTTTTTGTTATATCAGCATCCATGTCTTTTGACGAGAAAACGGCTGCTGTCGATCAGCATCACAAAGAGACATTTGTGGCTTCGGACAAGGCATCTGAGATCAACGACACTCATTCAGATCATGGTCCAGACAGCAGTTCTGCAAGCGAGATCAAGCCCCTCACATCAGAGCAAGCTGGTGATGCTGCATTGGCAAATTCACCATGGCAATACAAACTTATTGCGCTGGTGACAGCTCTCTTGTTTCCTCGTAAGTTGATGACTTCAGTACATGAAGAAACCAAAAAATATTAACCCACCTTTTATAAATAGTGGGTGCTCATTTTTCACAAAGCGCACTTAGTGCGATGAAAAGCCCTATTAAAACGGTAAATATCATCATTTTAGAATTTTACTGCTGTGCCACTATCAACTTTATTAATATTGTGTACATACGTTGCTACAGAATCTAGGCATCAATAATACCCAATATGGTGTTATTTCATCCTCTGTCTCCATCATCAATACCGTGTTTCCCATCCTCGGCGGTATCTTAGTGGATGTATTTGGCTCCGTCTGGGGCACGCTTGCCATCAACATAGTGGTTATTATTGGAAGTTTGCTTACTGCAATTGCTGCCAAGTACAATTCCTTTGGTTTGATGGTCGCTGGCCGTGTCATATTTGGTATTGGATCTGGCCTCATTGTGACAATGCAAGAATCCATCTTGTCGAAATGGTTTAGAACGCAACATCTCGCTATTGCCATAGGTTTGCAATTGTCCATCAGTCGCTTGGCTACTTTCTTGGGTACGTTGGTAGCGAATCCCATTGCAGAAAGAACAGGTGATTGGGTGTGGGCATTCTGGTTATCGTTCATCATTTGTGTCTTCTCCATCCTGATGAATCTTGTGTATGCTCTGGTGGTGAGACATTTGCGTCGAAAGGCCATCAAGGAAAACAAGGAGGCTCTCGCTGCCAGTGGATTGGCTCTATCCAAGCAAGAGATTCAGAATGTCAAGCGTCGCAAGGCCTTCCACTGGAGAAGCGTGCTCAAGTTTCCCATCTTCTTTTGGCACATTCTCTTGATTGAGTTCATCTTTGCTGCTGTGTGGTCTTCTTTCCAAACCATCAGCACCGAGTTTGTCAGTCTCCATTTCGGAAAGGGCAGCAACATATTGGCTGGCTATACTGCAAGTGCATCTCAATCAGTCCCGATTGTTGCTACACCCATCCTTGGCATCATTATGGACATGTTTGGTCTTCGTATCTCCATCTTGATGATTTCCGCCATCTTTTTGATTCTCAGTTGCTGCTTACTGGCATGGACCTATGTCAATGCCACTGTGGGCATGGTGTTCTATAGTATTTCACTGGCCTTTGGTCCTATTGGTATGATCACTTCGATTGGTATGATCTTGCCGTCAGATTACATTGGCACCGGTCTTGGTATGTACAAGAGTTCGAATAATATTGGTACCACCATCTTGGATATTATCGTCGGCGTCGTACAAGATCACACTGCAAACCAAGCTTACACAGGCGTTATGATCCTCTTTTTGGCCTTGTCATGTATTGGCTTATTCCTCATTGCTGGTCTATGGCTATCTCAGTACTTTTTCCTCGGTAATCTGCTGGAAATGAGTCGCACCAAGCGTCTTGTGGCGATGAAGGAGAGAAACGATAAAGAAATTGAGTTGAACAGACAAGGATTAGATTCTTACTCTGATACCCCACGCAAGAAGCTCAACTATGTCTATCTGGGCATCTTTATCGCCTGTTTGATTGTAGCTTGGGTTTTGTTCTTTGTCTATGCTGCCAACGGCCAAATATCTGCATAAGAGTATCAATCACCCCCCTCCTCGTCTCTCACATTAACTTATTTGTATACTATACTTGCTGCATTGTTATCTACTTATTTCTGCTACCTCATACTCCCCATCTCTTATATCAATTGACCATGTATTGATTTTATATGCATACTATTATTTTTCCTCCTTCAAATATCCTATCAATAAAGCGATTGTTTGATCTAGATGCGTACCTGGAAACGACTCTTTACCTCAAAATAGTTCAAAATGAGGAATACCGCATTGTAAAGGTATGCAAGTCAGTGCGTATATGACCGTATCATTGCCCATAACTTATTATTGAAATGTCTATGCTCGCTCATCAGTCAGTAAACGCCTCAGTGTCTGTTGGTTGCATCGTTTTGATTACTCCAGGCACATTGTGTTGTCTCTCAATACTTGATAAAATCCTTTGATTAGCGGCCAAAGACATGATGTATGTTGGCATTGCTCACCAATTTTCAGCAAAATGATGACTTTTCCACATTGGATCTACATGCAATGTATGATAGGGACGCCATTAATATCATTAAGAAGGCATGTTCATTGTCATACATGTGCGCTGATAATGCTACTGAGCACTGCATATTGCGGTATGTATTGAAATGCAAACAAATAGTAGTGCAATCTCTTTTGACCCGAGATTTCTACATCTAACAGGATCACAAGTTGGTTTAAGGGGGGCCCTGCTCATCATCAGGCACTTGTTTTGATAGTGGATCTTCCATCCAATGATGCTCAAAAGGCAATGAAAATTTCCAATGTGAGGTTTCAAGCATGGGCATTCCTCACTATGCGCTATATGACTCACTAAGTTTAGAATCACGTATTGCTTTGTTGATGGCTCATGTAGCACAGCTTGATTTCCTAAGGGGCATTACGGTGACTGGCTTCGTAGCACATGGATGAGGATAAACAACTGTGAAATGTGAGTGTTTGTGCTTGTGTATTTGTGTGTGCGTGTGTGTATGATGTCTGTTTAGTAAAAAAAAAATATATATATATATATATATATAATGTATATAAAAACACACCTCCAAATTTAACCTCTTTCTTTTTCTTCTTCTTTTTCAACATTTCTACTAATAATGGAAGAGCAATTCCAGGTCAATTCTGGTGATGTTCGACCCCCAACACAGCCCACAAATGTGCTTTCACATCAACTCACCAACAACACCTATGCTAATTTTCAATTTAATACCAATGGCACAAGAAGAAAAACAAAGGAAACCGTGCGCTCCACAACAAAGGTGAGATGCTTTGTATGTACAGTGAAGTCAAGCCAGAGACGCTGACGCCTTGCTTATCTAGCTGAAATTGGAGCGGATTCTTGGGCTCACATCCACATCGTCTAATATACTAGCAACAGCAAATGACTTGATTGCTTATGCAGCAGGAGCTGTTGTTGTTATTTACAACCACAAACGAAACAAACAAGTGGCATTTCTGTATCCCCCAGCTGTCACTCAGTCAACAACAGCAAACAATGCGAGCAACATCAACAGCAGCAATTTGAACCAGCCCTCCTCCATGCCATTGATCACACCACTGGGCGGAGGAAACAACAACAATAACGAAATACTGACCACATCACAGAACATACCTGCGGATGAGAAGAAATCGACACCAGCCAGCAATCGTGCGAAACCCATCAGCTGCTTGGCATTCTCACCTGATGGAAATTACCTGGCCGCAGGAGAGGTGAGGAGCGACTATCTCTATAAGAGCAGATCAATTGACATGAGATGTATGTAGATGGGCCATCAACCTCGCATTTTCATCTGGGATGTCAAAGAGAAAAAGCTGCTTCGAGAGTTCAGATCGCACAAATTTGGAGTGCTTTCATTGACGTTTTCCCCGAATATGCGATACTTGGTTTCAGTTGGATTTCAGGTACACTTTGATCTGATACGCTGACCTACAGGGCACATCTAACAGTCAATTAGCACGATGGATATCTCTATGTGTGGGATTGGAAAAAGGGGATTAAATTGGCTGGCAACAAGGTGACGAGTCGAGTAAACGCTGTATCGTTTTCAAAAGATGGATCTTACTTTGTCACGGCTGGATTGAGACATGTCAAATTCTGGTATTTGGATGCGCGAGGTCGAATTCCCAAAAGAGTAAGTTTAGTGAGTGATTCGCTGGATCCAGACAAAGCATTCTCATTTCTTTTTTTTTTTTTTTTTTTTTTTTTTGCTACGGGAATTACTAGGGCAACTTGTCATCCAGGGAAACGCAAGTTTTAGATGGTAGATCAGGAATACTGGGTGTACTACGAGATGCTAATTTTGTCAATGTCGCTTGCGACCGGAGTAGCAATACTGGTTACACCTACTTCATCACGGACGCTGGTATTTTGTGTATCTTTAAGGAGGGACGAGTCATTGACAAATGGGTGGATCTTCAGGTAGGTTGAGAGAAAGCATTCTCTTACAGTTGTCTTATACTATCGTTAGGTGAAAAATGCCTATTCAATTGCAGTTTCGTCAAATTATGTGATATGTACCTGTTCAGAAGGCGTCATTCGGTAGTGTAGCTGTTTATTAAAATGTCATGTACTCCTTACTGTACCACTAATTCTATTTCAATCCGTAGGCTGTTTGAACCAATTACACTAAAATATGCAGGAATATTGCCTAAACCTCATCCTTTGGGTACTGACATTAGCTTGGTCATATCGCCTGATATGGTGCGTCCAGCAGATGCCTCGACATGCTATCCAGATGCTGTGGCCATGGTGTACGATGAAAAGGTGCAGCGAGTCATCTCGGTTTACTCGGACCGTAGTCTGTACGTTTGGGACATTCGGGACCTGACAAAGATTGGCAAGTACCGCAGCTTCATCTTTCATAGTGATTGTGTGTGGGGTGTCGAGGTATGTTTATAGATGCACAGTACATTGTTTTGCATTACTCACGCCCGGCTTCAGCCATGTCCAACTGTAGAGCGCGAGGATAATGCCATACCATTGAATTCATTTGCCACCTTTTCAGGAGATGGCACCATTCGCATCTGGAACCTGGACAACCCTATCTACTCCTCGTCTTCATCTCCTTTATCGCCACAACAACAGCTGAATCGAGCCATCATGTCTCCCAGCAGCAGTACCGCTGTGGGTGCGCATCGCCGTAACATATACTCCCGAGAGCTAGTCAAGATGATATACGCTGATCCAGACGCTGCTGAATTTTCAAAGGTGAAAGGAGACCTCGAATTTACCGAGGACCAATGCCCTGACTTTGGAATTCGATCACTTAAAATGAGCGCTGATGGACACATCATGGCCAGTGGTGATCGAAATGGTAACTTAAGGGTGCACGATATGAATTCTTGGGAGATGCTCGCTTATCAAGAAGCGCATGATTCTGAAATTTTGTCTATTGATCTCACAACGCCTCGAAGCAAAGGTTTGTAGTAGCAGCGTACTTTACGACAGAGCCAGCATAGTGATTCCCTGCTTGATAGATGCACCTAGCTTGATTGCTACCGCCAGCAGAGACCGATTACTGCATATTTTCGATATGAAAGCCAACTGTCAGCTTGTTCAGAGCTTAGACGATCATTCTTCATCCATCACAGCAGTGAAATTCTCAGAAGATGCCAACAGACTCATCAGTTGTGGTGCTGATAAAGGCATTATATTTCGCAATCGCACCCATCCAGTGACACCGTTCCACGATCCATCACCCCGACCTTACTCTACATACCACAATTACTCGGGAAGAAGCACCGTATTCGACATGGCACTTGACGTGAACGGCCGCTATGTGGCTACTGTCACTGGCGAGCGAAAGCTGTATGTTTTGAGCGTGGAATCTGGAAAGCCTTTTCGCATCTGCAAGCCAGAGACATCAGAAGAGGTTGGAAAAGCGTCGGAAAACTCGGGAGGCAGTTTGATCAACATTGACTTGGACCCATTCTCTGGCACATATGCTGTTACCAGTGGCTCTGATCGCTGCGTCAGATTGTTTGATCTCACAAACAGCACCTGCATTGAAAAAGTGTGTGCTCATTCAGAGCTGATTACTGCTGTTAAATTTGTTCGAACCAACACAGAGGAAAACGGCTTACGTGTAGTGAGTACATGCTCAGATGGTACGATATTTGTGTGGAAAGTCAGCCAAGAAATCATAGCCAAGATGTGCGCAAGAGCCAGCGAGCGAGACTCCAAGATGCGACAACAGCAAAGGGCATCAGTCGACGAGGACAGTGCCAGCTATGTTACAGACGAGAAGAGGGATCTTTTGCTTCTTCAGCACAGCAACAAGCGGGTTAGACGAGTGTCGACGGCTACAGCCATACGCCCCACCGCTAGCATCTCACAGATGATCCGGCAAGGCGAAAGAAGAACATTTTCAACCATGTCACCCGCAGAGCAAAAGTACGATGATTTGTACAAGAAAATTGCCATCTCCTCGGGGCGGCGCAACAACAATCGAGATAACGTACCAAGCAACACGAATATACCCAACAATACCACCCACATTATGCATTCTCATCCTCATCAAACACAAACTGGCGACACTCAGGCACCAGTGTCACCTATCACTACAACAGCGCCTCATACCAACCGCATCTTGAACCCTAACAGCAACAGAGCCTTGTTTGGACGCAAAGATAATAGAATCGCCACTTCTCAACCTGCCTTACAAGACGCCAGCAATGATAGAAAGTCTCCTCCTGAGCGCATCGGGGGCAAACTAGACAGACTCTATAACGGCCTTCCTACTAGCGGCAATGGTAGCAGGGACAGAACGATGAGCCAAGTGACGCCACCAGCAGGTCTGGTTCAATACCGTCAACAACAGCAGCAGGTTCTTTCGTCTCCTTCGAATCATGCTGGCAGAACGAACCCGGTTCTCCGTCGAGCCATGTCCAAAGATACCTTGAAAAAGGAGCACGAGTCTAGTAGAAAGTCCCCTACGCCATACAATATGAAACAGCAACTTCAGGAACGAGAAACATCTGGATCGCCCGTGATCAACAGAAGAAGCAGCCAGCCTGCGTTTTCAAACGCAAACATTACAAACAGACGGTTGAGCGATCATCCTGTTACTGTGAAGGCTGATACACGAGACACGTTTGAGAATGAAACATGCAAATCCATCACTGAAGGTAAGCTTGCTGATCTATCAAACTACTGTAAGAAGCGCTTACTAAGCGAAATCAAAGACGGATCAGACAATGATGCTGATGTGGATGACAACAATCGAGACCAAGAGGAAGACGACGAAGAAGAGGAAGAAGAAGACGACGAAGAAGAGGAAGAAGAAGAAGAGGAGGAGGAGGAGATCATATTTACGCCGGAACAGGACAAGATCAGCAAGCCCTTTGAAGTTTCGCTGCACCACGCGCCGTCCATTGAAGAAGTGGGGGATGATGAAGATGGCCGAAACACGCCTGTTTCAGACAATGAAACACATAGTAAAGCAGATGAAGATGAAGATGGATCAAGCGAAGATAATGTAGATGATGCAATTAATCGTGATATCGTTGCTCGAGAGCCACCTCGCGTTTCAACTTCGCTTAGTCGAACAACAAGCTCTGCCAATAGTAACCGCCGTCGTAGTAACTTGTTTGACACTGCTGGAAGAACATCTTCTGATCTGCTACTGCCTTCTTCTCCTCCCTGTGAAGAGCAAGACACGACTTTATCCATGAATGCTACCGCCACTACGCCATCAAACACTGCTTTCAAGGAAATCCAAAAGAAACTGGAAAAAGCTGCTAAACGACAGAGTATCACGGCTCGATTCTTGTCTTCGTTGACAAAATTAGATGGATTGCCTGCTGCAGCACCGTCATCGACAAGACCTTCATTAAATCACGTCATGACCACATTTCAGGAACTCTCGTCTACCGGTGGTGCTGCTTCTGCTGCAAAGCCGACAGCCAAAACATCGACTCTGCCACCAACATCTCCCATACGTCATGTGTGGATGGATGACGACTCGGAAACAGTTATACCAAACGCAAAATTAGTTATCGAGATTGCACCTCCTAATCAACCTGAGGAAAGGAAACAGGACATCATCGCACCCTCAAAAAAGACTACCGACAAACAAACGAGTGAGCCTAAACCTACTGCTCAACAACAGCACGACGATTCATCATTGGACAATGCACTTGCAGACTTGGATGGCGTTTCTATACTTCTGGATAGTGTGTTGGAGGTGTATCTGACTAAATTGAAATCAGCTAATAACAATCATCGGCAGCAGAGAGCAATGTCTACTATAGAAGAGAAACTAAATGGGGTAGCTGACAAGATTAACAAGAGTCTACAAAAGGATAGTCCTCCAAAACCAACTGACCAAAGCACAGCCACAGAGAAAACCTCGCCCGAGACGATTGATCTGCTGGAAAAATACTCTGCAATGCTACTCAACATGGTTGAAAGTAAGCTCAATAAATAGACGCTGCATTTTGTAAATAAATCACCCTTCTGAAAACTATCACATTTGCTCCATTCAAGTCATCTGTGGGATGGTCTGTATTTAAAGAGTGGACTGCAATTGAGATTCGTATCCATTGTAAACCCAAGTATGCGAAAAAGCGTCGACGTTAGCATGTTGACACAAACCATTTTCCTGTTTAGGAATACCCATTGCGTAAACCAATTCCATAACCAACCAAATGTTGAAAGTTGTGGGTAAAGCTTCGAGAAGATTCAAATAGCCGTAGTCTGCTGTATATTCCGTGCTATTGAAAGTACGTCCTGCTATTAACCACAGCTTCCATACAAGCCCTATGACGAATATAGAGGGAGATTATGGAGGAAATGGCGAGCGAAAAAGAAATCCAATTCACTGAATACCAGCATATATGTCCGAATTTAGGTCAGAGGAGAATTAGATTTTACGACGAAACCATATTAGGGAATGTCGAGACGAAATGCATTGCGTTTTCCTATTACCTAAAAGAGTAAATCAAAAGAATACATAAGGCTTGAGTTTGGATCAGAATTGTTGGCAGGTATCAACAAGCATTGCTTTTACATCTAAAAATGTCTTCTACTACTATCAACACCCCTACTAATCTCCCTCAAATGGAGTATGCTCGTCTGGGAAACACCGGCATGAAGGTGAGCCGTCTTTGTTTGGGCTGCATGTCTTTTGGCAGCTCCAAGTGGAGTCCTTGGGTAAAAGATGAGGAAGAAAGCATTAAATTTATCGAAGAAAGCTACAAGCTTGGTATTAACTTTTTTGATACTGCGGATACTTACTCCAATGGCGAAAGTGAAAGAGTGCTTGGCAAGGCCTTAAAGAAGATTGGTGCTCCCAGATCTCGTGTTGTTGTTGCTACTAAAGTCAACTTTCCCGTCCAAGACGATGTCTCTGTTTTTGATTTATTCGCTGGTAAGGCTCCTGAATTCGTTAACCGAGTTGGCCTTTCTCGCAAGCACATTATGGATGCTGTGGACGCTTCGTTGAAGAGACTTGATTTGGAGTATATCGATCTTTACATCATTCATCGCTTTGATCCAGTAAGTTTAAACTTTGTGACACACTCCTTCAATACTAATGCTATGTTTGACAGGAAACTCCCATTGAAGAGACTATGGAAGCACTCAACGATGTCGTTTGTTCTGGCAAAGTGAGATATATTGGTGCTTCTTCAATGGCTACTTGGCAGTTCCAAAAGATGAACCATATTGCCGAGCGCAATGGATGGGCTCAATTTGTCTCTATGCAAAACTTGTATAATTTGGTTTACCGTGAGGAAGAGCGTGAAATGGTCCCATATGTTCAGGATGCCAAGATTGGAATGACACCATGGTCTCCTTTGAATGCTGGTTCACTTGCTGGAAAGAAGAGAGATATTACTGAGCGTAGTCGATCCGTGTTTACTGCTGATAACTGGCATCCCTCTAGTTTGCAAGAGAGCAACAACGTCATTATGGATAGAATAGGCGAGCTCGCAAACAAATACCAAGCCACGTATTCTCAAATCGCTATGGCATGGCATTTGGCCAAGCCCTATGTTTCTTCTCCCATCATTGGCGTCTCAAAGATGGAACAACTTTACGATTTAGTAGGGTGTTTAAAGATTAAACTAACCAATGAAGAGGTTAAATACCTTGAAGAGCCTTACACTCCAAGAGCGGCTATACTCCAAGTTTAAATTCAATAAAAAAATGATTTTTTACAAAATCTTACGAACCATTCGACACTTCGGGTGGTTTCCTGACCTACGCTTCGATTTGGCGGAAACCAACCTACGCTCAAACGGCTCGCTCTGCCGCAGGGCCTTTGGCTAATATTGCAAAATTAATAAAGCTAAAATGTTAGAAGAATCCTGATTGTTGATTGATATAAAATCACTAATCATATGAAAGTTTATGCTTCGGATGGTTCTTTACCTTCGCTTCGCGTCGGTGAGAACCAACCTGCGCAGCGGCAGCTCGTGCTACTAATTGCTCTTGCGTATCTTATCAAAATACTGCTACTTTCATTTTGACCCTCCACTTACACATGAAAACCCTTCATATTATCTGTGGATCTGATTCTTATGTGATGCTCTACATCCATATACACGTAGCTATTTCATATACGGGCAAGTATCATAGAGATATTATCCCTTTTAAGTCCTTAGTGTCCCTGATACAGCAAAATCTAAGTGCACTTGAGTTGCGTTTTCTCGCGCTCAAGGCCGTTTTAGATTGTCAGAATAGCACCAAACAATTGCTCTCATTTGGCAGTTACTTTCTGCCACCTTTGCTCAACTTTTTAAGGATCAAAAAAACATGGCCAAAAACCGACCAAAAAGCATGAGGTACCTACCCCTCATGGTTTTTATTGAAAATCAAACGATCGCGTTTTTGACCTTGATAATGAAGATTTTTACTAAGGTATATCTTGAATCAAAATGTTTCTATCGATTCAATGTAACCCTTGAAATCATCATTGTGGAACTTTGATATGTAAAATCTCGACTTTTTGGCCAGAAACTTCTTTTCATATTTTCATAAATTACTCGATACGTTTATTTAAAACATCTGTCTTACTTGGTACCATTAGATACGCCTTGAAAAGTACTCCAAGAAGCTTAAGGATGCGTAGGATGATCATCACGTTTTACTTAGTCGGATCTGGCAAAATAGTTCAATCGAGTCGAAATTTTTTTAAATTTGGCCAATCTAGAGTAAACTACGAATCTGAGCTTGACTTAATTTTGGCTGGTGAGGCTGGCTGGCAAACTCAATGCTCTTTTCATAAGGCAATACAGTAATAAATACCCTTGAAGCGTATGGAAAGTAGGTGGCAAGTCATAGAACTATCGTTGATTATGCTATTTTCTTGCATTCTATATTTAATAAAGTTAGTCTGGACATTGACGATTTATGGGCTGTATAACATATCTGCAGTAAATAGGGAAATCTCTGAGGCTTTAGGTCGTCGTTCAAAGAAAACTTTGACAGCATTGAGCAGAGGAAAGAGGGTAGAAATAACAATGGGTTTTGTTGATTGATTTTAAAGTCATTTATCATATATGAGCCAGGCCTGACAGATGCCAGGCAACGTAGTTTCTATATTAGGGTTGTAAAAGTGTCTAGGGACTGAACATTTGTTATAATATGATAATAGCAGACGCATTCAAAAAATGGTAGAAGAGATACTATGTGTACAGGGGATGAGATCATGCAACGAACGATTCAGAGCTTGAATTAGATCTATGATCACTTGTTGAGATTCTATCATGGACATACTCTCATAAAAGTCATTGTCTTTGACGCGGGAGGAAACCTAATGTTCAAATGCAACAGTGATATGAAGACTCGACATCAAGAAGGCTTCATTTCCTTGCTAACCTACATTATGGCATGAACATTTATAACAGGCGGGCACTTTCAGTACCTCAGATATAAAGCTCTATAACAAAAGTAGATGAAAATACATAAGCTAAGCTATTCGACTCGTAAGCTCCTTATGAGCCTCCTAAATCATCATTGCCTTCATAGGAAGGCATTCAGCCAGTGGCAAAATATTTAAATTCCCGTTAAAATTTATTGTTCTGATTTGCTAATTCTTGATCAAATTCTACTCAATTCAGTTCGTTTTGCCAGATTAGACTATATAAGTTGCACGAATTATCTTATGCTCCCTTAAGCTTTCTAGAAGTACTTTTCAAGGCCTATCCAATGGTACTAATTATTAGAGATATTCTGAATCAACTTATTGAGCAAGGTGTGAAAATGCGAAATGGCATTATGGGCCAAAATATCGAGATTTTACTTATGAAATCTTCACAAAAACGGTTTCAGGGGCTGCCTTGGATCAGTACAATCATTTTGCGGCCAAAAATGCGATCATTTGATTTTCGGTGAAATCCTTGATATACCCTTCATGCTTTTTGGTCGATTTTTGGCAATATTTCTTTCATCCCCAAAAAGTTGAGCAAACCTAATAGTATGTAATTGCGGGATGAGGGTAATTGTTTGGCGCTATTCTGGCGGTCTAAAAAAGCTTCTAACGCTAAATATCACTGTTCGAATTCGCACAATTTTGCTGTGTTTTGCATAGTTTCAAGTGGTAAGAGGTAAGGCAAGTAAGCTGCATATCCGCTTATGAATTGCTTTTATTGATAAGACTTGATATATCGCTGGAGCATCAAGATTCACATACTTGAAGGGCTCTTGTATGAAATTGAAGAGTTATAATACAGCTTACAGCATTTTGATGATACGGACGAAGGGCAATCGTACGCTATGCTATGCAAGAATAATTACGAGGCTCGTTTCATTCACTGTGTTGATGATTCAATAACAGCACATTTTATTTCCATGTTATCTACAAAACTGATACATAATAGAAGTATTAATTTGCAATGTTTATATTTGCAGTGAGTCGCATAAACTAGGATCAGATTCAATTGAGAGTTTTCCCTCCATCTCTGAAGGCTATGTGTCGCTAAATCAACTGCACCAAATGTCAAGAATGAGATTTCATAAATGATGATATTGGTTGCTATGTCGGTAAAGGTTTACATTGTCAAAACTATGTAATATAGCATGTATTTCAAGCAGAAAATAACTCTACATACTCTTTTTCAGGAGAGTTCGATATTGAATCATTCATGCTTTGGACATAGCAACTCCTGAAGATTGAATTAACAAATATGCTACTACTACTATCGTAGCACAATAAGCAACAAGGAGAATCACATAAGTGTATGTGTTCTAAAGGGGCTATCGAAAAGATTATGCCATTCATCCAACCTTCTTTTCCTCTCATCATGTGTCGTTTTGGTTGAGTATTGTCTATTTAGGTTTGTTTAATATATATACTTTTTATTAAAATCGACGTATATCTGAGCGAATAAATTGCTTATTGAAATTCGCAATGTTTCCCATTTAAAATGCAACAGTTCAAATTAGCCAGAATCATGATGTCCATTGCGGATATTGCTTGGCCTGGGTATATACTTTAGTTGCATATATTGCAATCAAGCCTGTTGTATTTGTTTTAGCGGGAAACAGCGCTATTAGGAGTGGGGGGGGCCACATGAAATGAACGTCATCTTCTTGTACAGAAATGAAGGCAAATTTTGCAGTTGATGACAAAAATCGCATTGTTATATGAATTTCTTAATCGTCCCGTACGCAATCTTGTGGATGACTCCTGAATTCTCCGGGTTCTTTATATCTCATATAACGATCTTCTTGTAGAGCCGTTTCAGCGTGGATACTCTGCTAAATTGGCTACATGACTTTCTGTAGTCCATACTAAAGTAATCATCATACTGTAACACTAAATCTCCTCTTTCTTTTTGTCATTTTAAACTTGTATAGAACAGCATGTATATAAAGAAGCTTTATTTCCCTTTTTTTTTCTATCCTAAAAACACTCTTCTTGTACAATATCTATTTAATTCACCATGAAATCCGCTGTATTCTCAATCACCATCTTTCTGCTTGTAATCACAGCATTTTTGATCGAATCTTCAAACGCACTCTCGCACCCACTAGACATGATTGTTTCCAGCGTTGACCGCCACAGTAGAAATGTTGCCAGGTATGTAATCTTTTAGGGTAGATTGAGATCACAGTTGGCTCATACTTCACACCACATGAAGCTTCTTGGTAAAAAGAAGATCGCATAGCAAAAGCAAGAATAAGACCAAAAGCAAGAGCAAGAAGAGCAGCGACTGCAGCAAGCGATATTGCTCTATGAAATTAAAGCCGTGTCCAAAAGATTGCCCTCAATCCTGTGGTTATTTGGGTAAGCTAACGAATATACTTCATTTTCGAATGCTCTTTATTGACATAATTTTTATAATAGATTCCCCTGATCCATGCTGCCCCTTGCTAGGCAAACCAACCTGTCCTGATTATTAATTTAAATGTACCATATCATAGTTTTTTATATAAAAGCATCAAGCTAAATAAAATTTACATGTATTCTCTCAGCTAAGAATGTCTTTCAAGACGTCTATGCTCTGTATTAGAGGCGGTAAAATGGTCGAAAAATAGCTTTTCCACATGAGAAAAAAGACCACAGCCAATAAGACGCCTAACAACGTGCCTGCCACCACTTGAGCTCGTGTGTGATGCTGCAACCTTACACGAGACCAGATAACAGACAAAGAGAAACAATGAAAGACGATCAGCAACAAATATTTATATGGGATTGTCGGTGTCACAAGTACGACGCAGGTTAGATAGCTGGTGAAGAAGCTGATTGCAGTCGAATGGGATGATGGCATACCATAGCTCTTTTTAGATTTCTCCTTTTTGCTAGGTAGCGGACGTGGCTGCTTGATTATATTCTTGAGCATCTTGGCAACCAGAGTAGCTGCGATGGCACTTGCTGTAAAGTAAACCATGTGGATTGACCGTAAATAAATAATTGTGAAAAAAGTACAAGTAATCACAATCTCACGAGTCTAAATCTGTATTAGTTGCTATTGTTGCGAAGATGATTATTTTTTTAGTTTATTTACATGAGACAGTATGTCAAGGAGGAAGCTATTTGTCATTTGCCAATTAGTGATAGATTAATAGTGTAGGACGCGTTTTTTTTTTTTTTAACAAGGAAAGAAAGAGAGAGAGAGAGAGAGAGGAAGGACAACGGAGGAAAGCGGATTTTGTACAAGGTGGATAAATAATTCTTTTCAAGCGCTAGCAATAAAGGCACAAGGTATGATGGCTTACTGCCGAACAGATGTCCATATATCAATGTTGCGATTGATATTTTCAGCACAGAATTTCAATGGAGGGAGCAATTCACCCACAGTTTGATAAAGCTCTAGCGCTACATTTCTCATGAATGAAAGTTGGAAATCAGCCAATGTCACTTTACCGCGTTCGTGGATGGCTATAGAAGGGATTCCTAATTCACGCTCCAGATCGCCTTGGATAAAGAATTCTTCGGCTAGTGTTATAGCCCAATTTTTGGCATTGTCAAAAGGTCTTGCCTACAAGAAATCGTTTAGCAACCTATCTTCAATCCATTAAGCATGATAGCAATACTAACACAGTTACTGACATCCGCGCATTTCATAATGATACTGCATAAGATCATTCTCTCTTTGTCTCGAGAGGCATCGTCTGTTAAATCCATGGTGTGTGATTGCAAACGCTGAAGTTGTTCCTTGAAGCTCTCCACGTATTCCTGATGACAGCTCATGTCAGTGCATAGAATACTCTGTACTATGATCTTGCGGAAATCTATACTGTAATTCAGTTCATACGCTCACCATCACCGCGCAATACCCGTTACCTTTGTATTCACAATGTGATTTGATGTCGATCATGGCATTAAAGTAGTGCTTACGGAGTAAGTTGAAGAATGCCATAGAATGATAATTCTCCAAAACCGACTTGTCATTGTACAGTACGGCTAAAGGCGTCGCAGTGGTAATCTATATACTAAAATCAACATGCCATTTTTTTTTCCTGCTGTTGCTCTATCCAACTTGCCATGAAACCATTATTGACTCCTGGATGTCCAACATCATGTCCAATTGCTGCCATCAGTAAAGAGAGTACATCGATCGGTCTCAGTAATAACGCCATGCTCTCAGAAGCGATTGAATTCAAGAAATACCATGTGGACTGCATCACATCAACTGCATGTCTGAAATTATGATACGGATTTGAGTTGTGATACGAATTGCAAACGTCAAAAATCAAGTTGTACAGCGCATCTATTTTTGGATATATTAATTTACATGTGTTACTCGAGTAAACTTTGTTTGTCATGTATATACCATTCGTCATTTGAAGTGATTTGAGTTGAGAGTGGTATTTTTGAAATGTTTGGTCCAGCATATAAAACACGCAATAGACTAAATCAATGTCGTCTAATCCAAGAGGAGAAAAGTTCCAATCTTTGATAAAGCTTTGCAAAAACGACTTTCTCTCGCTATCATGCTATGAATAGGGCTGATCGTTTAGAGTTTATGTCGTAATTTACCTGGTCAGAGAAGACATTCGCGATCTTCCTTCTATGGTAGGTTGTGGGGTATATTGCTTTATAATGGCGTCCGATAACCTTTCAGTCGAGTTAAAATTTAGCATTTATCATCTCTATTCGAACGTTTGTTACCAATGATGCTCGTGTTGAGTCGAGTATAGTTTTTGAAGTCGGCCCTGAAACTGGCTCAAGGCGGATTGTTTTGTTTTGTCTGTTAATTTTGACTGATGTGGTTTGTAATCCCTGAATAAATTCTACATTGTGCTTGAATTCAGTATAAATTCATGACCACGAGTGTACATACACATACCAAAAAAAGCGTTTTAATGACAGGTTCCCGGAATGGTTTCAAAACGAAATCAAAAGCACCCATCTGAATGCACTTCAACATCAAACTGGTGTCATCCTTTTCAGAACAAGCTAAAGCGGAAAAAAGTGAGTGAAATATGCCATTTTGATTGTGATAAATTCGTAAATTTACCTATAGGCACAATATGTAACAACGAATAGTATTGAATCGACTGACATATTTTTCCAAATAGATCCCAGTGTCGATCTATATCAATAATGAATATACAGGGAAGACTGTGCTGCTTTTTGGCCATGATGAACAGCATGGCTTCTTGCAAGCTCGAAATTAGATGAACTATACAGTAGTGAATACAAGGTATGATGTGAAACGATGGTTTTTCTACCTACCCTTCTGAAATACATGTTGTAAAATTGCCAGATTTGCATCTGATGGATTGCTTGCAAAAGCAACAACAAAGTCAATCATCGAATCTGGCATGTATGATGTCTGTCAAAATCTGAAGTACAATACAAGAGATTTTTTCAAGAAAAAAGTGAAAAAGAGAAAGAGAGAGAAAGGAATACAAATAATGGAAAATACAAATGATATTGACATTATCTTAACCAGAATATCATTGGGTCATCAGAGGGCAGTTTTGAAACGTTTTCATACGTTGAACACCCGAAAGGAGCACCAAAAGATTGATCTATTATAGCTTTAAGACGACAATGTAGATCTTTGATCTGGCCTGCAGGTACAATGCAAAGCAGCATGTAGAATGTACTGGAATGTGGATTTCTAATTGAAGAATCAAAGAGTCAGGAACTTTTGATCTAACTTTATTGCTTGTTCTATATCTCTCTTCATGGCGGTTTCATTTGACTCGGGCATATATCTAACTTTGGGCGAGGTGGGTTGATTCCTTGAATGGTCCAATGCATTGCTGCAAGATCTCATTTCACTTAGTCATGTATTACATTTGAAACATCGACTTGGTTTTGTACACTAATGAAAGAAGGAACATACATACATATTAAGATATGCTGCAATAAACATAGTATACAGATTGGATTGCTTTTAGAGAAAGAAATCAAATAATAACGTGAGTATATCATGAGTTAACAGGCGATTTTATTAGTATGGATGGGCTTGTCGTAATAAATATATATCAAATACATTTACCGCGGACATATACATAATTTGAAATCTCAGATTTGACATCCATGATTCAATTATTAGCCATCCGATAGTATATTTGCAGTTGAGGATATACAACCAAAGATTAGAAAAGTCAATATGGTTTTAGAGCAATTTAATAGAATCCCATGAGAGAAGAGGCGTTTTGCCCATACAAAACTTGCAGAAATTCAATGTTCCTGATTGACCGTTATTAAAACAAGGATTATTATCAAAGTTATTCGTTTATTAAATTTAACACATGTGCATTGGTGGCCATTACAATGTTTGATTCAACGAATCACCAAATGCGAATGCCTCATGCGATGCCTGTTTGATGGCGTATACCTGATTCAAATATACCGTATATATCGATTAGCTTACCGCCTCCAGAAACTCGAATGATCGATAATCCGAGGCGGATAATTGCAACGCTTGTTTCAGAAACAAACATATTTATGTATCATGTTTGGCTCTTCAAAACACATGGCATGCATATATTACGAATGACATAAAATACACGCATTCAACAACTGGTAATGCATGCTAATGATAGCCATAAGATTCATTGTAGTTATGGTGCTGGCAAAAGATTTAAATCCCGACAGATTCCAATTAGAAGATCATTCGGCCATGTTTGGACAAGAAAAATCGTTTTGGGATCAAAACTCGGAAAAACAATAAGAAAACACACCAAGTAAATTAAGTAACAAAAAAACTAGCATTGATGCTCTATCTGATGGTGCTATTATAAGAACTATTCCCCACACAAGGGTCTGGAGTAAAATAGGAAAATCAGAAAACATGTTTTTTGCAAATAAGTCAACAGTTATACTAGATAAACTCAAAACAGATCATTCAGATCCATAGATTAAGCTTCCGCGGTCATTCTGAATAATGATATATCATAGTAAAAAGTCAATATTTGGAGGTGAAAAATGGGATCGTTTGCAAATCAACAGTTTTTTTTTTTTGGATGATATTTGGTTTATTAGAAATAAATTAAACACATCAAGGGATGGACAAGTGTAAAAAATCAACAGTTTTGATGAGGTATCCCTTATGGAAAATTGCCAAAATTTTTGAAAAAATTTTTTTTTTCTGAGAAATGAACATTGGAACATGAGTCTAGTTGAGCCATGACATTTGGTGCCAATCTGAGGTCTCAAAACCAGTTTAAACGGGAGATATCAAGGGTTGAAGTGGCAAATGAGTGTAAAATGGCAGTTTTTAAAGGATTGTTTCGAGACCAAGACATCCAGCTACCCCATCTAACGCAATTGCGCATACAACTCGGAGACGTCAGTAATGTCGTTATATTTTTTATATTGCACGGCAAGAGCGTAATGAAGTGGAAATGAGCTGCTCTTTAAAGAGGTGCTGACATGCTATAATCACCGTAGCAATGCCTTCAGCAATCCATACTTTTATTATATTTATTTGAATCAAACTGCTCTATTTTGGCAAAGGATGAACAGCAAGGCTATGTCGAGCGTAAAATGCATCGCTGTATGTGCCAGTCAAAGCATAAATGATAGAAAGCTGGCCTCACATCGAACATTTGAATGTTGAAATCCACTCTCCCGTGACTCCAACAAAGTAGGTTACCCTAGTCACAGAAAATAAGAAAATTTTTGCAATTTGATATTGCTTCGAGGAACTTGCAAGTGTAGAAACCCCCTCTTTTAACTTCTAGACATTGCAATGTAAGATATTATTGATTTTCCCCTCTTGACAGCAAGTAGAACAGCAGTAATGGAAAAAAAATAGCAAACATTTGGCATAGCATTTGAAAAAAAATGGCATTGTATCATTGCTGATCTTTGGCATTTCAATCAGTCAATATGTTGGCTTATTCAGTGGCTTTTCATACGAATCAATGATATATCTTTGCCGCTATAATACTATCAGCGTCTTGATATAGCAGTGGTCTGCATTCTGCTTGTTTTATCTGCTATCAATGGGTTGATTTATACCGGCTACCATATCAAATACTCATATGAAATGCCAAATTGAATTCTAGGGTTAGTCTTCTTGTCCAAAAGCGTCTCGCTGCCTCCGTCCTCAAGTGTGGTCAAAGAAAGATTTGGTTGGATCCCAATGAGGTCAACGAGATCTCCAACGCCAACTCTCGTAAGTCATTTTGCCCATGGGGAAGGGAGTGATTGAGTAGGAACTGATGTAGTGTTCTTGTTTAGGTGCTAACATTCGTAAGCTCGTAAAGGATGGTCTTATTATCCGTAAGCCCGAGATCTCTCAATCTCGTTTCCGTGTCCTCGAACGTGCTGCTGCCAAGCGTAACGGTCGTCATATGGGTCATGGTAAGAGAAAGGGTACTGCTGATGCCCGTATGCGTAGCCAAGTCATCTGGATGCGTCGTATGCGTGTCCTCCGTCGTCTTCTTGCCAAGTACAGAGAAGCTGGTAAGATCGATAAGCACTTGTATCACCACCTTTACCTCAAGTCCAAGGGTAACGGTTTCAAGAACAAGCGTGTTTTGATGGAACACATCCACAAGGCCAAGGCTGAGAAGGTCCGTGCTAAGACTCTTGCTGAACAAGCTGATGTCCTTCGTGCCAAGAACAAGGCTCTCCGTGAACGTCGTGCCAACAAGAAGGCCGAGAAGCTCGAAGCTCGTCAATAAATTATTAGTGTTTACTAGTTTTTTTTTTACTAAAATAGATAATAATTTCCATCATACACATATATTGATTTGAGGGGGGGGGGAGGATGTGTCATCTTTTTAATTTACTATGTTTATTGCTCGCTTTTTCGATTAATTTTGGGTGCTTGATGTAAGGTTCGATTGTATAGAATCATAACCAAAGTGTGTGAGACGCTCGCTCAGAATGTCGAAATAGTTTTATTAAATGCTCAGATGCTGAACAAAGATTTGTTATCCAAGCTCTTCATGAAATGTGTCTTTAGACAGCCAGCACCAGAGGACTCTTGACAGCGATACTAATAATGGCTCCAGTAGCTCTTCATTGAATGTGTATCTAGACAGACAGCGTACTTGCCAGGCTATTTAAGGAGATGTGGTTCTTGAATAGGATGATGCCGTTTATGATTTGGCTCTTTTATCTTGAAAAAATAAAGGGTTTTATCAATGCATGCGCCCTTTCTTCCTTGCTAGCAAATGCTTACATTTGCTGAAGACGAGAACACGACAGTTTAACATTTACCTTGAACAGACTCTAGTTTATGATTGGAAATACAAAGTAGTTATATGCTGGATGGTAGATTCAACCAACCAATGGAAGTACTTGCTTACAGAAGTTGGGCCCAATATACTGAGCCCTCATCATCAAGCTAAAGGCCAAAGAATATTCTAGTTGAAGGCATACATGTTCTTCTCGCTTGAGAATGCCATGTTGATTACCTCGCAGGCTAGGCCATGCCAGTATCAAGTTAAACATACTTTGTTTATCATGGATTTATCACATATTTCACTTTTGTGGGGTACTGTAATTATAGGAAAAATATCCAGCATCATCGAGCATACCAAGTTCCTATCTGCAGCTGCGCTGATCAAGCAGCTCTTGAGAGAAAAGCAGTGTCAAGACACATTGGAGCTCGCGGATCTCACATTGAGCCAATTGACAGCTCGAGAGTGCTAGCCCAGCCAGATGTGGTCGACGTTGAAATAATGGCTCTCTTCCTTTGCTTCGCTTCGGTGAGAGTCAACTTCCGCAGCAGCAGCTTGCGCTACCAATTGCCCTTGCGTATCTTGTCAAAATATTGCTACTTTCATTTTGACCCTCCACTTACACATGAAAACCCTTCATATTATCTGTGGATCTGATTCTTATATGATGCTCTACATCCATATACACGTAGCTATTTCATATACGGGCAAGTATCATAGAGATATTATCCCTTTTAAGTCCTTAGTGTCCCTGATACAGCAAAATCTAAGTGCATTTGAGTTGCGTTTTCTCGCGCTCAAGGCCGTTTTAGATTGTCAGAATAGCACCAAACAATTGCTCTCATTTGGCAGTTACTTTCTGACACCTTTGCTCAACTTTTTAAGGATCAAAAAAAACATGGCCAAAAATCGACCAAAAAGCATGAGGTACCCCTCATGGCTTTCATCGAAAATCAAACGATCGCGTTTTTGATCTTGATAATGAAGACTTTTACTAAGGTATATCTTGAATCAAAATGTTTCTATCGATTCAACGTAACCCTTGAAATCATCTTTGTGGAACTTTGATATGTAAAATCTCGACTTTTTTGGCCAGAACCTCTTTTCATATTATTGTGAATTGCTCAATGCGTTTATTCAAAACATCTACGTTACGTGGTACCATTAGGTGCGCCTTGAAAAGTACTCCAGGAAAGCTTAAGGAAGCATGGGGTGATAATCATATTCTAATAGTCGAATCTGGCAAAATAGTTGAATCAAGTCGATAAGCTCTCAGGATCTGTCCAATCTAGAGTAAACTACGAGTCTGAGCTGGAATTAATTTTGGCGGCTGGTGGCAAATTCAATGCCCCTCTAACCATGAAGGCACTACAGTAATATACGCTTTTGAAGTGTATCGAAAGTATGTGGTAATTTACATAGTACTATCATTAGCCATGATAATTTCCGTGCGTTCTATATTTAATAACACCAGTCTATCAAAATACTTGTTAGATCAGCTTCTTTTCTTTTTGAGGCTCTGAAAGTGTTTAGGGACCATAAATTTATTACGTTGCGATGGCCATTTCGACTCTTCCGTTGGGTTTCTGACCCACGCTTTGCTTTGGCGAAAATCAACCTACGTTCAGGTGTCTTGCCCTGTCGCGGGCCATTGGCTACTATTGAAAAATTAATAATAGCTAAAATGATGGAAGAAACTTGATTGTCGATTGATAGTAATTTAATATAAAATCTCTTCTAATCATATATGAACCGAGATGGAAGGGGTGAATTGGCCAATGCAGAAGCATTTTCTTCAAGTTCAATCCGTACAAAACTTCACTCAGCACTCAGTCAATGTAGTTTCTGGATACGTATATAAATCATCTGTAAATATAACATTGAGTCGAGTCTTCTTACTAAGATATTGGGTCATACAAAAATTACTTATGTTTTCGGGCAATCTAACCTCACATCCAAGCATTACTAATTGCTCAAGGGGCGGTGTTTCCAGGCATCTCGTAAATTGAGAGGAAAGGCGCACATTACAATGGAGCAGTTGTTCATTTTGGCAAAAGAGGATGTGGGATTTCAAGTCCGGAAATAGGTTATTGTTTTTGGATACATGGTTCACTTTTTTCTCTCCCCCTTTTTTTTTTCTTGTCTCTCTTTCTCTTTCACTCTTGCTTGGTAATTTTGTCTAAATGGCTAGACGTAAAGAAAGCCTTTTACAGCCATGGGATTTGATAAGCTCATCTAGGAGAAAAAGCAACAACAAGAGAGCAGCAGCTCGTGATGGCACCACTATCCTACCAAAAAGTAATGTATATTGGATTGAGCCCGAGTGTCCTAAGCTAATAAAACTCCAAGATAACCCAACGCCTCCTGTAGTAACGACACAGGAAATCATGGCACAGCGATCCCAAAGCTTTGCCTATGGAACAAAGAGCGCAACTGCCACAGCAACGACAGAAACAAGTAGCACAGCAACAGTAAAACGAAAGAGCAACATTTACTCGGCACTTTTGTCTAAAATTGCCATTGAATTGAGACAGCGAATAACGTTGGCAGATCATATTAAGGACGATATCGAGTACAAGAACACATTTGATGGCAAGCAAGTGGTGGTAGGTTTTGCTTTTTCATGAGTGAGAGAGAAGGGGGATTATTGATCAAGTGGTGAAACGACAGGATAAGATTGCATTGATTGTGCAAACATCGGACAGAAAACTCGCTTTGAGGATTGGTAGAATGCTGAGCGAACAGCGGTTCTTTCACGATGTCAGTTACGAAACGCAGCTTGTGGATTCCTCGATTTATCTATACGAATTTACGAATCGAACCTTGTATGCACTCAGTACGCAACATCAGCAAAGCGGCAGTGATTGGAGTGGCAGCGAGTCCTTGAGCGAGCACAATGTGGATGTTACCAACAATAATCAGATTATACCAAATGGCATCGTTGTTGATTTGACGCACTGTTATGTACCAACTTGCTGGGATCTCAAGCCCTGTTATAGCCCCATCTGTCCAAAGCGATTTACACAGGTATTATGCGGATGTTTCCAACCTTATATTGTGGAATTAACCTAATATCCAGCTAAAGCGGACAGAGAGCAGCGAGTCATTTTCAAATCTACTCGTATCACTGTCATCCTCCAGATCGACAATAGCAAAGTCAAAGTCTGCTTTGCATCATGATTATTGGGCAGACAGTGTCGAAAAGTCAATGTATGATTCATTGTCGAAAACAGAGCGAAAGAGGCAAGAAAACCTATACGAACTAATATATACAGAGAAAGATTATGTTCAGAGCTTAGAGTATCTGCAGAATGTATGTTGTTGGCTTTTGCACAGTCTATTTTGTTCTGACCTAACCTGGCATTTATAGATGTGGATCAAGCCTTTAACAGAAAGACCCATTATCCCAGCATCACGCAAAGAAACACTGTTACGAAAGGTATTTGGAGGCATCGAGGACATCTACAGGATAAACATTCAACTATTGCGAGCATTGCAAGAACGCCAAAGTCAGCATTCCATTATCCATCAAGTGGGCGACATTTTACTGGATTTTGTCATTGACTTTGAGCCTTACATCAGCTACGGCTTAAAGCAGTACGAGGCTAAATTCGCATTGGAAAACGAGCGATTTATCAACCCCAATTTCGATGCCTTTGTGGAGGCCACAGAGAGACACCCTGACTCGCTCAAATTGGAACTGAACGGCTATCTCACCAAACCAACCACACGGCTGGGAAGGTACACTTTACTGTTCAATGAAATCCTAAAGCATACGCCTGCCGATCACCCTGATTTGGAAGATCTACCAAAAGCAGTAACCATCATCAAACGGTTTCTCTCCAGAGTCAATGCAGAGACAGGCAAAGCGAAGAATCGCTTTGATTTGGAACGCATTCACTACAATTTGTCCTTCAAATACAAAGCAGATGAAGTGGTAAGCTGAGTAGATGGTTATGTTCTCTGCAATCTTAACCAGCAATATATCGTAGAACCTTGATCTATTGGCCAAAAACAGAAGTATCGTCAAGCAAGGCACACTGAAAAAGTCGGCCCAGCTGGAGTCCGTAGAATATCAAGTGATTCTATTTGACCATTATCTAGTTATTGCAAAGCTCAAAATTATCAATGGCACTGAACGTTATGTAATTCAAAAGCGAGTAAGCATACGAATGATGTTCAATTGAGACAGCAGACACTCACAAGCATTTTGCAGCCTATTCCTATTGAATTGCTGTCTGTCTATCTACCAGATACAAACCTAGCCAGTAAAAGGTCAAGCACGCTCGTATTACCGTACCTGACCATGAATACCCCAAATCCAATGATGGCAGTACCAGGAGCACAAATGAGAGCCTCGACTGATCTAGGTCCCTATTTGCATCATAACACCAGCACCGGTAGCTCTACCAATGGAAATAGCAGCAACAGCAGCAACAGCACCAAACCAAACTCATATCCCATCGCATTTCAACATCTGGGACGCTCAACATCTGCTCCCTACATCCTCTTTGCACCTTCTCATGCTACACGCAAACCTTGGTTCGAAAAGATACGATCGCAGCAAGAGGCTAAAAACAAACGAAGCCCTATTTTTGAGATGGTGTCCTCTGTGCTAGAGCATCAGTTTATCGTGCTCAACAGAATCCATCATTTCATTACGTTTAGTAAGTTTTGTTTATATATCAATTGCTCACAGGGGACTAACCGGCTACTTTAGATGGCGGTCAACAGTACTTGCTGGCAGCAGATGACGGCGTCTATGTTGGACATCACAACTATCGACACGCAGAAACCACACCACACAAAGTATTGTCACTTGAGAAAGTAACACAGATACAAACCATCGAAAGCACAGAAACCCTGCTTGTACTGGCAGACCGCACATTATGGGAATATCCGCTGGACATTGTCAACGGTAAGCCAGAAACACAGCCTCGAGGTCGTCTGGTGCAAACACATGTGCCTTTCTTCTACGTGGGTACGTGTCTCAAACGAATGATGGTATGTGTGCCAAAGATCTCCACCCTGAGATCCGTCATCACTGTATTCGAAGCTATCAAGAGAACCGATCTGATGAGCAACAGTGGCAACATGGGAGCGGGTGCCATGTCTGTTTCTCTGCCATCGTCAACAGGCGGTTCCAGTAAACGTGCAAGCGGTATTCTGGATAGGCTCATGTCCATGCGAGCATTATCACAGCCTGCTGATGATCTTCACTTGCGCAAAGTAAAGGACACCTATGTACCCAGTGAAGCTTATGCCGTCGAGTTGTCTGCTTCCATGATGTTGATTACTTCATCCAGAGGCATGATTATGGTGGACATGCGGACAGATCAACCTCAACGTAAGTGGACAAAAGGCAAGCCTTGCGAATTGAAGCTAACAGGATGACTAGAATTACTCAATCCTGGTGATAAAAACCTGGCATTTATCTTGGAGCGAGAAAAAGAGGTATCTTCATCACTCAACCTGCGCCAGCCCATCAAACGCATCGCCATCTTTAGAACCCCTCGCAATCACTATTTCATATGCTATGATGGTAAGAGAGTTTGAGCGAGCGGAATACAAGATGAAATACTTATAATCGCATATCCAGAGTACGCCTTTTACATTGACAGCAAGGGAAATCGTCTGTTCACCAAGTTCTTGATCGAATGGGAAGGCACACCAGAGTCATTTGCATTCTGTTACCCTTATGTGATGGCATTTGATGCGTCATTCATCGAGATTCGCAATGTGATTACAGTAAGTGCGCCACATGCTTCGTTGTGGTAATGACTCAACCTCTTATCCTAGGGAGCCATTGAACAAATCATTCGAGGAAAACAAATGAAATGCTTAAACAATGGCCACAAGACCGAACTGCCCCTGATTTTTGGTTCCATGGCAGATCCTGTCAAGGATAATTACCAGTTTGTGTTTAAGCTTCAATTGGCTGCTGAACACTCGATTGAGGAAGACATTACCTCTATTGAACCATCCACATTACATCGATAAGCTTTTATCTGTACTTTTTTTTTTCTATCATATACAATGTATTCTACTACTATGCTGAATCACTACTACCCTCACAACTGATTCTACTACTAACCTTGCTAATTACTCATTCATCATCTCCCCCCTATTTCTAAAAACAACAACAATATCATTATTTACATTAATTTATATCTCTCAAAGGCAATGCTTTTTATTCTTTTTAACTGTATGCTTTGAATTGAAATGACATGATTAAATCTAACAAAAAAAAAAAAAAAAAAAAAAAAAAGTTAGTATCGACGATAGTATTGGTTTTGACTATAATGAGGCTGTGGTGGTGGTTGCTGTGGATAATAAGGTTGTGAAGAATATACAGGCGGGTAGTTTTGTTGTTGATATGGATGATGCTGTATTGGCTGTTGTTGCTGTAGCATAGGGCTGATAGTGCATTAGAGTCAATACCTACAAATGAGCCATCGCTTTTATCCTTACCTTTGATTGTCGAAAGCCCCAGGTTGAAGTCTGGCAGATGCAACAACAGATCGAGATGAGTAGCGAGGCTTTACAGACTGCGTGGGCGCATCTTGTAGCTTGGCACGCAATAAGCGACCATCAGCGAGTGTATTGTCCAGCTTTGTTACGCATTCCTTTGCAGAATCCGCAAACATAAACTCGATCTCGGCCTCATTCAATGGTCTGCCCATTGGATCCAGTAGCATATCACAGCTGAGAATGGGTCCAAACACGGAGCATGCCTCCTAAATCAAAGAAAGCTCAATACACGCAGCCTCAACACATATCCACTTGCTCTCGCAACTTACGCCAACATCTTCTGCTGTTGCTCGAGGGTCCAAATTACAGACCAGCACAATCTTCTTTTCAGGTTCAGGTATTGGAGTAGCAGTAGCTCGTTGCTGTGGTTGTGATGGTGCTGGTGAAGATCGTGTGCGATGATTCTTACTGGGATGTGTGTTGTGTTGTTTAGACTTTGATTTGGTGTCAGGTGCTGATACAAGAGGTTTAGTGATCTTGCTTTGGATGACAAGCGATTCGGATCCTTTGTCTGTCTTTTTCACGCTGGCAGTGCGATTCATCACTGGCTTTGTAATGATGATCTTTGAAGGATCCAGTTTCTCTGATGGGCTTTTATTCGATCTGTTGATAATGAGGGACCCATTTCGCTTCATATGAAAAAGAGCTTTAGCTTGTATTCTCGCACGCTGCCTATAAAAGCAAACTTACTACTCCTGCAGACACAGCTCGACTGCTTACTACCCCAGGGCCGCGGTGAGGTTTATTGATACCTCGTCCCAACCTCGAGTTGATCAACGTGTCGCTTCCGCTGCCGACTCTTTGATGGACAGGCTTACTACCAATGCGCTGATTGACATGGCCTCTGGTGGAAGCTCGGTTGTGGACAGTATTATGTTGACTGCGGGGATGGTTGCTGCCACTCGAGTGTGTCTGCTGGCGTCCTCTCCCACTGCTGCTCGCTTTATCGACAACTCTCTTACTGCTGGCCGAAGTCGGCATTTTCTTTCCGCCACGGCCTTTGCTTGAATTTAGCTTGATCGTCTCATCGAGGGCTCTATCCAAATCCATGTTTCCCTTGGCCATGATGTTGTAATAAAAAGGTTTTTGCAAAAAAGAAACAGAGAATCACCTATGGGCGCTAGGATTGAGCCACTTTTAATACAAGCTGGGAGTTTCAATTGGAGACATGCTCTCTTTTTCCATTCCAAATTTGAGCCATGCCAAAGCGAAAAGACAATGTGCCAGCAGCAGCAGCAGCAGCAGCAGCAGCAGAACAAGAGTCGATATACACACTAGAATCCATGACATGTCGTATTTTGCCCGGTCTTCAAGCGCGCGAATACATTGTCAAGTCATCATCAAATACCATCCATCTGCTGGATGTGTTCATATGGTCCATTGCACTATACCTTGCCAAGGTAATTATCACCCGGCCATGCTGCCTGGATCAGCCCTATTTACCAGACCTTACTCGTATAGTCTCGGCTCTACCAGTATGCCATCACAACAGCGCTGATATGGCTTTTTGCTAAGCGGAAATCGGTTCGACAAGGTATGTCGCTGTGTGTGGCTCATGCCAGGCCTGCGTGCTGATCTGTGATGCATATAGAAAGCATATTAGCTATCCGCGATGTGGGCATACAAGTCAAAACAACCTACTGGGGCGGCTCATCAGTGTCGCGCTTCATCAACAGGAACAAAATAGACGATGTGATCATCAACGAGGGCATCAGTTTTTGGCAGATAAAATCATACATGGCGATATTGGTAAAAGACGAGGATAAAATGGTCGTTGTATTCGAGGTGAGTTTTTCTATTTTCGCATCACATCCTATACAGACACTCATATAAAAAAAAACACACACACACACACACACACACACACACACAGCACCTTTTACCAAGGTTGAAGCCTTTTTTGCTACGAGCCTACCAAGGCACTCGCACCATCATCTTTACGCAAAAGCCAAACCACATACTCGACTCCTTTTACACCGCAAAGCAATAAATGGTATATAATCAACCCTTTTATTTATGAATACGCCACGGAAAGATCGTTCAATGCAACACAGACTGCTGCTTTGTGATGGCCGTTGTATTGTCTGATCGTCTCTCCGTTCTGAAGCTCCCACAACCTTGCAACATGATCAGAGGAGGCTGTCACTAGATAGGCCGAGTCTGCTGAAAACGCGCAATCCCACACCCATCGTTGATGTCCTTGCAGTGTCAATAACAATTCGAAATTCTTTTCTGTGTTCCAGATCTTGGCTGTATTATCTGCCGAGCAAGTAGCTAAAAGCCTGGATGAATGTGCGTGAGTTGAACTTCTTGAGAGTGTACACAGAGACTTACTTGGTATCAGGGCTCAACATGACCCTCAAAATGTAGTTGTTGTGTGCTTGGAATTGATGGATGGGCTCTACTTCATTTGAATCGGGGCCGTTGGAGAGCTTCCACACGTAGCAGTTGCCCTTGTTGTTGACAGCGATCAACATGGAGCCATCAGAGGCAACAGTAACTGATCTCATGGGCACGCCTTCTTCAGGCACCTGCATCATGCGATGGTCAGTCGTCTACACACGCCAAAGCCCAGTACACTCTCTTACCAATTCATGCGTACATGAATGGGCCGTTAAATCCCAAATTTTGACAGCGCCATTCTGATCACAGGTAATCAATTCACCTTGGTTTGCATGCATGACAGCATCAGTGATGGGTGCTCCATTATCAAAGTTACGAGTGAGAACTGGATTGCGACCTGATCTAGTGTCCCAAATCTTCAAATGCCCATCCTCACTGGCTGTAAACATCCAGCGTCCTTCGCCGTGAAATCCAGTAGCAATCACATTGCCTGTGTGCTCTCCAAATACAATAAACTAGAAGTCGTTTCAGTCAAATGGGCCATCCGTATGCTCTATCACTTACTGGGCTATCGTTGTTGCTTGCAATGTCGTATAAGCGCACAGAATGGTTTCCTATCAAAACGAGTGTTGGCATTGACACAACCAACCAAAGATGACTGTAGTATACCTGCTGCAGCGAGTATGGTCTTGTCGGGCGAGATACAGAGTCTATTTACTTGCTATCATAGCATGCATGGATTCAGTTGCTATTGCAGACATACGCAAGCAATCACTTACTGAGTCGGGATGTTTGATTGTCTTTGAACAGATGCCACTAAGCGCTTCCCAGAATCTCACTGTATTATCGTATCCAGCAGTGACCAAAATGACAGAGTGGCTATCGTTTTGAAGGGATTGCTCATACTGCATTTGTGCATAATATTGTTGCTGGTCTTGCTGCTGTTGTTGCTGTCCTTGCTGTGAATTTGGCTGCTGCTGTTGGCCTTGTTGCTGCTGTTGCTTCTTGTACTTTTGCTGTTGCGCTTCTTGGTTATCGTCAGCCATGGATGTCAACTTTTGCAGAGAAAAATAAGAGAAAAAGAGCATCCATTATGAATTCCATCTCCTAGAGAAACTATACTCGTACATCGCACCAGTCACGAGAATGAATGCAAAGGTAATTACAGTGCCATACTATCAAATCAGCAGGATGGTAGCAGAGGTTGAGAGCAATCACAAGCTGCTTTAAAGCATCGCCATTAGAGATCTCGTTCCAGTAGAGACGGAGACTGATGAAAGCATGGCATGTTTCCCTTTTCTTGGATGCGGGGATATCTGTTTGACAAACGCATTTGCAATGACTTGGAAATGTTGTATTTATTCAATTTGGACATAGATACTAGCATAGCTTACACTGCTATCAGTGTACTTTTTGCATTGGCTACTTTGCTCATAATGCAAGCACTTGAGGGTTTGCTTGGAGGACCCCTTCTTTTCACGCAATGACTCCAATGCAGCCATGAGAACAGCGATAGGATGTCTGCCACAGATCGTATTTTGAGTGTCGGCTAAATAGGCTTGAAATTTATCAAAACTCAAGCTTTCGAGAATGTCAATGCCTTGGATATCGAGATCTTGGATAGATTCGTAAATAGGTCGTTCAATCTGATTCTTGTTGGTGGATCCAAGATTCATTGGTTTCTCGTCCAATTTATCAGACTTTGTATAGTAAGTATAACGAAAGCGAGAACCCCTAAACCATTACAATGTGAGAACTACATACACAATCGAGATATCACTGTCTACAAGTACCAATGACAGAAATCTGATGAAATGATAAACAGATTTCGAGGATCCTGCAAGTATTTAGCAAGCAACTGGCCGTACATCTTTTCTTTGGTGGCAGAAATAGAGCCTACCAAGATGGGAATAAGAGAAATATCATCAATTTTACTAGGGCAAGATGTGAGCACTCCATCTGCTTTACGCTATTGTATACATACTCTTCAAAGATCTTGTACGTGAATGGCAAATGCATTTCAAGACTATGCTCATCTTCATCCACGCTTTGACTCATCCATCTAAACTTTCCAGTCTCATGCAACTCGTCAATCACTACGTGTCTATCAGTTACCTTATCATCCATGGTCATATGCAAAATCAGCTTACCCTCTCTGTTTAATCTAATATTGCCAAATGGTGTTTCGTATGTGGAGCATTTAGATAAACTGCAGCTATCAATGTAAGCATGATGAGAAGGTCCTAAAAGAAAGACACGCTTTCTGCATGTAGCATGTTGTCAGATTCTGCTCATCTATCTTGTTGTTGTCGTCAACTTACATGTTGCTAGTATCAACTGCTTTATAAGCAAATCCGGCAGTAGGCCCACTGTATCTAAAGCCTGCATGTCTATAGGTAGGATTATAACTAAGCCTGTTGCTATAGACTATTTCAATGGAGATACTTACGGCCCAACGATAGCTCTAACTCCCTTGATAGGAAGCTTTTCTTGTGATTTCTTTACTGCCTTGTCTAGATAATACTCGAGCTCCTCGTTCAAACGTGTTTCTATCAAGTGTTGTCAAACTTTCTGTGCAGCAGCAAACGGACAAAAGCTACTTACTATCTGAAGTATACCAGGAACCTGCATGTGTAGCGCTTCTCTCCATGTTGTCGTATATACAAAATGAAAGAAAAGATGATACAAGTGTGGTTTATCTTTTTTTTTTTTATATATATATTGATATCAAAATGCGCATGAATAGCGTCACCTTAAATCATATGACACACATTTCTCTTTATTCGTTTATCCATTTGGATTGCAAGATGTCTTGTATATCAAATCGCTTTTCAGGCTCGTAAGCCAAGCATGCATAAATCAATTCCTTCAAGGCGGTTGACAAGGCCAAGTCATGTGGCACCTCGAAATGACCTTCTAATATCTTTTGCTGCAATCGTAGATCGTAATCATCCATGAATGGCAGGGAGCCTACAGTCAGCGTATACAAAATTACACCCAGAGACCAGATATCTGTTTTGGGGCATACTAAAGGCATTTTTTGTCGAATCTGCTCAGGAGCTGCATAGGCCAGAGAGCCACCAGCTGTTTCTAGCTCGCAGCAGCCATCTTGCTTTCTTGTCTTTTTGTAGCAATGTCGATGGATCTGTTGCTGAGGGATGTCGATGGCTAATCCAAAATCACAAATTTTGATGTGTCCGTCACCATCAAGCAAGATGTTCTCCAGCTTCAGGTCCTTATGGCACACACGGCGATCTACATGGAGGTACCGGATGCCCTGACATAGCTCGCTGAACAGTAGTTTCGCTTCCTTCTCTTCCATAGGCTTGTGCTTGTTCAGATGGCCCAGCAGGTTACCACCACTGCAGTAATCATTGAAAACGTACGCTATGTGTTGTGCCTCTACGTGAATCACCTTGAGTAAATGAACAATGTTGGGATGATTCAGCGAGCGCCAGATGGATAATTCTCGGTCAAGCCTAGTTAAGCTCAACTCGTTCATGTGTTGATGCTGGATGATCTTGACAGCTACAATGTGACCCGTCTGTGCATGTGTTGCCTTTCGCACTGTAGAAAATCCGCCAAATCCAATCGAATCGCCCAGTATGTAGTCATCAACGGTTGCGTTTGGTTCATCTGGATGCTGATTTACTTTGCATGCCGAATTGGTCGCTACAGGAGACATAAAGTTAGCAAGGAAGGAAGCAGCAGATGATGTGTTGATGGACGATGCATGAGCCGTTTCATTGGAGACTGAAGCAGCAGCAGAATTTAGACCCAAAGCGGGTGAAGAGGATGCCGATGAAGCATTGGATGGCGCTGGCGAGAGCAATGGTCTTTTGAGATGGGGAAAACGAAGCTGTTGGAATATGGCATCATCTATGTTGTCATCATGCTTTGGTGGAGAATACTGGAGCCTCAACGGATCGGCACTGATTTGGAGGAGGATTCTATCATTTTTGTCACTGTTGACAGGCTCTGAACGAATACCATAACTGTACAGCAATGTTTTCTGAACCTCTTTTATGCTTTCTTTCAATCTATCCGCTGTAGAAGGTCTAATGAACTTGAGACTAGAATTCAACTGCTGATGTTCAGGCAAAATGTGCTCCATGTAGATGGAAGAAAAGGATGAAAAGGGAGGGTCCTCCTTTTCACTGAGTTATTCATGGGGTATTCCAATATAAATCTCCTTTGAACCCTCTCTATGCTTAAAGTATTGTTTATTCTTGGTATAGAATACAGCCAAAAAGACCATGTTTGATTGTTTCAATCAAGACCATGTGCGGTTGTGATATAGTAATTGCTGTCGGGATCTACCATGAAAACCATGTGTCCGGTATGTGTTCTGTCTGATTGGGTAAGCTCAGCTTAGCTAGAATTTTGGTGGGTGGATTGGGTGCACAACTAATTCAACGCACAGCACAGTTTGAGTCCTTTCTCTTTCCTCACATTTAGTTAGACATGGGATCCGATCGGTAAGTACCTCAGCATCCATCCATCCATCCATCCATCCATGCATCCATGCGATTACGTACACAGTGATGCACATCAATGGCGATCGAGCTTGAGAAAGAGAGAACACAACGGGATACGATGCGACCAGTGAAAGTGTGGATTTGAAATTAGGAAAGGGGTTGATGATGGAGTCATGGCAAATCATGTCGAGATGATAGATACGAAAACCAGCACATTTACATGACGATGATCAGCAATTTCAGCATTCAAATTATACTACACAGCTGCCGTCAAGTGTTGATAATAGTTGATTTGCAAACATGGGGTTTTCATTCAATCTCTTCAATTGTTCGCTTTGGATGTGCATTGCTGGCTTATGGATAGATGGCAACAAGGCGCACAAGTAGACTAATGACGCTCTGTTGGATCTATTAGTCTTTACAGCAAGGGCCGTGTTTTGGGCTTCGAGCGTGCCAAGCGCACCCAAAACCCTAACGTTTCTCTCATCCAAGTTGAAGGTGTCCAAACCACCAAGGATGCTCAATTCTACCTTGGTAAGCGTGTTGCTTATGTTTACCGTGCTCAACGTGAAGTCAATGGTTCCAAGATCCGTGTCATCTGGGGTCGTATTGCTCGCACTCACGGTACCAACGGTGTTGTTAAGGCTCGTTTCAGAAAGAACTTGCCTCCCAAGGTTTTCGGTGCTTCCGTTCGTGTTGTAAGTTTGATCTGAGATGTATTGGTGGTTGCCATGGTTACTAATATATCTTTGTGATTGATTTCATAGATGCTCTACCCTTCCAACATCTAAACATATTGAAATAATCTACTCTTTGTTTTTTTTGAATCATTAAAAGAAAAGGCTGTTTTTATTTCTGAACAATTATACATGCGTGTCGATTGTGTAATGCAAATTTGAGGAAAGAAATGGGATTCAAGTGCAAATGTTTGCTGTGCTTAAATGTATAAACACGGAAATGTTATTGTATGAGAAAAGGAGACTGTATATGCGAGGGAGAATTGATCTGCCGTTCATCAAATATACACTGTGAGTCGAGGGCGGGAAAGAGCCAAGTGAACCCGTGAGAAAGCAAGCGTAAACTATAAAGTTGATTCATCGGGCGGTCTCCAGGAGATTGTAGCCGTTCGTCATACCCCACTGCATGCATCATTCTTCAAACAAACAGAGCCAGTAAGGCAATTGGTCACATGGATCAAGTCAAAATTCCGGATGTGGTTTCAAGGACATAACATGAAGCACTCAAAGACAAAAGGTCGGCATATAAAGGAGCAAGATGTTCCAATAAGAGTGAGCATGTTGAGATTATGAGCGAGATATAGCTGTAATTGATGGACTCTCAATGCACAAAATGGAGATGGGTGAAGCCCGGAGCAGTTTATCTCCTAACCTCCTGAGTTCATTTTTCGGTTTTCAGCATTTAAGAACCATGATCAAGCAGTGAACAACTGCCTATCCTAGTACAATTTATTTGGCAACCGTGGGAACTATCCCTCTGTCTACCACTGTGAGGCTCTCTCTTCCAGAAAATGCCATGCTCATCAAAAATTGATATAAAAGGGATGCTTTCAATCCTTGTTTCTTGGTCTTTTTTTTTTTATTATTATTTTGTTTCCTTGTAAATCAAACACTCTTTCTAAGCTTTCCCCCCCTTCTCTGATACAATCTTATATAAAATGGTAATATTGCAGATCAGAAATGATCCATTGCAATGCAAAAACTCATGTAAAACTTGCTTTTTAGGCCCCAGCATTGAACGGAACTTCCAATGGACAAGTCGCAAACCCTTATTCTGGCTTTGATCACCTTAAATTCACTGTAACTAATGCCAAGCAAGCTGCTTCTTACTACTGTACCCGACTTGGTTTCCAACATCTCGCTTACCGTGGTTTGGAGACTGGCAGCAGAGATGTTGCTTCTCATGTTGTAAAGCAAGGTGATGCCATCTTTGTCTTTGAGAGCCCTATTCATCCCGAAACAATGAGAGAAATGGCAAACGAAATCGCTCGCCGTGGTGATGGTGTTAAAGATGTTGCTTTCACTGTCAAGGATTGTAGAGCTGTGTATGCCAAGGCTATTGCCAGAGGTGCTAAATCTATCAAGGAGCCTGAGGAGATCACTGATGAGGACGGTACAGTTATCATGGCTACTTTGGCTACAGTAAGTAGAAGCAATACAGTTGCAGATAAATAGCATCCACTCACATCTCTACAGTACGGTGATGTTGAGCACACCTTGATCGAACGCAAGAACTACAAGGGCATCTTCTTGCCTGGCTACAAGGACTCTCTCACCTCATTAAGATACAAGGATCCTCTTGATGCTATCTTGTAAGACTTGATTTTTCGTTATCTGGTCAGATATGGAATTAACACGCTGTGAATAGGCCCCATGTCCCTCTCGCATTCATTGATCATGTTGTTGGTAACCAAGCTGATGGCGAGATGAACCCTATTGCCGATTTCTATGAAAAGGCATTTGATTTCCATCGTTTCTGGTCGGTTGATGATAAGCAAGTGTTCACTGAATACAGTGCTCTACGTTCTGTCGTCATGGCTGATCCTGAGGAACGCATCAAGGTACCAATCAACGAGCCTGCCGTCGGTAGAAAGAAATCGCAAATCCAAGAATTTGTTGACTTTTATGGTACGTTGAATAAGGCATGCAGCAGCTCGATAAGATATTAACAATACCCTGCTTCTAGGTGGTGCTGGTGTCCAACACATTGCTATCAATACAGATGATATCATCACTTCTGTTACAAATATGAAGGCAAGAGGCTGTGATTTCCTCACTATTCCCGCTTCCTATTATGACACTCTCCGTGCTGCATTGGTTACTCACAACAAGGTCTCCAAGCGCCCCATTGTCGAGGATTTGGATGTGTTGCAAAGCTTGAACATCTTGGTCGACTACGACGAGAATGGCTATCTCTTGCAAATTTTCACCAGACCCCTTGAGGATCGTCCCACCTTGTTTGTCGAAGTAATTCAACGTAACAACCACAATGGCTTCGGTGCTGGTAACTTTAAGAGCTTATTCGAGAGTCTTGAAATGGAGCAAGACATTCGTGGTAACTTGACAGACATGGAACCTGCTGCCCCTTCTGCTTAAACTTAATATTCGTAAATATACACATACACAATTTCCCATTCTTATACATAGTTGCAACCAATAAAGACATATATCAATCAAATCAAATGGTATCAAATTTATTTAGCTTGTGTAAGGAATTCTATTCTGTAAAGCCCTTGTATCCACATATTCAAGGTCGACCACACTAAATTTAAACATGAGTATTGGTTATAATCACATTTTACTTTTTCAGTCATTGCTTACCCAATGAGTAAATTCTTGAATTTGTTCAAATGTTCAGCCATTTGATTCACTTGCTCTTGAGGTACAGCTGTGCATGCTACTTCAATAATCCAAGTCTCTTCCTGTGCTATCGGTACTGCTGATTCCACCTTAATTTTCTTGCACTAGGAGAAAATCAATTCCCAGTTCGCTGCCATAGCCTATTCAATTTACCTTGTAAAGTTGAGTAACTGTAATCTTCAAGACTTTGTCATAAGCCAACAAATATCCCTTTCGCACAACGTCAAACGCAAAACTACGTAACAACGAAAAATCAATGAGGAGCATTTCACACAGACACAATCGCTCCATTTTACCTATAGCCTAGTGATTTCATAAATCGAAAGATATCTCCAGACAATTGCACACGAGAAATAGGACGCACTGTAACTGTTCTTGCGCGCTGTGGTTCAGGGTTGCCTTGTAAACACAGAAACCTGGAATGTTATGTTAGGTATCATGACGCTTATCGAGTTTGCTGTGTCTAACCATTGTCTGTATTTCATGCTGTATTCTTTTTCGTTGTGGATTTTGGATTGAAGTCGAAGCACCACATCATCGTTACGAGCAGGCCCAACTGGGGTTTGTGCTAGCGTAGCGTATCAGTTTCTTAATCACGAGAAACAGTTAAGAGGCACATCTTACTGGAAGGGATAAAAACGAGTTCGTGTTCAAACAGGTCTACCATTGAATCGTTTCCGCAAAGGCCAACAAGACGTTGCATAAACTTTTCTTTCTGTGCTTGTCCAATGATGATACCTTGAAGACTGCATTCATAGTTTGACATACTGTGTTGTGGCTGTATTAGTGTAAAACGAGGAAAAGAGATGCAACCATAAAAGAAACCAGACATTGTCAATTTGTGGCTTCTGTGTTTAGGCAGTTCAATCTCAGGTATACGTTACCATGGAGCTTCCAGTACTTGGATCACTGTGTTGAGTGGGCCAACAATACTCAATGTGGGATAACCTCGATACTATTGTTAGGTTTGACATGTAAAAGAAAATGGCCAAGCAATTAGTATTGCTCTTCAATATGCAGCTTGGCATTTAAAAGGATTTTTATTTACAATGTCTTTTTAAATAAAGCAAGTGGAGCAATATCATGAAAAATGACTCTCTCTGGAGGAACAAATGGCGATGATGAGTGTAAAGCGTATCACATTGCAACAGTAAATAAATCGATCCATAGTGCTGTTGTTTATATGTACGTGTAATACTAGATATATGGATGAAGATCAAATGAAATCCTCACTCCCAATAGTCAGCGCTTAAGATGGTACAAAAGGTAAACATCAACAAACCGCACATAGTACAACCAACATCTACAAAGCACTTCTTATACAGCAACACGTAGCCAGAACCACCCTTATTGTAGCAAATGTCATGACGGTTACATGAAAGTAACTTGACTTTCCAATCCAAATCATTGCTATCACTATCAAACCTTCCATTTCATCCTCATCATAGCATAGTTTTCAAGCTGTGTAATCTGATCCTTTTCGCTCGGCACTTTTCTATTGATTATCGGTTCTCATCAACTGATGATAGCTTACAATAACCCGCTTTGCAGGTTATGCCTATAATAATATACAAATATACACAATATGTCCTTGGCTCTCCATTGAAAACTTTGCTATATCCTTGTTGCTCAACCCATCTTTTTGGGCCTAATTCTTCTCATCCATGTTCAATACTTTTACTATAATATCGTCTCCGTCTTATTTATGCGTGCTAGGTCCTTAACATTCTTCAATCCTGAGCGATACTGTCTATCTTCAAAGATCATGGTAACACTACTGTAAGGCTTTGTTGAGATAGAAGATATGGTAACTATATTTAGGTTTCTGAATAACTTTTTATCGATGCCATGCGAGATAAACCGTCTCAAAAACCAGCCTTCCTTGAAGGTTATAGAACAACATCATAGTTCCTGCCTTTTCTCTATTCGCTTTGATTTCTCTTTTGATTTCTCTTTGAATTTCGAATTGAAATTCGCTTTGAAAGTAGCATATTATTATAGCGAATTTTTGCGGAGAAGACGATGGTGCAATTTGATTTTAGATGGAATGCGTTAATGATGAGGAATCAGTGATTTTTGGAAATTTGTGAAATTTGGACAGAAGCTATTAATAAAACTTTTTTTTTGAATACTATATAAATGAAGGTTGTATGTACAGTAAAAGTTGTAGAGGGTACTTTGATTGATTAGGGCGTGTTTGAATTAGGCTTGTTGAGGACAATGTGGACGAACAATGAGGAAAAATAGTCAAAATAGCCAATTTTCAAAGGGCTGTACCTCAGGATTTTACCAAGTAAACCCGAGCCTAAAGCTTAGTAGCTCTTGTTTCTTTTTCAATTCTGTATACGATGGTATGGTTATTATAGAGAAATAAAAAAAGTTTTGATTATCCCCTGCTTGTAGCTCATGAAATATAAGATTTTGAGCAAATTCATAAAAGGAACGTGTATCTGGTACTTAAAACCCATATATTATAATGAATAAACCATAGAGCTATCGAATGGTCTTTGCTTTGTGCGAATCCAGTGAGTATTTGTCAAGATATGGTCAAAAAAGGGTATCATGCAAAATCATGGATTTTTCTTCAAAATCTGCCTGTGATAGCAAGCAAAAAATCTAATAACGATTTTTTGGTCAGGACAATATTGTCAATATTTCATGATAGAGTTATGCCAGAGCTTCAAGCAATAGCTCATTCGATAGGAATTTTTTTGGTCTACAATATTTAGTAATGCTTAACAAAATGTTTTGATGACAGATACTGATCAATCTTTAGAAAACAGCCAAAAAATCGCAAAAACAATCGTACCAAATATCAGGTGAACAATGTACACCAGAAACTTGATATAAATACCATTGTATTCTCCTTTGAATTCTCTACAAATTTCATATAAGTTTGAAGGGGTAGTTACTGTCAAGAAACGCGTAATTTTAAAGTCGATAGATTTTGTAATCCCATAGATTATCATTCAGAATATTAGAAATTGAATCTTCGTTGACTTTCCGCATGTGTACACCTCACAAGTGTGCATTTGACCAAGCATTTTAAAAATCGGAGAGTACGAAAAGGGCCATATTAACTTGCTAATTTTAAGTCATCAATAGATACTTGACATGTTGAGGAATCTTGTTGTCAAGACTAGACAACTGTAGCTTGTTTTATTCAAGAATAATAACTTTTCCAAATTAAAGTATGTATATTCCCCCGCTTAAAAATAGCATCTCCAATGCTGATTATCTCATGAAGTATGCATTTCCAATATAATATTCCCACTTAGAAGTTGCTCCAATACCATTATTCTACAGCATATTTCAGTTTTATGTGATTCTAATTTTTTCACCTATGAGGACCTGGATGTACAAAATGTTTTTTGATTTTGAGGTTTTCAACTTTTGGACGATCGAACATCGATTTTTGAAAAAGTGATGCTAGAGCTTTGAAAGTAGCATATTATTATAGCGAATTTTTGCGGAGAAGACGATGGTGCAATTTGATTTTAGATGGAATGCGTTAATGATGAGGAATCAGTGATTTTTGAAATTTGCGAAATTTGGACAGAAGCTATTAATAAAACTTTTTTTTTTGAATACTCTATAAATGATGGTTGTATGTGCAGTAAAAGTTGTAGAGGGTACTTTGGATGTAGGACTATCGCCTAACCTAAATACCTTCATTTCCTTTTTTCGGGCATTTCTATATCTGGCAACGCCAGTCAGCCTGGCTCCCCACCGAGATATATGTAATCGCACCTTCCTAATCATGATTTGCAGCATTTCAACATGGCATGTAGGCAGTAAGCGTGTCATTGATTCGTTTAAAAGAGACTCATGCCAGTGGTTGAAGACTTATTTCGGTATGTGGTGAGAATATCTTGAGAATTTGTATCAGAATATTCATTGGGAGTGATGGATACAATCTCACTAACAGTTAACATACTCTGAATGCGCCTATCTTCACCAAGAATTAGCTCCAGTCTTATTTAAAGATTTAGTTGAGTGTAAGCATCCTCATTGGTATGATTTCTGGCTTGTCGTTCTTCTTCACTCAGGATCCCATGGGCGTGCTTGTGAATGCGAACAAGGTTTTTTGAGTCTTGTCCTGTACTCAATATTAGATCGCTGCCTAGCATTGACAAACAACACCTTCATATATACATATAAACAATGTAAAGCAATGGCAAGTCCGGCCTCAAGCACGTGCGTCGTCATAGAAAGAGACAAGTGTTCATATATAACATTCTGTATTATACGAGTCAATATACCTAACACTGCACTGAAGTGCCATAAATATTGAGTCAGTTGGTGGTCTATAAGAATTTTTAAGGTGGCCCGCAACAAGCCTGATGCAAATTTATAATATAGACACCCTTGAGTGTAAATTCAATGAGTCTATCGCCTAATCTGAAGCAGATATTCAAAAAGTCTTACAGCTACCATTAAACTCAAATGCAACTGTCAATTGTATTCACTGCACCATCAAACCATCACCTTCAAAATGATAAATACGTCTAATTTAGATTTACAGAAACGTCTCGAAAAAGTATAAACCCCAATCTTGACACAAATGGCTGAAAGGTACGCTGATCCAGCATTTGAGACCAATCTGCACTTGTATCTCTCAATTTTCATGGCCACTGGATCTGTATTTAGCAAATCTCATTATTTAGACTTCAAGAACATCAGCTCAGTAGGCGCGCATTTATTACTGCATTTGAAATTGCTTAGCATTTATCGATTGTTGAAAAAGCAAAAATGACGCATGGAGCAAACACGGATTTGCTCCATGTATAAATCGGAAACTGTACAACCAGAAGACATTCTGTGTAATATCGATTGTTCAAGGGAAAAAGATGTACACACTAAAAGTGGCTCGGCGACTCTCCCTTTTCTATTGCTTGCCTGAAATATGAATGTGATATATTTTGATTCTCCACTTCTGATTGTTCAACAGGACAATTCATAAAAAGCTAAAGCTTGTTTTTTTTTTTCGTTCTCTTTCTTTTCTTCTTTCTTTTTCATTTTACCATCTATAAAAAAAAAAGTAATTATGTCTCGCCAACCCGTAACAGTGCCTTGTAAATACAAAACCGGAAGAGTCCTTGGTAACGGTACCTACGCCACAGTCAAAGGTAATATTGCAGCTTATATTTTGAATCGACATAACTCTAATGTGCCTATATATTACAGAGGCCATGCGTGTAAGCCAAACGTATTCTAGTTCAAAAACGAGTGTTAATGAAGCCATTGTGTGTATAGATCGATACAGGCAAGTACTATGCTTGTAAAATTATCAACAAAAAGTTGATGGAGGGTCGTGAGCATATGATTCGTAACGAAATCAACATCTTGAAACGTATTTCTCAAGGGAACAAGAATATTTTGAGCTTGGTTGATTACTTTGAAACTGTCAACAACTGTAAGTAACTTTGGAAGATGATGTAAAAGCATTACGATGACTCAAGCGTCTATTCTACAGTGTACCTTGTGACAGACTTAGCATCAGGCGGTGAATTGTTTGATCGTATCTGTGAAAAGGGCAGTTACTTTGAGAAGGATGCTGCCAAAATTGTGCAAACTATCTGCAGTGCTGTTGCTTATCTCCATGATAATGGAATTGTTCATCGCGGTAAGTGACAATATTCATCTCCTTTTGAAAACCAATAAATCACACAAGCATCTCATCAATCTCGGTTGTATAGATTTAAAGGTAATTTATAACACTGTACAAGAAGGCAAGCACTAGCGAACACAGTTGCTCATCGCCATGTATAGCCCGAAAATCTCTTGTTTCGTGAACGTGATGAGGATTCTGATTTATTGATTGCTGATTTCGGTTTGTCTCGTATCATTGATACTGATAAATTCCACACGTTAAAGACGACATGTGGTACTCCTGGTTACATGGTACATGTCATTTTTTTTTTTTTTTACAAGTGTGCGCACACAAGTTTAGATACTCACCTTTTATATGCTAGGCACCCGAGATTTTCAAGAAAACAGGACATGGAAAGCCAGTGTAAGTCTAGTGGAGAATATTTAAATCGAGATGGAAACATGGAACCTTCTTTAATAATCCCTTCTCGCATTAGCGATCTTTGGGCAATTGGTGTAATCACTTACTTTTTATTATCTGGTTACACTCCATTTGAGGGATCAAACAATGTTGAGGAGATGCAAGCCATCATGAATGCTGACTATAACTATGACGATCCTTGTTGGGAGAACATCAGCCAAGCAGGTATGTCTTTCTTGATATGGAGAGTGGGGAGTGGTGGCTGATTTTTTTTTTTTTCGTTTGATATTACACAACAGCCAAGAACTTTATCGACCGTTGTTTAACCATCAATCCTGATGAGCGTATCACTGCACACCAGGCTCTTGAACATGAATGGTTGCTCACCATTTCAGATGAAAGCAAATCCACTGAGGAAGGTGGAGATTTGTTGCCCAACTTGCGTACCAACTTCAATGCCCGTCGCACATTCAAGAAGGCCATCAACATGGTTACTCTTTCAAATCACTTTGGACATAGCTTAAAGAACAGTTCTTCTAGTACAAACAGTGAAAACAATATTCAGCCAGTTAATGAAGGTATTGATCAAGTATTGGAAACTGCATAATTTTACCAAACCCAAAAAGATTGCTCTCAAGTTCAAAGATGTGGGAGGAGGGCAGGCTCATGGCCTTATCACACACACATAGTCTGAAAATTAAATAAATTTCTTGTGATTCTCTTTTTCTTTTTCTTTTCTCTTTCTTTCAGCTCTTGTTACTGATATCCAGCGCATTACCATCATGTTGCGATTGCAAGTAACAGCATTGTCCAGACATGCGGTTCAGATGAGAAATCCCATCATTGCAAAATCGCTTCCATCAACATCGTCCTCATCACACATTATCCGAGTATGTTCATGTCCAACCATATTCCAACAAAAACAACATTTGACAGATTCGCCTCCTCAACGTGTAACGAAATTCAAAGTGATAGAATCCAACCCACCACTCGGTAAAATGCCAGGCCTCTATAAGGAACTTGTTAAATTCAAGTTGGCAGCACTAGTTACATTGACAACCATGGCGGGCTATGCTATTGCCCCTGGTGAAAGTACCGTCACGACGCTTATTGCAACTACACTGGGTACAGGGCTCTGTATAGGCTCTGCCAACGCAATCAATCAATGGATTGAAACTCCATACGATGCACAAATGCTGCGTACAAGAAACAGAGTACTCGGTAGAAGAGCATTATCACAGACACATGCCTTTGGATTTGGTACTCTTACTGGCGTTGCCGGTGTCTCCTTGCTGGCTACATGTGTCAATCCAATTACAGCTGCATTGGGTGCTGCCAACATCCTGTTATATACCTGTGTCTATACACCTATGAAGAGATCTTCCATTGCCAATACGTGGATAGGCGCTGTGGTGGGGGCTATTCCTCCCATGATGGGTTATACGGCTGTCACTGACACACTAACAGATCCAGCTGCTTGGGTATTAGGTGGTCTTTTGTATGCGTGGCAATTCCCACATTTTAATGCATTGGCTTGGAATCTGCGTGCTGATTATTCAAAAGCCGGATATCGTATGATGGCTGTTACCGATCCCAAACTGAATGCTCGTGTCTCATTACGATACAGTTTGGCCATGTTCCCGCTCTGCATAGCTGTGCCTTACTTGGATATGACTTCATGGTGGTTTGCTCTTGATTCTACAGTGGTCAATGGTGCCATGGCCTATGGCGCATATAAATTTTGGAGAAACAGGTAAATTCATCGAGTATGCTGATTTGACACATTTGTTATTAACATTCTCCATTTATGCAGCAATGATAAAACCGGTAAGCAGCTGTTCTTTGGCAGTGTGATCCATTTACCAGTTCTCCTTGCGCTACTCATGATTCATAAACGATGGAATCTACATGGCAATGCTCAAATAGACGAACAAGAGGAAGAGGAGGTCGAGGAAATTGTGCAATGGGTGACAGATGACGAATAAATTTATACACATTCAATTAATAAAGCAATTTATTGTTGTTCCTTGTTGAAATCACTCATATTGGTGGCCTCTACGGGACAGCCGATGAATACAAGTTGTTGGATTTGCGTATTATCTTCATCTTCTTGGTTGTCTTCAATAAATAACATGATGTGGGTGATGTTTTGATATTTGACAAATTTCAAGTTGACAACTGCATCCTCCTCGAAATTCTCTGGAGTGAGTTCAAGTGTTTGCGTTTCCTTGACAGAATCAACATCGTCGAAGCCCAGTACGGATCTATTTGTGAAAATCTTGACTGTCTTGGGAGCATTGGCTATGTCAAAACAAAGGTCAGCATTTATACACATACACACTCACAACAGGTCAATTTCTCTTCTCACTCACCTATATTAGACACCTTGAACTTCAAAGAATGGAGCTTGACAGCTAAAACCAATGGATACACATCAGTCTCATATGCGTACATGATTCTCAGGTCCCTAGGTTACTTACGTTGGTTGAAAGGAACACTAATGATCAATTGTTCATCGACATCACTTTGTAAAAAGGTATCATCGTCCTTGAAAATGTTCTTGACGTTATGCTCTTCTTGTTGGTTCAATGCGTCCATTTGGTTAGGTGTGATGAATTCAGTCAAGTCAACCTACACAATGACTATCAGCAAGCAACCCCCTTATTATCCACTTTTCATGCCTTACGAAGCCAGGAACACCGACACTCTTCTTTGCAGAACCTGAGGATGAGGCAGCAGCATCACCTGAATGCTGCTTGACATAGTGTTCAAGCTGTTGAGGATTGGCACCTTTCATTTCCACAACTTTACTGCCATTCTTGTAGAATTGGAAGGTGGGCCTAGTTGGTAGTTGTTTAGCATAAATAGCATTTCATCCAGCCCTTTACCACTTACATGGAAGTAACTTTGCAGGCAGCAGCAACTTCTTTAACTTGATCTACATCCACTTTAGCAAACACTACTTGAGGATACTTGGTGGAGAGTTGGGCATAGAAGGGAGAGATCATTTTGCATGGTTGACTATGGAAAGAGTATTAATCATCATTGTCATCTACCACTACGCGTAGTAAGCATTTACCACCAAGTTGCAAAGAAGTCGACTACTACCAACTTGTCTGTTGTAGTGAGAAGCTTTTGGAAATCAGAAGCATTGGAGATTTGTTGAATAGCAGCCATGTTGTAGTAAATGTAAAGCAGGAAGAAAGGCAGTAGGTGGCCGATTAGTTACGTGTCCTGTAATTGTGCCAAATAATCCTGTCCATCCGCTTTCTTGAAGTCACATTTCCTTCTTGATTGTCTTGCTCGAAACAGCTTGAGGTCCATTTTCCTCTCATCATCAATTCATTATCACCTCATATTCCACCATGGCCAAGTACGCTGTCATTTGCGCTAGTAACCAAAACAGATCAATGGAAGCACACCATGTGTTAAAGTAAGTATTGCAGAACCAAAGCAATCCCATCCCATCCCAACATGCGAGAAACGATCCTTAGTAAGAAGGGGTTCAACGTGCATTCCTATGGTACAGGTACTATGGTGCGTTTACCCGGTCCAGCTATCGATAAACCCAACATCTATCCCTTTGGTACACCTTACGAACAAGTATATCAAGAATTAAAGAAGCAAGATCAAGCACTGTACACACAAAATGGCTTATTAAGCATGCTTGATCGTAACCGCAAAACCAAGGAAGCACCACAAAGATGGCATGAGTCGCGAGATTTGTTTGATGTCATTATTACCTGTGAAGAACGTTGCTTTGATTCAGTGGTGGAGGATTTATCAAACCGTGGACAAAATCTAAACCAGAGCACACATGTCATTAATGTCGAAATCAAGGATAATCATGAAGATGCTTTATTGGGTGGTAGAGCGATATTACAGCTAGCTCAGATGGTAATCAATAATGAAAAATGCAGGTGAAAAGTGTGTGTCTGATAGTTTTTATTAGATTGAAGCCTCGAATGATATCGATGCAGATATGGATGGCATCATTGAAGAATTCACGCTTAGAAATCCAGGATTCCCCATCTTACATACAGTTGCTTATTTCTAAAGATGTATAAACCCACCTCGACATTTTGTACATGAACATTGACTGTTTTGCGATGAATGAGTGGAGAGTCATTTTATGGCATGTGGTAGTCAGATCAAGACCATATGTAATCCAATACAAAAGAGAGGGAAGTTGCAACAGGTTGGCTTAGTGCCAGAGCTGCAATGTGGATGATAATGCCAGATTTTTAGTGTTCAAAGATAAATTGTTGTTTTATTGTACAATGTACGCGAGAGATATATAGACGAGTAAGATTAATGGTATTACGTTTTTAGAAATAAGATAGTTTGTAAGGATGTTGATAAAATACATGTCATGTGACGAGGTAGATATTAAAGTTGTGCGCAATTAAGGGCAGTTTTCCAAAAGACCCTCAATACAAGAGCCAGTGTAAGCGTAAGGTGCAACATTACTCAACTTGAAGACGGCTTGAAGAAGAGCGGAAATACCTTGACCAGCAATCATACCACCGGCAGTACTGTACATGTACTTTTCGTAAGCAACAGGATCTACACGCTTCCAGATCTTGCCAGCAACCCAGCCAATGAACATGGACAAAGGCACTTCAGGACTGGTGTTGATCATGGCAATACCGACAGCAGAGACAGAAGGGAAGTAGCGGTGATACTTCTTGGGAACCAAGAATTCACGAACGAAAGGAGCAACGACACCAACAGCAGCGGCAACACCAGTCAAGATGATGGATTCTCTAGTGAGCTTTTCACCACCGCCTGTCAGCAACAATGTAACGTTATACCAAGCCTTGACTGCAACCAAACCGAATTCACATTCCTCGTTAAGATCAGTGCTGGTAACACATGGGTAGGCTTCAGCAAAGAGAATGAAAAGACCAACAGCGATACCGATAGCGAAGAAGGAGGCGATGAATTGGGCCCAGAATTGAGATCTGGGAGAAGCACCGACCAATTGACCAGTCTTGAGATCACCAACCATGTCGACAGCTTGAGCAGCGGCAGAGGCAGAAATGTTACCAGCCATCAGGTTGTTCTTACGCACTTGATTGAGAGTATCACTGGGCATACCAGCAAAGATCAATTGAGACATTTTACCAATTGAGCCAGTGGGATTGATATCAGTCTCACCAGCAGCTTGGACACCAACAAAGGACAAGACGAAACCGAGAATGACAGCAACAATGGATTGGTAGACGGGCATACCAAAGAACTCGCCCATGATGGCACAAGTAAAGATGATTGAGATAAAGACACCCAGAATCCACCACCAAGCAGGAACGAGTTCCTTTTCAGCAAAGATCTCATCTTCGTCTCTGGGAGGGTTCATTTGGAGCAATTCCTTTTCGTTCAAGTCCTTCTTCAAGATGTGGGTCTTGAACAAGAGATAACTGTTGATACAGCCATTGTAGAGACCAACAACACCACCCTTGACACCACGCCAGAGGGTATCGTAACGGACAAAGAGTTCAGCGAACGAAGTCAAGACCATGAGAGCAATACCGGGCCACAAGAAGAAAGACTGCGTGGTGGCACCCTTGGTAGTGATACCCATGGGTTGGACAAAGTAGCCGGTGTGGACTAAGCAGGGACCAATGATACCGTAGACAAGAAGAGAGGAAATAAAGAAGGTATTGACGGTAGAACCGGGAGTCATCAAGCCAGCACCAAAGAAGGGGAAATCCCACTTGAAGTTCCAATTCCAGTCCATATCAGCACTTTGCAGAGGAATGTAGTTGGCGCTATGACCGATCCACCAGAGAATGTGAATAGTGTCCATGAAGGGAATCCAGTAAGAGATCAAACTCCAAATGAAAGAGATGACGAACCAGATACCCATCCACAAAGCCTTCTTCATGGCTTCTTTTTCACCTTCAACTGAATCGTGAAGAGACATGATGGTGACAGCAGCGGCACGAGGAGTGGGGAAAGTCAAGTCCTGCTTGACGACAAAGTGGTTACGAAGAGGAACAGCAAAGAAAAGACCATAGAAGGCAGAGGCAATTGTGAAAACTGTCAAATGCGATTAATTCAGACTGGTCGGATCGAAAAGGATGGATTGACTTACGAACTAAAGCAGCGGCATCATTTTTGGGAGTTGTCATTAAACCTAATTTATACATGGCAGGAATACCAGATACAAAACCAGCAGAGAGACCGCCTGCGGTAGTTGCTGCAGATTGAGCAGTACAATTTTCTTTGGGGCCAAAGTATCCACCACCCCACTTGGGAGGAAGCACTCTGGAAATAGGCTTAATGATGGCAAAGGAGAAAATGGCACCAAAGAGCGAGGCACCAAATGTCCAACCAATCTTCAAACCAAGATATGTATTTGATGCGGCTATACAATTGCGAAATGTTAATGACAAATGTCAAATCGAGACAAATACTGGATCAAATTACCAACTAAACAACCCAAGAGGGAGCCTACAATAGTTGCACGCCATGTGAATTGATATTCTTCAACCTGGATTTGACGGCTAGAGGTGCTGTCTTCCACCATCACTTGTTCATCAGTTGAGTTGATGTCATATTCAAATTTTTCATCTTTGTAATCTGGAGGAGGAGGGGAAGGTGGTGTTGCTGCTACGTCCGGCATAGTCAATATGTATTTATCAGAGAGAGAGAGAGAGAGAATAAAGCAGATGTACAAAAAAAAAAAAGCAGGTAAATCAACGAGGTTTATATATACTCCAGGTTCTACATTTCAAATTTTAAACAGGCGAGTTATCAAATGTAACATCCAAAGAGCATCAAACTGAACCAATGGCAATACAAAGATGGCGTTTATAGCCAATCAAGCAGGGCAAATGGCATTTCGCACAGTTGTTGCTCATTTTCGCACGATACCAATCCCCCCTTCAAGAAAATACTGAATTAGGCAATTCAGTCCAATTTTGGTATATATTTTCTATCTATCATGGTGGATCAGAAGGGTAAAAAAGATCATGGAATTGTACAAATTATCTATTTATCACGCTAGTGTTGTACGTGGCACTTTTCTGAGCTGTTATCTATATGCTCCATATTAGAAAAATTGTTCGCTTTTAGCAAAAAGATATAATACAGAATTCTCTTCAACTTGTTAACATTGATGGCATGTACATGTTTTTACAACTCTACACATGACTCATTAGAGTCAACTTGGCTATAGTTAGAAGTCCGTGTAAGTTGATTCGATATCGGAGATGGCGCTTTAATACTGCCCACCTGCAAATGTCCTAACTCATTTTTATCAAAATCTCCTTATATCATATCAGCATATTTATAAATTAAGCTTTGGCCCAATGACATTCCAAGTAGAAAAAGGATCCTCTTTTCAGTCTAACATATAAAATATTCAGTAACTCGTTTTACTTTTCGAGATCAATAAAGCAAAGTTCCGGATGTCATTAAAGCGTGCCATCTAATGCGAAATTGGATTATAGAAATACTGTCAAATGGATTTTTAGTTGTTGGCCATTTTAACCGGCAATCCAAATGTAGTTACGATCGGCACAATCTACATGGTATCTAAGGTGACACAATAGCACCTGATAAAGTTCAAATATCTATTTCAACGGTGGCATTTCCTGAAATGAAGATTAGTTCTTTATATATCAATCCTACCAATTCTTTAAAGTTATAATAATTTGTCATGAGAATGAGGAGGGGAGAAGTTTTTATTCAAATCTAAATGTTGAGATGTTGATCGTATCATTCTGACAGCATCTATTCATGCACTGGCTCGCATTTCTTTGCTTAATCGTCGTTTGTTTTTTTTTTGGTTCTCGTATAGGTTTCAATGATGGGTTCCAAGCAGCTTGAACATGCTGCTTCCCCAGCTTACTGGAGTAGAAAATTAGTTTCTTATGAGCGATATTTTGTTACTATTGCTGTTGTTGTACAAAGCTTCACTTGAGTGACATTAAAATAGTTGTAAATAGAAGCTGTTCTTGGTATAGCTATATCATAGATTTGAATCTTGGCAATAGACTTCGATAAGATGGAACATATTTTGTATACTAATACTTCTTACCAAACTTTTGTTTTTCTTGTATTCAGAACACAGCCCAATACGATCGTTACATAATGAATGTGAAACAATGATGCAACAATGGAAATGACTCACGAGTCTCTCTTTCTTTCCTCGCTTACTGCGCATCAGGACTTTGACCCGATGTCCAAAATAACCTGATGTCTGTAGCCATATATTATGCAATCAGTAGTAGTGTTAAGGGATTTGGTTTTGCCTGAATCCGAGATAATCTTGTTTTGCTTGCATGTTTAAAACATTCCTGTTCCATAGTAGCAGTTCTCTAATTATCGGTATAAGTTATAGCGTCTGACGCTTTTTATACTTTAGGTTGAAAATGCCATGGAAGCGGGCACTTTGCTCTAGAGATTAATAATATAAATGGTCTTATTGTTGTTGATTTGTCACATGTAACCATTTAAATTAGATTGCAATTTTAGATCTTTTTGGGTCCTTTGAAACAGTTGGACCCTTCTTTGTTATGGATGTTCTCTGATTGCTTCGTGTGCAAAGCTACATTTGAGTTTGTCAGTTTACATTCTTTTAAGATTTGTAATGTAACCGAGCATGTATGGTACCAAAACTGAGCCACAAATCCGAATATCGGATATAGCAGAAGACTTGGTTGTGTGTAGAAGAGACCCAAAGCAAGCGTTGATTAATAATATCAACACCTTCCTCTATTCAGCCATATTTCATCTTATTGTCCATCAAAATTGCCTGTATATGTTTCCACAAAACGATCTACTATAATGACAGGACGATACGAACTATTGTTAATATAATTTGAGTGTTTATGCTTTGGATAGCTCTCTACCTTCGCTTCCCTTAGGAGAGAACCTGCGCAGCAGCAGCTCGCGCTACCGATTGCCCTTGAGTATCTTATCAAAATACTGCTACTTTCATTGTGACCCTCCACTTACACATGAAAACTCTTCGTATAATCTGTGGATTTGATTCTTATGTGATGCTCTACATCCATATACACGTAGCTACTTCATATACAGGCAAGTATCATACAGACACTATCCCTTTTTAGTCAAAAGTGTGCCTAATACAGCAAAATTCGAATGCATTTGAGCTGCGTTTTCTTGCGTTCAAGGCAGTTTTAGATCGTCAGAATAGCCCCAAACAATTGTTCTCACCTGGCAGTTATTTTCTGACACTTTTGCTCAACTTTTTGGGGATCAAAAAAAACATGGCCAAAAATCGACCAAAAAGCATGAGGTACCCCTCATGGCTTTCATCGAGAATCAAACAATCGCGTTTTTGGCCTTGATAATGAAGATTCTTACTATGGTATACCTTGAATCAAAATGTTTCTATCGATCCAATGCAACTGCCAAAGTCAGTTTTGCGGGACTTTGATATGTAAAATCTCGACTTTTTGGCCAGGAACCTCTTTTCATATTTTCGTAAATTATTCAATAAGTTTATTTAAAACATCTATATTACTTGGTACCATTAGATGCGCCTTGAAAAGTACTCCAGAAAAGCTTAAGGAAGCATGAGGTGATCATCATATTTTGCTTAGTCGAATCTTCAAAAATAGTTCAATAGAGTCCAAAATTATCAAGATTTGTCCAATCTGGAACAGACTATAATTTTGCGTTTGAATTAATTTTGGCTGGTGGTGCCGGCCGACAAACTCAATGCCCTTTTCATCATGAAGACAATAAAGTAATAGATGCTTTTACAACGTATGGAAAGTAGATGGCAAATTATTCTAAACTATAGTTAGCCATGCTATTTTTCTTGCACTCTATATTTAATAACGCCAGTCTATCAAAGTACTTGCTAGATGAGCTTCTTTCCTTTTTTTGAGGCTTTGAAAGTGTCTAGGAATCATAAATTTATCTTGTTATGATGATGCATTGCAACTACGTGGAATCACGATAGCTCAACATGCTGCTGTCAATGGAGCATGATGTAGCAAAATGCATACCAATGCTAAATACATAGGCTGTTTATTGACATCTTGTACTATTTGTTGCTTTTTTAAGGAGATGGCGTTGATAATGGACAATGCCAAATTTGTAATTGTCCATAAAATGTAATTACCTCCTTACAACGCCCGATTAAATGAAGCAATTAGCATAATGCATGGATTCAACTCTTGATGGTTTGATTTATTCCCACTCTTTTTCACATTGTAAACAACAAGATCGCTTCATCATATTCAGCCAACATGCCTCTACATTCAACTATATCGTCAAACACCATCAAAACCCCACCACGCACAACAAGTCTCAGGTTTCGACAAATGATCATGAATTCGCCGCCCTCCTCCCCCTTGTCCATGTTTGACGACGGCTTCGAACAAATTGATCTCAATTCGACTTGCACTGATGAAGTTGGTTGTAGCTTACACTCCACAACGAGTAGCTCTTCATCATCTTCCTCCATTACCGAATGCTGCGGTGATGATCTCACGTTAGAAAACATGTCAAATGTGATAGCAGCAGCCATTGAACTATCCATGTCCAATCACAAGCGCTTGTCTTCACTCTCTGCGGGCAATGCATCCATCAAATACACTAAGAAATCAACAAAAAAGAGAGAAAATAGGTTTTCCAAGCACCTGTTTCGATGGAGCACTAATCCCACCACTTCCACCACAACCACACCTATTCTACCCAAGCCAATGCGAGTATATGATGATGGTAAACAAGAACCGCTGTATCGTGGTATCCGTGTCCAGGAAGTCCCTACTACCTTTGATCCAATGATCATTCCACTTGATTTTCACCCAAACAGTTCGTTGCAGAGACCCCAATTTGCCCGCATCAGTTATTAAAATCATGTGCTTTATTCTTATTTACAATGCTGTGTTTGTTAATCGTCTTGTAGTTGGTTTTCGGCTTCAAACTTTTGAGTTGCTTCAGCATTTGCTACCTTTTCAGCTAATGTGGCATCCTTGTCCCCTTCTAATCGCTGGCGAATGATTTCATAGATTGCACGTTGTGTTCTACGGTCTAATCTCTCCATTTTCTTTTCAACATCTCTCTTCAAATCCCAATTAGGCTTCTTTGGTGCTAGATTGAATAGATCCTAGTAATAGCACAAGGAATTAGTATCGATGCATCTATGTGTGACTAAGCTACTTACCACTTCTTCATTTTGTTTCTCTGCAGCTTGTGCTAATGCTTCTTTTGTGAAATCTTTGGTTTCTGTTTCTAGTGTGTTGCCAATGTCAATGGGCTGGGCAATATCGACATGTTGTTTTAATTTTTCGTCATTGGGTGTATAGCTTCTAAACTTGAGGGTTCTGTTCATTTTAAGTTGGTATGTATGTAAAGCATATCGTTCAAGTAGTCTTACTTCTCTGCTTCTTCTGCAGTACGGTCAGTTTGAGCAGCGCTTCCTAACTTTCTCTTTCGAATAGCAGCAAGACGCTCCTTTCTCTTTTGTGCTTCTTGATCCATTTGCAGTTGTGTGTATTGTTTGAAAGAGCAGAAAAAATTGTTAACTTGCGCGAAATCTGGTAAACCTAACATTGCAGCTGCGATTTCTGTTGTGACTCCAAATTACAGCGACGACATGAATGATGAATGCTACTGCAAGCACTGCTTTGGCTTTATTAGAGACATTTCGCATATGAATCCTACCAACTACGACTAAATAGATCTAGTGCTTTGATTAGATGCGTTCACAATCACATAAAAACGAGGCTGATCTGGAGCATTCATGATGCAAAATGTTGGATGCCAACTGCTTACGGAATCGTTATTTATTGCTCGTACAAAGCCAGTTGGGGGCTTCTTTGAAATTTATGTATATTTGTTACATTGGTGGATCATGCTTCGAGGATTATATGGTACATTGCAATGGGAGGATAAGATAAGGGTGGGGGGGGGTATCGTTTAAATGGAAATAGGAGGAGGGCTCTGAAATCGCCGTCTAACTAATACAGGTATCAAGGCTACTACAGCAACAGCCAGCAGACATAGTACATTAATGGGCGTTAATAGCTCCAACTTGTCAGATGAGGATAGGCGATCTAATGCAGCACCTGCTTGGACATGTATAAAGGAAGGTGGAGCGACACCCACAAACGTGCCCCAGAAGAAAGGGCCAATGGGTACACCCAAATGAGGCGAGCCTAGATTGACTGTCCAATTAGGCGGCAATGGTGATATTCTCAAGACAATCATGTAGTTGAACATGTGCTGTTTATGTTGTACAAGCTATACAAAAGTTGTCCAGACATGTTATACATCACTTATTCTCTCTGTATTCAGTTAACAATGCCTGACTAACCTGCTCATTCCATTTCTTGAGCCTCTCGCCCATGAGTTTAATGACAGCAACGGATCCAAGACTCCTTGATATGATGTACGCAAATGTTGCTCCGATAGCAGAGCACTGTCAAAATCAATGCAGATTAGTTTTCTGTAGTTGACAAGCATATGCCATTGAGTTTACCATTGATACTGTGAATAGTGTGAGCCAAAAGTTGAACAAAGTGCCGCCGAGGATGGATAGCCACATGGATCCAGGTATCGAAAAGCTCTGCAGACTAGTTCTAATTGCTTAATACAGGTCGGATAATTACAAGTATCAGCACAACATAAAACTTACTATATATAAGTAATGATGAATGCAACATATACACTGATGAAATGTTTGTCCATATACATTGATAGCACAGCATTCAGCTTTCTTAGATCCTCCAAATTCTTTGGAAACTTGATAGCGTCTCTGTCATGTCTAATTTATGCAACTTGTCAGTATTGGTTTGAGACTACACAATGAGGGTGGCACTCACGGATTCATAGCCGGTAAGCTGAGCTTGATGAGAGTGTATTCCAAGGCAGTGAATATCAGGAACAGGAGCACCAACATTGCTAGCGACCAGGCATAAGAGTTGCTGGTCCAAAACCATGACCTCTTCTCTTTTTGAGTTACGACAACTAGATTGCCTGTCTCTGCATCTTGCGAAACGGTTGCATAAGTATGAACTTGTACAGCAGCATGTGGCGGCAGTAAAGCTGTTGTTTCCAGTGTCTGTATGTGCTGCTCTTCTATAGATGGCATGATGTATATAAAATAGAAGGAAAGGAAAGAGGAAAAAAAGGACCCCAGGGAGTGTAGCAACTAATTTAAGCTTTTACGCTGAATTTAGGTTGGATATGATGGAGAGTGACCGTACTACCGACTATTATGCCACATGAAGAAAAAAATTTATATACTTTTTACTCTTTTACACAAACACGTTACTCTTAGAATCCACATCATGTCAGGTCATGAACCAAGTCCACTCATTCCCATTGAAAAAAAGAAGTTCCTGTGTGTGGAATACCCGGGTTACGTAAAGAAACCAGAGCGAGCCATCAAGACATTAGGGGGAGAGAGTGCGTTGAGCGAAGCATTATCAAACAACTGGCAAGTTCAATTGAGATACAGAGCTAAAGACATCTTTTCGCACCCGATCAATGGTGATGTACTGGACTCATGCAAACTGCTGGTTAAGGTCACTAGACGAGTCAAGAGGAGCAAAAAGACGGGAGAGGTTGTGGAGGACGATTCGCCATGGCAGCATCAAGTCGTAGGCACTGTGGAGAAAACCGTGCGATTCAGAGGTGGGTGCTTGAGCCTGACAAAAGAGATGCGCATAGACAACTGATCAGTAACTGATAGCGCTGGCTGATTTCCAGTACATTGTTCCCAAAGACGACAAGATACGGCAATTAAAGACAGCTATAAGCGGTGGAGATGGTAATGAAATCATGCATTCACACCGTACACACACGCTCACACGCGCTTGACACATAGTGGAAACAATCATGAATTACAAGATACCTGTTGATGACGATGACTTTGAGAATCTTCGCAACATTCCACCTCCCGTATTTACAACTGTAGAAACACCATTCAACTATAGCTATAAACAGAATGCTTCTGTGGTTCGAGTGAGAGTGAGACAGCCTGATGGATCAGTAAGTGAATATGACATGTCCCATTCCATGTGCTACACTGTGCTCATACGCATCACACTAGTTCAGCATCAAGTTGATTAATCGCAATAAATACCAAGCCCTAGAGACCACAAGCATACAGTACGAAGACGAGAACGTCCCTTCTAAATCATGGCACAACCTGAAGCCTCCAGTCGCAGATTTGGAGATCGAGGCAATTCAAGCTACCAAAGACTTGTTTGAAGAGCGTCCTATTTGGTCTCGTTTTGCAATCAAAAACAAATTGGATGTCAAATATCACAAGTTGATAAAGAAGGCGCTTGCACACGTAGCTTACACATTTCAAAACGGTGCCTGGCGTGATGCCTGGATCAAGTATGGCTTGGATCCGAGGAAAGATCCCAAATACTACATGTAAGTTGCTATTTGAAACATTGGCGCACAATCGATTGACGATGTGTCGTTCGCAGTTATCAGCTAGTGGACATCAGACGATTTGTAAAAGAAGGGTCGCAAAGGAAGATCATGTCGAGAAGAGCAAACCCAAATGCCATTCGAACGAGAGGCTCACACGTTCAGTCCAAGTAAGTAGAATGTAGCTGGCACACTTTATCAACACTCAAACTTGTTCTTTGTATAGTGTGGAACCAGATCAGCATTTATTTGATGGTATAAGAAAGCCTGGCTCATCTTCTGTGTATCAATTCTGCGATATTACAGATCCTGATATTATGCCTCTCTTCCAGAACCCAGATCATCGCAAGGAGTATACCACGGTAAGTGCCTAAGCAGGCGATAATGGGAAGTGAGTGTATTCACATGGGTATGCAGAAATACTCTGGGTTTCTCTACAATTGCGTTTTCGAGCGTCTGCGAAAAAACCTCAAGAAGAAGTATGCTGAATTACTGGACAAGGGTGTCGCTCAGCGTATACACAACATCGATGCAGGATTAGCTGAAGAGATAGCCAAAGAGATTGCTTCCCAGAAAGATAATAATGGAGACGAACAGGGTTATGAAGTGGATGTAGAGGAGGACGATAACATGTTGACAGATGCTGATGTTCGGAAGGCAGCTACATATGCCATCCATGCTGTAAATAATGGCGAAGGGTCGAGTAAACGATTGCAAGAATTTGCAGATGAGTATATCGACCAGTTGGAATCGGCAAACAAAAGTCTGGGTATGTATATATCTTATGCTTTACAGTGAGAGTATGTTCTCATTAGCACTATTCTGCAGCCAATGATCTTGAAGACATTGATTTGGACATGATTGACACATTCGAAGAGTTTGATGATGATGACGATTTCAATGAACTGGAGGATGAGGAACCCATGACCAGCAACAGCCAGCGAACTGAAGACATGGATGGCGATGTAGAGATGAAAGAATAGCACTGAAAGACATGTACTCACATTTAAAAATAAAGATAGACTTTACGGTGGTAATGTAAATCAATCATTTGTTGAAAATTTCCTGCGCGATCTCGGCAAATTCAGGGGCAAATCGACAAATTCAGATCAATTGCTCTTGACATGATGCAATGGTACTAATTTGTGTAGATGTTGAGGTGCTGACTCGAGCCTGTTTTTGTTGTTGTGCCTCTCCCTAATTTTCGATAAAGTTGTTTATTTTGCACTAATCACATTTGTAACTGCATCAACGATAAACGCTGGCCCAAATAAGAAGCATCATCCGCCAATGTGTAAATGGGAATTACGGCATGGATGAATACTACACCAGCAAGCTGTGCAAAGATCAAGCATACAGCCTATCTTATCGGTGGAATTCTATTTGTAGCAGCTTTTATTACAGCCATTGTAGTCACTGTTATTGGACAAAACAAGTGGTCTGTTGAACCGTCCAACACGAGCAACTAAGAATCACCATTACTACTGTCAAATAAAACTATCATTACTGCAATATCATCAGCCAAACTAAAGCTTGCTCACTGCTGGGGCATTGATGTCGTCTTGCAAAGCAGCAGCAGCTTTCTTTCTTCTCTTTTCTTGTTCTCCTTCAGACAAACGAATGATGCCTTCCTGGGCAGTGGTAGCAACCAAAGTACCATCTTGACTATATATCTTACCAAACACCATGCCTCTTCCACTGTTGGTTCGAGGGCTATGCACATCATAGAGTAACCACTTGTCTGCTCTTGCAGGGGTATGGAACCATATGCTGTGATCCAAAGAAGCAATCATACCTAGACTACGAGAATTGATCAAGTAACCGTTGGCAGCAGCAGCGGTTGTAATAAAGCCACTATCCGAGGCGTAAGCGATAATACAGGCATGTAGCTTCATGTCATCGTTGAGTAATCCTCTTGTTTTAAACCATCGTCTCTAAACGACATGTGAATAGATCATACAACTAGTAGTATTTGTCAATGAAACTTACACTGTGCGTATTAGGCTCTACGCTCCCTGTTATCACCTGTTGAGGGGATAACGTAAGGACTGCGCGAGAGTCAACAGGAAGATTCTATACAACAGAGTGAGTTTTTTGTTCTGTAGATACACTAGCATACACATACGTCTTCGAGTTTCTTTTGAGCTCTCTGCTTCACAGCCTCTGGAATGCTTTCAGTGATGGCCAGCGTGTTTTGCAGCACCTCAATATCACTGCAGAAAGATTAGCTTATTGATTTACGTAGAGAAAAAGTGCTGTCTACTTACGAAGGCAATGTGTTTGGGTCCACAGTTTCAGGCATGGTTGTCTAAAGTAATATGCTTGAGTAGGCTATCCAGCCATTAGATTACTATCACACTTACTTGGTGACTGAGCGTAACGGAATCATCAGGCTTCACAAAGCTACAGCTGCATGCAAAGATTGCTTTGCCTCTCTGCATGGCCTTCACCATACGAGTAGCATAGGATCTGCCATCTCTCACTCGTTGTACGCTGTAAATCACTGGGATTTCAACACTACAAGCCAGGATAAAGTAGGCATGAAGAGACTAGCAGCGTGTTGTCGGATCAGCATCTGTGAAATCCATGATGAATGACTTAAACTTACATGTACAGCAAAGTCTTCCTCTACTGTATCCCAAGCAGCTCTCAATGACTGCGCTACAATCTATACATATACACTGTCAGCATCCATACACTGCCCCAGAATTCCAACCTACCTGTCCTCCAAATGCTCCTCTTGATCCCCACGGAAGCCACGGTTCCTTGCTCATGTAGAGATTGGTATCAATCAATTGAACATCCACAGCATTTCTCATCTTTTGTGCAAAATCGACTTCTTCTTCCACCTTCTCGATGATTCCCTCATCGTAATTGTCTCTAAAGTTGATCTTGCTATCAAACACTGACATTGGAAAAAAGGATAAAAGGAAAGATACCCCACATTCTGATTTTCCCAGGTACTCTTAATAATGACAAACGGCAAATTAGGTTTTACCGAAGCTTCTTGTATTACGCCATGAGACATGATGGCACATACACTCATACATTCGGATCATGATTCCATTTATCAACGTCTTGCGAATCATCTCGGCGGTGTCAAACTCGACTCACATATGCCGCACCCTCTCGTGACTATGGAGCAACCAGTATCAAATGCTATAATTACGCGGTTGAAAACTACGTAGTCTTCTATCACTTTTTTCTTCCTGAATACGACACTATTTACATTATGGTTTGTCTTCACATTGAAAATGCTACATTCAACCTGCCTTCAGCCTTCACTCAAGTGCACAAAGATGAATGTACCCAATGCTTTGACAATCAGGTAATGGATCAGAGACATGCCAAATCATTCATTGTCGTTTCTAATGCAAAAAAAAAAAAAAAAAAAAAAAAAAAAACGCTATTTAGGATGGACCTGAGGGAATCGACGTCTGCTTGACCTGCTTCAACGGCGGTTGTTTGGATCAAGAGAGACACCATGCCTTGACTCATAGTCAGCTTACAGGCCATGCTTTAGCTGTCAATATTCGTCGCACTACTGTCAGCAATCCTAACAAGAGAGTAAGATTGTAACAAGTGTACTACTCCAACGGAACTAACTCTTGCATTAGAACCATGACGATGCACCACCTCAAAAGATTAGCAAGATTGCCATTGTTATGGAGAACGAGGAACCAATCTACGAATATGTCACCATAGTCAGATGTCATATCTGTAGCACAAAGGAGAGTAAAGAAGCGACACCTCAGGTACGATGCATTGCCAATCCAAAGGGAGATCAGTGACTGAAATCACACTTTAGTTGAATGCCATTGTCGATGCAGTAATGAGCTCCTTGTCCTCTGCCAAGCAATCCGAGGTCAAGGCTTGGGAGGAAGTGATTACACCCTGTGAACATACATTATGCCTAGTGCAAGAGGAGCCCAAGCAGTTACAAGGCCAGGATTTAGCCCACTGCGCTGATTGCGAATTGAATCAAAACTTGTGGTTGTGTTTAGCTTGTGGTAATCTGGGTTGCGGTCGCAAGCAATACGATGGCTCAGGAGGCAACAATCACGCTATTGATCATTTTGAAAAGACTGGCCACGGCGTCAATGTCAAATTGGGAACCATTACAGCGGAGGGCACTGCTGACATTTACTGTTACAGCTGTGATGATGCGCGTGTGGATGACAACTTGGCTGCTCATTTAGCCAACTGGGGCATCAACGTTTCTCAACAGCAAAAGACAGAAAAGAGCATGACCGAACTACAGTTGGAGCAGAACATGAAGTTTGATTTCAGCATGACAACAGAGGACGGAAAGCAGTTAGAACCCAAGTTTGGCGCAGGCTATACGGGTCTCAAAAACCTAGGCAACAGTTGCTACATGGCATCGGTCTTGCAGTCTGTTTTCAACATTGAGCAGTTCCAGTCAAGGTACAATCAGCAGCTGGCGGACCACGCTTTGACATGCACCACCGATGCTGCTAATTGCTGGCACTGTCAATTGCACAAATTAGCAGATGGCTTACTGTCTGGCAGATACTCTCAGCCCATCATCAACGATGACGGTGTTCAGTCCCAAGACGGCATCGCACCAGGCATGTTCAAAGCACTCGTTGGCAAGAACCACCAGGAATTCTCCACCATGCGCCAACAGGACGCCTTTGAATTCTTCCAGTACTTGTGCAAAACGATCCAGCAAAAGGAGCACACCACAAAGAACGATCCCACCAAAGCATTTGACTTTATGACGGAGCAGCGTCTTCAATGCGGCCAATGTAAGAAGGTTAGATATCAAAAGGATCAAACCACGTGTATCTCTATGGAAGTACCTGCTCGTCTCAAGGACAACACCGACAATGAATATGAGCCTGTTGATTTTACCGAGTGTTTGGATACGTTTGTAAGAGAAGAAACTGTGGATGGTTATCAGTGTCCCAACTGCAATGAAAAGACAACTGCTACAAGGTTGGATGCACTGATGGAAGACTATGAATGCGCGCGATTCTAATCACAGTGTTGTGTAGATCTGTCAAATTCAGTACATTCCCTGAAATTTTGGTCCTGAATCCTCGTCGTTTTGCTTTCATCAACTGGGTTCCTCAAAAGTTGAGTAAGTATTCTCCCCTTCCATAGGTTATCAAGCAATGCGATACTCAACCGTGCTTATTAGATATTCCCATCGTTTTTCCTGAGGGTCCACTTCAATTGGACAAATACCTTAGTTCCGGCCAACAACCAGGAGAAGAACTATTACCAGAAGACAGCACGGACTCCTCCGCTTCTTCTTCAGCTGAGCCGTCTTTCAACCAAAATGACATTGATCAACTCAAAGCTATGGGATTCTCGGAAAACCGATGCAAGAGAGCATTGTTGAACACTGGCCACAATGGAGCCGATATTGCCATGAATTGGATGTTTGAGCATATGGAAGATCCAGATATCGATGATCCTTTGCCTACCACATCAAGTAACACTGCTTCAAACGCTGCTTCAGGCCCCTCTGAAGATCAAATATCCACATTGCAAGAAATGGGATTCTCCGCTCAACAAGCCAAGAAGGCATTGCATGAAACTGTAAAGTATAGATGTGCGCATTGAGGTGCTCTAACATACTGACGCAAAACGATAGAACAATGATACTGAAAGAGCCTTGGATTGGTTGTTTAGTCATCCTAACGACACTGGAGAAATGAATGAGCAAACGGCCACTGACGGTGCTTCAGCCCAAGTTGTTGGAGGTAGGCATTTTCGAGCTTCACGCTCATTCAACCCACTCACCACCACCTCTATTCTAGATGCCACTCCTCCTTTCAATTACAAGCTGGATTCTTTTGTCTCTCACAAAGGCACATCTGTCCACTGTGGCCACTATGTATCCCATGTGTACAAGAATGGAGAATGGATCCTGTTCAACGATAACAAGGTGGCTGTTACTCCCAATCCACCCATTGGAGAAGCATATCTTTACTTTTTGAAGAGACAGTAATAAATCCATCTATTCTTGTCGTTTATTACATTGTTACTGTACACAATTAGTCTATGATCTCTCTCGTTTTAGAGGGTGGTAGTTGGGGGAAGACCCACGGATGGCAGTCTAGGGAATACGCCTAGATACTATAGAATCAGGGTCAATTTTTAGCATGTGAATTCCATATACCAATGCGTCATTTAAAACTTACCAATAATGCCCATCCCAGTAACCCAAAGATGGCACCAGACAAGATTTCAAAATGGCCATGGAAATATACACCTGTCATAAAGAGCATGACATACCACAACGATGCCAACAACAGGAGGCTGACCACAGAGAGATACTGCGCACGATCGCGTACTTTCATTTGGAGGAAAGGCTTCGCATTGTAGAACATCCAACTCAATTCCTCCCAAAAGAACATACTTGCGTGAATCAACAAGACACAATGACCGGACACATCATGTCCACCCGTCCATTGACCCCCCATTCTTCGACACACTTGCTGCTGAACCACCATGGCCAACTCTGCATTTAATTTGGTGTCTTGCAACAATGAGGTGCATTTGCCGCCCGTCAAGACATAGACTCTGTCAATGAAGCTTGGTCCAAACAGCCATTGGGTCATAATGTACCAATATAACGTCACCAATACATAGCGTGCACTACCTGCAATAAAGGCTTGTGTATTTTGCAGACTTCTGGATCGCACGAGATACAGGTAGACAAAGTAGAGGAGTGTCACCCAGAACCATCCAATTTTCACAAAAAAGACGTTGAAAATGTTGCGTTTGCTGCTAAAGTAGGAGTCTGGTGGATGGCCAATGATGGAATATAAAAAGGCCACAAACACCGTTGACGGATACAGTATTAAGGGCACAATTTGATGCGGTTTTAAGTATCTTTTCAGGGCATCCATTGTTATGGAGTGAATAGAAAAAGAGTGATGATGATTGAAAATTGAAAAAGAAAAAGAAAAAAGAGGTAAAATGCACTTTTGGATGATCACTTTCATTTCACTATGGACCGCCCATTCGGTCACTGTCAACCCAAAAGGGAACATGTGTTTAGTCTGAATTGGGTAGATTGTGTTGCCGCGCATGAAATGCACTACACCACTACACTGCTTTGCAAAATGTCAAAATATTCAAGCTAACGTATTAGGAAATGATTGCGCCATCCGTCAATTAGGATGTGATTTGTGATTAAAATGCGAGTTTATTATTAGAGATGCCATACTATATATCAGATCAAATGTTCAGGCATTCATTGGGATATGGCTGTCAGTTACCGTCTTTTGCTTGCCTGCATTTGGGTTTGCACTCACACCAAACTCTGAATTGTCGGCATCTGCAGGGCTCACTTTTGGTTTCTTGGGTTGTAGCAGGTTCAATTCATTATCTGCTGTCAATTTTGCAACCACCATCATACTGCGAAGACCGCTTTGAGCCAGCTTGACCATTGTATTTGGATCAGGAATATCGCGTCTTGTTAATTGAGCGTGCTTGTGAGTGGTAGTGGCTGGAGCTGCTAAACATGTCATGACCAGCATGGCCATGGCAAAGAGAAATACAAGTGATTTTGCCATCGTATATTAAATCTTGTTTTAATGCAGTATGGCCTCTCTCGTTCGCTCTCTTTATATACATTTTCAAGCCAGGGCTCTTCTCCTCAAACATCCATACTTGCCCTCAACTCCCTCGCCAAAACCAGGAAAACCTGGTTTACTACTGGAACTAAATGTACCTAACAATGAATACACTGCATAGTGCATGCCTTATGAATGTCGATATAGCCCATTCAACAGCTCACTAAGACTGATGTCTGTTAGTAATCCTCTCACTGTGGATAACATTGGTCTCGCCTCTTTTTTTCTTATTACCGAGACACTCCTAATTCACCAAGAAAGTGAGACAACATTGCTCGACTACTCAGGAGAGGAAGAACTATTACTAATATGTCAAAGAATATATGACATGTGAACATGCATTTAGAACCAAACGTATTATGATCACATGCACTACTTTATTGTTAATTGACGAGGGAAAAAATTACATCAACTACTCTTCTCTATCGACTGGCATACCATTGACGATAGGAGGGTCATCCACATCATCTGGGTCTTCTTCAGGATCGAATGCATCGTCTTCTTCAATATCTGCATGAATTGGGATTGTCTTTTCTGTACTCTCGTTACCTAATTCTGGAGTAGCAGATACTTCTTGTATAGGCGGTTCAGGCGCAACTGAAGCTTCTTCTTCAAAAGTAGGAGTACCAGGAGTTGAAGAGGGAGGAGAAGGAGTCATAGCATCCAATTGCTGAGATGGGTCCGGTTGTTCAGGAGCAAGTGGCGGTGCAATGACTTGTTGACTAGGTGGTGCTGGCATGAGCTCTGTCGCTACTGCCCAAACTGGATCCACAGTTGCTGGTGGAGGGACAGCCACTGGCTGTGCTTCACTTGCTGGCGGTGGGGAAGGAGGTAGACTTTGCTCTAATTGCACAAATGCAGCAGAGGGTGGGGTAACAGCGTCCTTGCGATAACTTGCCATGGCAGCACGCAAATACTGCAATGTGGTAGCATAGTCTCGTTTGGCTAATGAGGATCTCTTCTTGAGTCCACCATAGGACACTGGATAAATATCTACAGCTTGTTGTTCATTGTTGTTCCTGGCAGCTGCCAAGGAAGCAGCATGGATGAAACCAATGGCTATACTGATGGAGATGATAAAAGACAAGATATGCATTAGTTTGCTGAATGAATAAGGTCTAGAAAAAAAAAGAAGAGATGTAGAGTTTACGGTTGTATTTATACAGAAAGCTTGTTAATCGGTATGTGGCAGTAATGTATCCACAAGGATCACCTTTCATTTTTTTTTTTTTTTACCATGATCCATGTATAGGAAGAGCCCCTTTGCCTGCCTCGATAATTCATTCAAACATGTTCATTGGAATGTGCGTTTAAACGCACATGGAAGTTTAACCACTTGACTATGTGTATATTAAAAGACCCCGTCTTATGGTTAGAAAGAAGTAATGTAGATGATGTTGGGATCAAAAATGTGGGTTTTATTAAAAATTTGTTATTCGTTAGGACCATTATCAGGGAAACTTAGGAATATGGTCCCCTCAGTTAGGATCCTATTCACCTGGGCAAAGTCTTGCTGCACTGGAGTTGCAATATCAATTGGAGCCGCAGGTGGCTGTTGCGGTAGTGGACGTGCAGATAGCACGGTCGACAGTAACAATATGACAAGCGAAGTAGATAATGCAAACAATTTCATAATATGTAAAGTAATAGAAAAGAGGATAGAGAGAGAGAGAGAGAGAGAGAGAGAGAGAGAGAGAGAGAGATAAAAGAAACGACTTTGGATTAAAAGACGCTGAACATAGAGCCTACAAATGTCTCCTATGTCTAGTAGGACACTCCTGAACAAACATCCATTCAAATAGCCCTTTTTTAATGTTACAAAAATATTTTATTATTACATTTGTTCAAGGGGTGATATTTATTTATCAAGGAACACTATGAGTGAGCGAGTGAGCGAATAAGACATTCAAATGGGTTTGATGCTACATTGCATAACAAGAATTGCAGTCAACTAAATAAGCTTAACAGTTGATCCAAGGACATCTACCGCCAGCGACATTGACTAGTGTGGAAATGTGAGTATTTACATGTAATGCACTGACATGTGTCTCAAAGAGTACAAACCATGATCTGGGGAGCGTTTCTCGACTTGAGCCTCTTGAATGATCTTGTTGACGGTACGACGAGAGAGATGAGCCTTGTTTTCACCAGCAAAAACAACGGCCAAATGGAAGCAAACGATTGTGAGGATGAGAGCGTATAATTTCATTTCAGAGATGTATATATATATATATAGTAAGAAAGAAAGAAAGAAAGAAAGGACAGATAAAGACAAATGAATTGTCATTTTTATATTGTTCTCAAATTTTTGTGCCATGACACACACACACACACGCACGCAAACAGAAGATGGATATTAAGGAGGTGCTTCCAAACACACTTCATTGGTTTAGTAAGATGAAAAAAGGAGGGGGCTGCTTTATTTACTTATTTGCCATATAAGTGTATGCCCTTCACATCAGAATTACCAAACGTAATGGCGCACGACGGACAGCGTCTTTGCCGTGTCTCTAAGCGAATGCGAATACATTCATGGCAGAAGGTGTGCATGCAACTGGTCAAGATACAATCCCTGCGACGAGTCTTGCAAGTGCTGCATTTAAAGTAGGAACGAAGTTCTTCTACCTCGTCCACCAATTCCTGAGAGGCTGGATTCTCCCCTTGCTGAATCAAATTCCATTGTTTGTTGATCTTCTCGTACTCATTCTTGGCTTGCTGGACATTCAGTGTCTCTTGTTCTAGCATCTTCATCTTGTCCCTGGCCAGGTCTTGCAGTTGCATGACATGTGCTTCAAGGCGTTGCCTGTTGGATTGCAACCCATTGCACTCTTGAGAGATATCGTCAAACATCAGTCGATAGTGTTCTACATTGGCGTCCACTTGCTTGATAAGTGTCTCCTTTTCCGTCTAAAAAAGCGTGAATATGGGAATTGCAAGGAAATAGAGACACATAAACTCACGACGTTGGCCTCGATCGATGCTATTTTCTCATCCAAGAGCGAGATGGATTTCTCATGTAACTGATTCTGTTGTAGGTGCTGTGCATATTTCACATCGTTTTCGTGCTTCTTGTCCATCAACTCGGCATTCTTTGACACAAACTTGTTTATCTCTGCCTGCAATTTCTGTTGATAGGAGAGCTTATCGTCAATGCGATGCTGAATACTGGGAATACGCTGTCCAATGTCACTGATATCATAGTCCATCTGCGCATACAGGCCCGGCTCAGTCTATAAATAACCACTTCATGAGTGAATATCGAATCAACAAGCGCACATTTGACGTACTCTCTGGTAAAAGTCAATCAGCAGTTCCAGCTGGCTTCTTTCGTCCATGAGCTGATTCAACGTATTCATAAGCGGTGATGCCATGTAAGGTGCCACGTCCATTTGATTGTTCTCTGTTTGTTGTTGTTGTTGTTGTTGTTGTTGTTGTTGTTGTTGTTGTTGTTGTTGAAGGTGTCGCAAAGTATGCAAGATGCCATGTGTTTTTCTGCATATACGATTAAGGTTTATTAAGTTTTCTTTGTGTCCTCCACAGTGCACACTTACTTACTCTATCTGCAATTTCAGCCGTCGATAGTTTAGATAGTCTTGTGGTAATAGCGTCGTTGTATCTGTTGCTTGGCGTTTGTGTAATACATCTTGTTCTAATTCAATCATGCGACTCTATTAATGACAACTGAGAACATGCCGCCGGGTCAAACAAAGGGGAGGGGGGGATATTTACCTTGTGCTTCTCGGCAATGTGGATTATTTGGTCATTGTACGCCGAAACCTGCTTTTCCTCTATTGTGCGGCTCTGTATATCCTGCTGTAAGCCATCACGTTGATTGCGCACTCGAAGCAAGGTCTCTTGCAGGCGCTTCGTCTCGGTAACCAGCGTCACCTCCCTTGACGACATTTCCGAATTCTGTTGATTAATCAATTGCCTCCTTTCTTTTGTGAAACTGTCTTCTTCTTTGATGAGACTCTCTCTCCTTTGCTCGTAATAGTCTATCAACCTGTACTCCAACTCAATCATGGATTGCAGGTGATTGACATAAATTGAATTGGATTTAATGTAATCACTGCTTAATTGCGAGAATCTATCCAGCAGATCATCCAGTTTGGTATGCAGCTGATCCTTTTCTTGCCGACTCTTGGCCAGTTCTTGCGTTCGAGCATCCAATAATTGCTGACACTCTTGCAATTCATCCATTTGTGTACGCTGCGGTGGTTGCTGCTCTGCTGATGGCTCCACGCTGGCTCTCTCGTCTTTAGTAGCAGCCGTAGTAGATGTAGTTTCAGTCACATTGGCCACAACGCTGCTATTCAGTCGGTCTTGACGTTTTTGTATAGCACCAATAGCCTGCAAGCAATCCTCTAACGCATCATTGGAGTTGGCCAGTTGCTCCACCACAGTCTGGATATCATGGGAGATACTTGTAATCATATTGGATTTGCTCTCATTGTCATGCTGTAAGAGCTGTATTCTGCTCTCTGGATCGCTAGTTTGAAGTTGCTCGATATCTGTTTGCAGATAATTCAGTAGGGCTTGATTCTGTTCATTTGGATCTAGTAGGTATTGTCAATACATAGGACTTGCATTCGCAAAGATCAAGCTACCTGCATGTCGAAATTTGTCAGATGTAAGCTGTCTAGTGTGTGCGTTCCATGCCTGTATATGTTCGGTTATCTGCAGACATATCAGCTTTAATTGATTCACTATGTTGCCATCATCACATTTCTCTATGCATCTGGTTAATTCTACGCTGATAAAGGGTATAGATCATTTACCAGGCATTGTGATTGCAGGAAATGCAGCAAATTCATCCCAGAGCTTTAATACAGAAAACTGTGAGTATATCCTGCAGTTTTCGCGATGGAAATTATCAGATCAAAAAAAAAAAAAAAAAAATCAAGGCGTGCTTACCATGGCCAATTGCAACCGAACCATACCATACAGCGCATTTGTTTCTATGCTGCTCTCTTTCAATTGAATCAAGTGCTGCTTCTCTTGGATATAAGCATTCTAGATGGGAAATCATGTTGCTGATTAGCATATGACTGTTACAGCAGAGTTTGAGCGAGGGATGTGCTAGGAAAGGGTGCCGTATCTTACTTTGACAGAATACATATGTTCCAAGAGCTCCTTCTTCGATAAATGATCAGGAAGCGTCTAGACGGCATAAATGAGTCAGCAGTTGACATGATAGGGAATTTAACGCTTACAGTGATCAGCTCTGGTCTTTTAGACATGGAGGGCACTGCACTGGCAGCCGATGCTGTAGATCCTGATACAAACCTCTTCTTCAAAGGAGGCCTCGAAGGTATTGTGTTCTTTCTATCGTCAATCTCTTTTTTTGATGTGCGTTTTCCAGACATTGGAGTAGTGTTTGTTAATGATGAAAGTGAAAAAGTGGAGAAAAAAGAAACGAAATTAAACCACAACTAGTAGTTTGGGTGCTTTTTCATCACGTGTTGCATGAATCCAGTTTTTATTACATTTGGTAGTATTGAACAGTTTTTTTTTTAGTCCTTTTGAACAGTGACAACAGCACGAATACTAGAGAATAAAACAAGGTTAGTTATTGCTATGATAGAAACAGACAAGACTTACCAAGAGCCAGAGTGCATGGCGTCCAAAGCATCGTTGATTTGCTCAAAATCAAAAGTGTGGGTAATGAACTCATCAACCTTCAATTGGCCATCCAAGTACTTTTGAACGAGACTGCCCATCTCAGAGCGACCCTTGACACCGCCGAAAGCAGATCCACGCCAGACACGGCCAGTAACTAATTGGAAAGGACGAGTGCTGATCTCTTTTCCTGCAGCAGCAACACCAATGATGACAGACTCACCCCAGCCCTTGTGACAAGATTCCAAAGCAGCACGCATCACATCAACATTGCCAGTACAGTCAAAAGTATATTCCAAACCGCCATCAGTGATCTCGACAAGGTGGTTTTGAATAGGACCCTTAATGTCAGTAGGGTTGATAAAGTCAGTAGCACCGAATTCACGAGCAAGCTTTTCCTTGTTAGGGTTGGTGTCAATGGCAATGATGCGCTTGGCCTTATTGTAAGCAGCACCTTGAATGACACTCAAACCAATACAACCTACACCAAAGACAGCGACATTGTCACCTTCCTCAACCTTGACAGTCTTGGTAGCAGCACCGAAGCCAGTGGTAACACCACAACCCAAGAGGCAGAGCTTTTGAAGACTAGGCTTGGGATCCACCTTGACAACGGAAACGTCAGCAACAACAGTGTATTCAGAGAAGGTAGAGGTACCCATATAATGGTAGATGGGTTGGCCCTTGCAGGTGAAACGAACAGATTCGTCAGGCATCAAACCACGACCTTGAGTGGCTCTGACGGAACCACACAAATTGGTCTTTCCACTCCTACAGAATTTACATTTACCACACTCAGCAGTGTACAAGGGAATGACATGGTCTCCAACAGCGACATCAGTGACACCCTCACCAACAGATTCAACAATACCACCACCTTCGTGTCCCAAAATAGCAGGGAAGACGCCTTCGGGATCTATGTGTTGTAGGGTAGAATATGCTTAGATTCTGTGTCTTTATGCGCATAGGAAATGAACGACTTACCAACACCAGAAAGAGTGTAAGCATCAGTGTGACAACTACAATGTGTACAGAAGGTGAGGCATTGCGCCTGTCATGTTTGATACTCTTACTTACACGCCAGTATACATAATCTTGATACGGACTTCGTGAGCCTTGGGAGCAGCTACTTCGACTTCCTCGATGCCTAATGTCATGCCATGTTAGCATATCCGCAATGGCTGACTAATGACCAATTTCACTTACTCAAAGGCTTGCCAGCTTCCCAGGCGACGGCAGCACGACATTTGATGACCTACATATGAGGACAGTGTGAATACTCTATTTGACGTCTTGACCAAAAGACAGCGCTTACTTGACCAGCGGTAGACATAATCGTAAATATATAAGTTGTGGAAAAAAGAAAACTTTAAGACACACACACATGAAGCGCTTTACCTTTATCGATTTTCTCGATCAGAAATTTAAGAGTCATCATTTTGTGATATCAATAGGCGGCGTTTCTCTTTTAAGAAAGTTTAAAAGATGGGCAGGGGAGAATTGTTTGGCGAGGAAGGGCGCGGTGCAATGGAATTGGAAGAAGAAGAAGTTCACCCACATCACCTAGAAACGCTAACCCGCCCACGAATTTACTGTGAAAAGCAGGGCCCAGAGCAAAACTCGCTTGATGAAGGTTTAGGTGCTGAAATGGAGGAAGCTGCAAGAGTAGTAAAAACGCAGAAAAAGCATTACAATGGCTACTCCAGCGAACAAAAACTTCTTTTTGTCTATTAAAATGGGGGTAAAACTATTCAATGCTGCTAAATCTGGTAGATTAGTTGGGGGTAATTGCTGAACGAACAGCACAGACATGGGCCAAGAGACTCAAAGAAGATAAACGTTGGAGCATCTTGAAAAAAAGCACACCAACAAAGTCAATAGACCAAAGGCGCAGCTTGATGAAAGACATAAGATTCATCTACTCGACTTTTATGATGATAACTCCCAAGCCAGGATTTGCTGATACAGTTGCTTCACTCATTAAAAAGTTTGAAGGTTTTACATTAAAGGAAATCAGTGGTAGAAACTTTATGAAAGAAGAATGTAGCCTTTCATTCAAGAAACTCGCCCTTTACCCAAAAGCAAGAAACGATTATTCACAAATCGCAGATCGTATAGCATGGACTGAGAACTGGAGCAAGACAGATATGAACTATCTCCAAACCAATGTTTTTGTGGATGAATCGGGGTTTGATATCGACATGAGACCTCCTGGAGGATGGTCTGCTAAGGGTACTGCAGCTATTACGACCAATTCCAGCACCAGAGCAGTTTCACATACAGTTTCAAGTGCAATTTCAGCAAAATATGTTGTATCAATGAACTCACCAAATAAATTAGATAAATCGTAAAAGGAAAGCACTATCCAAGACAAAAAAGAATGCTCCTAGAAGCACTGTCACTGGTTATTGTATTACGTTTCATTCAAAAAACTATGGATGAAATGTATTGCATTCCTGGGATGAAAGGATACTATATACTGATGTATAATGCGCCCATTCACACCGCCGATACAATAGAAGCTATGATAATAGAGAGGTTATAAATGCGTATATCTGTCGCCTTATGATAGATCAAATCAACGTTTAACTCAGTATTTTACCTCAATGCACCATATTCCAGCTATACATCAATGAAGTTTCTATGATAATTATTAATTACAATAGGTACTAATTTATTGATGAAAAAAAAAATGATACAAGAAAATATTGATATAAGGAAGATTCTAGTTGTCCTCTTCAGACTCGGAGGCACTATGCTTTCTCTTTTTAGACTTAAATATAGAATTTTGATTGACATGAGTATGATCAGGGACAGCAGCATCCATCTCGCTAACGCTTCCAATATCACTGTACATTTCATCTGTAGCAATTTTCTTTCTTAATGCAGGAATCAATGATGTGTAACAATGCTATTAAACGTTTATGTCAATTCAACGCTGCTGTGTACTTGTAAAAGAAAAAGACATTTGGATCTGAAAAGAGCTAGGAAAGTATTTTCAATACAAGCAATATCTGCAAAACGTCTTGGTATTACAAGGATTGAGTGGGGGGGGGGGGTTGCAGCAAAGTAGTCATCCATTTATGTCAACAGGTAGATATAGTCGTGTAAACTTATAAAATATGATTTTTTTCAATAATTTCCCTCTACGGTAAATCACCGTATCATCACCTATCATATCAATTGCTAAAAGAGATGAGGGAGAGGTACCAAATTCATGCAAGCTGCTCATGTTAGAAGCATTTATGCGCAAGTTTGCTGCTAGAGCAGCCAGGTTTTCCACTAAGAAAAATAAGAGAAATATGATTAGAAAAACATCAACTTTGGTTCTATGCGCATACTCGATTATATTCAGATCAGTTTCAATCAACAGTACATTTAGATAGCTAACGAAGCGTTGGTGGAAGGTCATCTCCAGCTCTTCGCCCGCTTCGTTCCACAACTGAGTGTCTTTAATACTGTTAATGATAGTTGGTAGTTGTCAATAGAATGTTCAAGATTTCTGTATATTGTTCTACTTACACTTTCTCCAGAATTGCTAGCACTTTGTACATGTCACTGTGTCTCAACTTCTCTTTGACAAGTCTGGCTTTTTCGAACTGCACTTTACACAGTAGATTATCCACTAGCCGATCTATCTCGCTACGCTCGATGTCGGCGTCATCCTGCAGGCTTTCACCGCAGACTATTCAACTCAACTCAGAGATATCAAGTAGACTTTAAACAATTAATTAATATTAAAAGAAAGGATATATCAGCGTCAGGAAGGGAAGGTGTCCATTCGCTGATGCTGCTCTTAAGATGGCGACATAAAGCTGGCCATAAGTATATACAGAAGTTGCGTAAGATCTACAGCTACATTTTTGAGAGATTATCGTTGCAAAAGACGCCTTTATAGGGAAAAGCACCCAAGAAATAAAAAAAAAAGTATTCGGACTAATCGATTGTCCTTTCAATTCCAAGATCCCCATTTAATCAGCATCACAATCATCATTGTCATCGTCAGAAAGGCATTTGAGTCAGCCAGCAGCAGCGCCGCCGCCAAAACTGATTCAAACCCAGTTTATTTTTTCTGCTCAAGATTGGGCATATTTCGTTTTTCTTCGACTTGATTAATGTATTTTGTTAGAATCGACTATATAAACTGTGATAATCTTCCGATGCTTCCTAATACGCCCCTGGTGGTAGGGCGAAGTGGTAAAACTCCCGTATGCCAACGGGAGGATCCCGGTTCAAATCCTGGTGAACGCAAGTTGTTTGATTTTTTGAAGTAGTACTGATGTCCTCGTTTGGTGTTTTGTACTCTATCCATTATCTATATTTTGACGATTTCCGCAAGACTGTTTTGGCTCTAGGTGTCGCACCTTATTAGCAGTAGATTTCTTTCCCAACTTAATTCAAAAATATCTTATTCCCCTTCTTTGCAGACATTGGGTCCACCAACAGTCTTTTCTATCCCTCAGCATGACATTTTAAGGACTTTAAATAAAACCTGGAGCTCGACTCCCCTACAAAAAAAAAAAATGCTTCCTAATACATTCTTGAAGTACTTTTCAAGGCGCTTCCAATGGTGCCAAGTAAGATAGATGTTTTAAATAAAATAATTGAGCAATTTATGAAAATATGAAAAGAGGTTTCTGGCCAAAATGTCAAAATTTTGCATATGAAGACATCATAAAAGTGGTTTTAGAAGTTGCTTTGGATCGAGAGAAACATTTTGATTTGATATTTGCCATAGTAAAAGTCTTCATTTTCAAAGTGAAAATGCGATCGTTTGATTTTCGTCAAAAACCATGAGGGGTACCACATGCTTTTTGGTCGATTTTTGGCTATATTTTTTGCGTCCCCAAAAAGTTGAGCAAATGTGCCAGGAAATTGCTGCCACTCGAGTACAATTGTTTGATGCTATTCTGACGATCTAAAACGGCCTTGAACACAAGAAAACGCAACTCAAATGTACTCAGATTTTGCTGTATCAGGGACACTAAGGCCTAAAAATGGGAAATATCAGCATAGTGCTTGCCCGTATATGAAGTAGCTAGGTGTATATAGACATAGAACATCACATAAGAATCAGACCCACAGATAATATGAAGGGTTTTCATGTGTAAATAGAGAGTCAACATGAAAGTCATAGTATTTTGATAAGATACGCAAGGGTAATCGGTAGCGCAAGCTGCCACAGCGCAGGTTGGTTTTTACCGAAGCGAAGCAAAGGTAGAGAGCAATCCAAAGCATAGACACTCGTAATGAAATAATAATAAAGAATCAGTGTTTCGGCACTATTAACGGTAAAGCTGCTAATTCAATCAGGCTTCCTTTCTATCAACTAAACTTTGCTCTTTCTTGTGTGCTTGCTCTACAAAATGAGGCCTCTTTGTTTGGATATGTACTGCGATACTTTCGTTCAGAAATCGGCTTTTTAGCTGCCAAATCTAAAGTGTATCATGGCAAAGATACGTCTTTCTTCAATAGCAATAGCAGAGAAGCGTCCATACGGTATTCAAGTCTATGGAATATATCCAGGGCGTGCATTGACTAATGTTGGTTAACGTACAACAGAAAACTTATATGTGTTACAATACTATAGCAAAAAATAGCGTTTGAGCGATTGATTTTGGATCATTTGCCTTTCGGTAGTGCAGCTTTGTAAATCCAATTTCAGTACAGCTGCCATATGTCGACTCTTTTATCGTAGAATCTCTAGGTATCATGAATCTCTGTTCAATCGATTTTGATACATGATTTTGTTGCTTGTTCCCCATATTGTGCTGAAACCCACTCAGCATGTCTAGTAATACTATCAGCCATTTCTCCTTGCGGATCATGAGTGTCTAACATTGTGGATAGACTTTCAGTCTAGTTTTCTGGATAGATATGGTATCTCTGTTGTGGACGACCATCAAAAGTGCCTTGCCGACCTAACGAGCGTTTCGTTCAATCCGAGCAAGTTTTTAAATTCAAGTTTGCATAATATCATTGACGTTCAAGTCTTCAAATTACTGTAATAATAGCGCATTTCAAACAGAAAGATTTACGCCTCAGAATTACAATAAAAGCATCTATCACGTAAGACTTGTGTTTTGTACAATGCTGAATATTTGAATTATCAAGTAGAAATGTGATTTACTTACTGCTTTGGCAATGCAACCTACAGCACCTTACTTATAGGTCAAATTCTGTCTAAATTTAACCGTTTTCAAACACAAATAGCTCATGCCGTAAAGCGTTTTGGGCGCTTGGAGTAGCACCAAACGGCTCCCCTTGGTTGCGCTTTAATTGCTGATGCTTTATCTCAAAATTTTTTAAGTTATTGCAAATCCATGAAGATCT